CCTAGAATTGTTGAATATCTTTTAAATGAGTGAGAAATTGTTGGTCTTACCCAATTTTTTGCTGCAAGAGGAGACCCAGCAAATTAGCTGCTGAATATCAAATCAAGCTTATTGTTGAGCCTGGCACTTGGATTTTGGTCTAATAAACATAAATTTGTTGTAAAGGTGCATATAAAGCTTTTTAAAAATGCCATGATGTAGCTTCATTTTTTGCATACTTAGAGAATATTTTGATCAAAATATTAGTGTGTGTGTGTGTGCGCGTGTATCCATCCAATTGGTAATTAAGCTAAAATACACTTGTAAAATTAAAATAATTTATTATGATGTAGAACATCAGCTGGTTTAGGTTGTTCCACAGATATGAGGAGTCATCTCAATAAGAGGAAAGCATGGCATTGGTTGTTATGAAGATGTACCAGTCAGTCAAGGTCTCCAGGGAAATATATTGCAAATTCCTAGAAACATTTCCTGAAGGGGGACATAAGGGGTCTTCAGATTCTCAGTATGAATATCATATTCATAGGGATTTTCCAGGTCTGCTCATGAATGTGTATTGCCAAATAAAATATTCATTGTTATGATCCATTAAATCTATGTATATATGCACAAGAATTCTACAGAATGTTGTGTCTTGTGGTACTCAATATTCTTGAGCACCAGTTTGCATTAGTATGACTGATTTTTAGGGTCCTTCCACACAGCCATATAACCGAGAATATCAAGGTAGATACTCCACAATATCTGCTTTGAACTGGGTTTTCTGAGTCAAAGCAGATAATGTGGGATTTTATACAGCTGTGTGAAAAGACCCTTAGAAACCTATCTGGTAGGCATACTTAATGCATGTGTTAGTGTAATTTTTCTTTGGTGTACAGAATGAGACAAGGAGGAAATTTCTATTTCTTTGATCCTCTTAAGTGCTATTCAGCTATTTTTTGCCCTTCACTCATGGTTTGTTTTGATCTGGTATTAAAGCTTGTCGACTTCTTTCATTCATCCTCATTATTGCAGAAGTAAACCTATAATACAAGAAATAATATACAGTACTTGTTTCAAAATGGGATCTATCTAGCATTGGATATAGAATCACTTTTGGATATAGAATCACTTTTTAGAATGCTTCTGGAACATGGCCATACAGCCCGAAAAACGTACACCCACCCAGAATCACTTTTCTTTAGTAGGTCCAAACATTCATAATAAGGTGTTTTCTTCTGTGCTCAGAGGCAGGAAGAGTTTGTGTCCATCTTCAATTTCACTGGCTACTCACATGTCATCACTCAGACATATGCCCTCTTTCCTTCCTCTTCTCAGTTTTGTAACATACTTGTTTACCATAAGCACACTAGCTTTCATAGAAGGGACTGGAAAATGTCCTTTAATTTTTCATAAAGGTGGTTGGATAAGAGAAGCTCAACTTGTATTTGTTCTTTATTTGTTTAAACAAAAAGAATTGTATGGTATAATTTAGCTTGTGTTAAAATACCTGTCCAATAAAATACTGTATAAGCTATTGTAGCCTGTCATGCTTGTAAGAAATATATAGTTAAACTGGTTCACTTATTGTGGCATTTCCTTATCAATGTGTAGCTGCTACAGCTGTTTTTGACATAGAGCTGTTTTGATTTTTATTAGTTAGCAATGACCCTTCTTTCCATTTGATTTGCACCATGGAAAATACAGAGGATGGTTTCCTCAAACATGCACAATTTCATCCTCTTGTCTGCAAAACTGATGTACTTTTAAAAAAGCAATTAAGTGTCTATGGGCAGATATGATGGCTTGAGTGGAAAAAAGCACAGGCATTAGCTTGCAGTTTTTTGTTTTTTTTAAAAAGTGTCCTTGTGCCAAGTCCCATTTTTGTTGTCCCTTAGAAGATTATGGGATAGAAAAGGGGGTGGGGGGAAGAAAGATTTAAGTAGCAACTTTAAGACTACCGGTAATTGATCTTTACTTCAGCATTAGCTTTTGTGCAATCTGTTCCCCAATGTTGCCCATCTCTGGTGAAAAAAATTGATTTGAATTCTAACATTATTTTCTGCTAAAGAATTTTACGGAAAAGTTCAAAGCAACGAAGTTCAGTTGAGTCTTTTGCTGACTAGAAAGAATACAAGCTTTGCAAATCAGATTTCAAGTCAGAGAGAAGCAGGAACAAAACTTGGAGAGGTGGAAGGAAGCACTTCAGTTCTGGCAAAATCAGCATTGACTATTTGTTTTTTTTATTTTGGCTAGCTTGCCTTTAATACTATATTTTTCTAAATTTTCACACAGCTTAAATATGTCCAGAAGTTTTGTGATCTATGTTAATAGTCTATCCTCAGCAGGATTGCAGTTACTGCTTAACTTCTCTGTGTTAATAAGTTTCCTTGTTCACAAAGACAAAAGACACCAGAAGGATTACAATGTAACTCCTGCAGTCGTGACATTTTAACTTGTTTTAATCAGCTAATGTGTGTGTTGGAAAGGTCAGTACTACTTTTGTTATTTAGAAAGTTTATTGTAAACTTGTGCTATTATGTTGTAGCATTGGCACCAATTCCAGATGGGTAGATTTAATCAAGGAAGCCATGGCTATCTGAGGCTGCAAGATCTGAGGAGGACTCATTCATGGAGTCCTCAGAAGTCAAAGATAATTTGATCGCAATTAACAACAAATTGGCAGTTTTTGTCTACAGCTCACAAAACAAATGATGTTATCTAGTTTCAGTTGGTTAGTAAATAGTCTTAAACTTTTAAAACAAATCCTTCCGACTCTGCTTCCGTGAACCTTTCAACGTATTACAGTAATGAAGATGATGACAGTGACATTTTTTGGTTATTGTTAAGAGCTGTCAAGTTGTCTCACTTAGTCTATCTTTGCATTGTATGGCAACCCTATGATTTAGAAAGCTCCAGCTCACCCTATTATCCCTGCTAAGGTCTTACAAAGTCAAGACTGTGGTTTCCTTGATTGAATGTAGACTAAATATGATGCGGTATTTCTCTTTTCCTACTTTTTTCTACTTTACCAAGCATTATTGTATTTTCCAGTGAACCATGTCTTTTCATGATATGTTCACAAAGTACAACAGACTGGGAGACCTGAGGCTCAGTGATTTATTAGTCGTTTTAGGAGTCCATGGTATCCATAGAAATATTCTCTAACATCACTTTTCAAATGAATTGATTTAGTGCCTGTTGGGTTTCTTTGCCATCTATCTTTTACACCACACATAGAAATTCAGATTGTGCTTTGAATAATCATTTGATTTTCCTTCAAAAGGGAATACGTGATCATCAGAGTATGGAAGACTGACATTCAAAAGCTATAAGACCAGTTTTTTAAATGATATTTAGGAGAAACTTGATAAGACTGAAAAGAACAATATTTTCATGAACCTGTGTAGTTGGAAATCATTTTTATAGTTTTTGAATATTATAACATTTTTTTCTGAATCAAGAAAATTGTAATCCACCACACTTCACACTAAAATAAATACATTTAAAGGTGCCTGGTGACTTCTTTTTTGTATCAACCTTCCTTCTTCATGGATCTCTTTCACACTGCAAGCCACTGAAACCAGTAAGATTATTTACTCAAAAGCTAATAGTGATTATAGAATTACTTTTGAGAATGATATTTCTTGGTAAAGGAAGAAGGAGAAGGAAATATGATCAGTAAGATAAATACTCATTCAGGTATTTGAGTGGTATCTGGATAAAGGTGGAACATGAAGCTGGCAGTACCTGAGATAAGATATAGGTAAAGGTTTTCCCCTGACATGAAGTCCAGTCGTGTCTGACTCTAGGGTGTGGTACTCATCTCCATTTCTAAGCCGAAGAGCCGGTGTTGTCCGTAGTCTTCAGATTTGGGCCTATTGGGTATTTGTGCCAAATTTGGTCCAGTGAATGAAAACACATCCTGCCTATCAGATACTTACATTCTGATTCATAACAGTAGCAAAATTACAGTTATGAAGTTGCAACGAAAATAAAGTTATGGTTGGGGGTCACCACAACATGAGGAACTGGATTAAGGGATGGTGGTATTAGAAAGGTTGAGAAACACTGATGTAAAGGGACCTTTGACCAGGTTTTTGTTCTGTGGGATGACTATTACTGGTTTTCCAGTCTTTGGTTAATTCAAAATAAGGTCTCTGTTAAAAAATTAGATATTGATTCCTACTGTAGGAATGTAAAACAGCCTGTAAATGTTTAAACTGTCTAGTCATATTTGCCTTCAGTAATTCAGAAACATAGTGTTACCTTAATGGGAACTAGCCTGCACGCTTACCAAGATGTCAGTGTCCTTCTTTCTCTATGTCTTTTAGTAGTTGTCTCCAGCATTGAAGACCATAGCTGGAGGTGAAGAACAGTGTGAATAGAATGTTTTCTAGGTGTTGGACTTGAAGGTTGCTTGCTGACTTCAAAAGACAGATTGGCTCAGTAGCTATAAACTATCCAGTTTAACTATATTCTGCAGAAGATTTATGTACCCTAAAAGAGGATTTGGCTGGCATTAATTATGGCTAGTGTTGAAGCAGATGTAATTCTACTTATAGGATAGGATTGAAGAGATTTTCAGAGGACTTTCAGTTCCTGATACTGGACCTATATTAGGCAACAAGGTTATTTCTACCTAGTGTTGTCTAAATGGAGACATTTGTTGAGAGATTTGCATGCTACATAATGATGTGATCTCTGCAAATTCTGCTGTGCTGATTTGTGTCTTATTTTGATACAAACACGCTGTTTATATTTCACTGAAACTCTGCATGTCTTTGTGATCTAGTATTAAGGATATCGGTAGGCTTAAGGAAGAGGGTTGTGTCTAGCTGATGTATGTTTGGATGCTTTGTTTTAAGATAGGATAAAATATTGTCTTGTTCTTAAGTGCAGCTATTACAATATAGAATTAAGCTGAAGTAGGCAGTTTTCTGAAACATGTTTTATGGAACTAATAACTATGAGTGTATTTCAGTTGGAAACCTCACTTTATTTCTTTGGTTTTCCTTTAGGGGACTGAAAATGTGCCAGAAATAATGCTAGGACTACAATGGGAAGTGTCACACTTCGCTATTTCTGCTATGGCTGCCTCTTCACTTCTGTGACCTGGACGCTTCTGCTCTTTATTTATTTCAATTTTAGCGAAGAAACACAATCTTTCAAGAATGTGCCCATCAAGGGGCTTGAACCTCAGAAGCCTTTTCCCAAAAGATTCTATCCTCGTTTTGTCCATGGACCCGTGCATGTCCCTGAACTGCAGCACAGATATGGCAAGATCAGGAATCCTTTGGAAAATGCAGTACAGGATCCTGTTAAGGATGACACTGAGCTCTCTCCTGAAATGGGTAAGCCTGGCTAATAATGGGCTAAATATTAATTGAACGCATAGTTTTAAAACTTGATGATTCTGGACACATTCTGAAATTAGAGAATTCATTTTGACACATTTCATCTTTCAGGTATGATTTTTAATGAACGTGACCAAGAAGTGAGAGACTTGGGTTATCAAAAGCATGCTTTCAATATCCTCATCAGTAACCGGTTGGGATATCATAGAGATGTGCCAGACACGAGGGATGCAAAGTATGTTTTTACATGTTCTTTATTCCCAAAATAGATGTTTTACATTTATCCTAAAAAAATGCTGACCATTAGGCAAGTAGAATTAAGGAACACAGATTCCATATTTTTGTAGAGATGCCTGGGGAACGTGGCATTATAGAATTAATTTTGTATGTATCAGGATGTGGATAGGAGCCCCCGGTGGTGCAGTGGTTTAAACCCCTGTGCTGGCAGGACTGAAGACCGACAGGTCACAGGTTCAAATCCGGGGAGAGGTGGATGAGCTCCCTCTATCAGCTCCAGCTCCTCATGCGGGGACATGAGAGAAGCCTCCCACAAGGATGATAAAAACATCAAATCATCTGGGTGTCCCCTGGGCAATGTCCTTGCAGATGGCCAATTCTCTCACACCAGAAGCGACTTAAGGATTCTTTTGAGGAATTTGTTTTGATGTTATATTTGTAACTAGCCGTCCCCTGCCACACATTGCTGTGGCCCACATGGGGGTTCTGTGTGGGAGGTTTGGCCCAATTTTATTGTTGGTGGGGTTCAGAATGCTCTGTGATTGTAGGTGAACTATAAATCCCAGCAACTACAACTCCCAAATGTCAAGATAATATTTTCCCCAAACTCCACCAGTATTCACATTTGGGCATATTGAGTATTTGTGTAGAGTTTGGTCCAGATCCAGCATTGTTTGAGTCCACAGTGATATCTAGATGTAGGTGAACTATAACTCCAAAACCAAAGGACACTGCCCACCAAACCCTTCCAATATTTTCTGTTGGTCATGGAAGAACAGTGTGCCAAGTTTGGTTCAGTTCCATCGTTGGTGGGGTTCAGAATGCTCTTTGATTGTTGGTGAACTACAAATCCCAGCAACTACAACTCCCAAATGACAAAACCAATTTTTTTTAGTGAAGGACATACATTGGGTTTTTAGGTGTCTTGTGTCCAAATTTGGTGTCAATTCGTCCAGTGGTTTTTGAGTTCTGTTAATACCACAAACGAACATTACATTTTTATTTATATAAATGCCATACAGGAGTGTAGTCATAGCCACACTCTTCAAGATGAACCCCCCCCCCACACACACACACACTGCCAAACTTGTTTCCAGCTGTACCATTAATTCTGGATAATATTAATGGGAAATAATACAATTTACAGGTAAAAATAAAGAAGGAAATATGCATATAGGAATCAAGACAGGCTTATTGGAGGCCAGATCTTACAAAAATAGTGCACAGAGTAGGAGGAATAAATGTGCCTCTGGTGTTGGTCAGCTCCTCACTTACCAGGTCCAAGTTTTCAGTTGTTAGTGATGTACTGGCTGTTCGAATTCTTTAAACTTTGCTTATATTCTTATTGCAAAATGGAGGGAGAATGTCTTTTCCCGTAATTTTAGTATCTGAGAAATATTATACTCTTTTTTTTTGTTTTGTGTTTTCAGATGTAAAGGAAAGAAATACCCTCTTGATTTGCCCTCTGCTAGTATCATAATTTGCTTCTATAATGAAGCATTCTCTGCCTTGCTTCGAACAGTTCATAGCGTTCTGGACCGCACACCATCACATCTTCTCCATGAAATTATTTTGGTAGATGACAGTAGTGAATTAGGTAAGAGATGCATGCATTTATGTTAGTTTTGATGTATTCTATGGAGACTTGGATTCCAGTTTGAGAACTATTATGATTAACTTCAGTTCTTTATGACTAAAGAGACACAATAATCTACTATTTTACAGTTTTTATGGAAATATTACTAGTAGTTGGGAAATATTTAGATCCCATAGAATCCTAAAGATCTGCAGACTAAGCTTTTGTGGTCTGTAACCTATTTTGGTAGATTTTGTAGTAGTTTGTAACCAAATGTATGGCTTTGGATTTAAATCTGTTATAATAACAACACAGAAAGGCTGCTGCTTTCATGCTTTACTGGCAAACTGCCCAAATACAGCTAATTTTCTAGCAATAGAACCCCGGGCTAATTAAATGGTGGCTTAATCAAACAGTGCAGTTCTTATATTCCCATCAGTAAGATACGGCTTTGATAGCATTAGTTATTTCCTTCAACCCACGCACCTGTATCAAGAACATCATAAAACCTTTCAGTTCCTCATTAAAAGAGAGTCTTTAGTTGTATATGGCAAAAAAAGTTAAAGTAAGGATGTTAACACAGATGGTTTGGTTCCCAGCTTGTTTTGCTGCTTTAAATCAGACTTTATTTTTTTTTAAATGGGAACAGATTATTAATAAGCTGACATGTTTCTTTCTTTTTCACATTCTAGTTGATCTGAAAGAAGACCTAGATGTTTATCTAAGAAAAAACCTTCCAAACAACATAAAACTAGTCAGAAATGAGAAGCGAGAAGGGCTCATTCGAGGGAGAATGATAGGAGCTTCCCATGCTACAGGTATAGTAAACTCTAAACTTAAGCTGTTTCTTTACTTCCAAATCAGGTGAATTTGACCAAATGGCTTGTGATATCAATAGTATATAGTTAGACAATACGGCCTTCTTTTATGGGCCCAAATGTAAAATAGCTTTGTTTCTTTTTGTTATTTTTTAAGTAAGGTATTCTATAGGTATGAAGCCTTTAGACCAATCTTTTTCAACATTTTACCCCTGAAGCTCATTGTAATAGTTTTCATGACTTAAGGAACCCCTGCATCTGAATTATGACAGTTAAAAAAAAAACACCTTTTTCTCCAGTCAAGATTTCTTGCTGAGCCTTAGCAACTTCTTGCGAAACCTTGGAGTTCCAGGGAAATCAGATTAATTTAGAACATGGGTGAGAAATCTTTTGAGTGAGAGGAGCACATTCCCCAGAGAACAAGCTCTTAGAGATAGCTTCCTGTGATGACCAGAACCAAAGACAGTAGCGAGCTTGCAATCAAATAAAAAATGTGTTCTAGAGATCTGAATTGCAGCTTTAACTTTTCTGCTCCATTCCCTTAACGGAAAGAAAAACCTTTAGAGACAGGATGACAAAATTTCCTTCAGCAGAAAAATAAAAATTCAGCTAAAACCAGAATTAGTCTCGTTTGTAATCTCTCCCGATCACATAGAAGAGAACAATTGATCTTTCTTCTGGAGGGAGCAGGAGAGAGGCAGGTGGATATACTGCTCTTCTTGAATGTGTCCAGTTTTGAAGTAATGTCAGCACAGCCCTCCTGCTGAAAATATTTTTTACTAAAAATGTGAGTTTCTTATCTTGGGATTATCCTTATTCAGCCAAAGAACAGTTCTCAAAGAACATGTCTCATTATACACAGGTTATTGAGTGCAAATACACTTGTATTACACCTCTGAGAAATGCAGTTTACCAGTATCTTACACAATCCATTCCCAGTCATCTCACTAGAGAATTTTGTTGTGGTTACAACAACTAATTGGGTTAAAATGTCATTTGGTAGTCTGTAATCAGCCTGCATTGTGCATTAACATACATCAGTGTTAAATTAGGAAAACTTATATTGTAATTTGTAACTATGGCATAAGCTATTCCTAACTAATGTGTGTTAATCATCTACATTACAGTAATAGGATTTCATTGAAGTTCCCAGCATTCAGCAGTACTTATTCAGCTTTATATAGCTCCGTATGCTATATATGCATTGGAGAGAAGAGGCAGGAAAATATGCATAGCAGTAACATACATATCCTTTCTAAAATGGCATGTTTTTATTTTCATGCCTGTAGTAGAAGACCCTTGGGTTTTATTTTCAAGCAATGTCTTTGTGTGTGTGTGTGTGTGTGTAGAGAGAGAGAGAGAGAGAGAGAGAGAGAGAGAATGCTTGTATATTACACAATTGGAAATGCACTTGTAGTTGTTTGCAGTTATAAAAACAAAAGCAAGATCACAAATTTTACAATAAAAAGAAACATATCAAACAGTTTGAACATATTAGAACATTAGGATCCAGCAATAAAACAGTAAAAAAACAGTTACAAAAAAACCCATGAAGGATTTAATGCCTGTTAGAACAGAAAGGTCTTAGTATCATATTTAAATGCTATTAATGAACATACCAAGCAGTTCTCCCTGGGAAGGCATTCCATGGCAGTCATTACTGAGGAAAATTTTGATTACACTCTAATAGGTTGGAGAAAATGATCTTCTTATTTGTGGAGAGATGTGTAGGAGTATGTATTCTTTGGGTAAACATATCCTAAACCATTTAGGACTTTTTAAAAGAATAGCAATAACATATTGTATCAGATTTAAAGCCTGCCTAAAACCCCCTGCTGTCAATATAGTAGTTGAAGAAATCCCTGCTATTCAGTTCTGAATTAATTGGAGTTTTTGGACCATCTTCAAGGTAATTCTGGTGTGTGGCTACAGTGCATGGCTAATTGTAACTAGGCTACTTTTGTCCAGGTGGAGCTGAAAGCAGCTAATAGAGGTGTCCTGTGCTACTGAGACAACTTGGGCCTCAACTAACAAAGCTAATTGCATGAGTGCTCACAAGCTACCAAGTTGTCCTCTCCATGTTGAGCTCCTCATAGCTGGACAATTAATCTCGGTTTCTTGGTCTTCACCCCATTATCTGCTCCAGGCAGTGGTTCAGTATAGCACTGTGTCACCAGCATTTGATGAAAGTGCAGATCCCCAAGCCTATGTTGCTCTCACTGTTGTGCATGTATGACACAGTCTTCTTGTATTTAATGTGCGTTTGATTTCCCAGGGAAGGTGCTTGTATTTCTGGACAGCCATTGTGAGGTGAATGAGCTGTGGCTGCAACCGCTTCTGACGCCCATCCGAGAATCACGTAAAACAGTGGTTTGCCCTGTCATCGATATTATCAGCGCTGATACCCTTACCTACAGCTCTTCCCCAGTTGTCCGTGGAGGGTTCAACTGGGGCCTGCACTTTAAATGGGATCTTGTTCCTTTATCAGAACTGGAAGGCCCTGAAGGAGCTACTGCTCCAATCAAGTAAGTTTTCTGCTATTGAGACACTTCCTGTTAGTCCCAGTTGCCATCTGCTAAACATCCCTTTTTTATATTACATTGGAAAGGATCAACTCTACATGCCATCAAAGGCTCTGTCAAGGAAAGGCAGGATAAAATTTAAATAAATACATGATGTGAAATAATTTTGATCATTGATGTTTAGAACTCTTAAACTGTGAGGAAAAATTGAGAGGGGGAAAGGTAACAAGTACATTTTGGCAGATATCTACTTTCTCACCTGGGAACAACTGATCTACTTCTAATTACTACATGGAAAGCTGAAACTAAAAGTCCTGTATTTTCCATTTACAGAATGGTAGAGATATTAGTAATGTAAATTATAGTTTCCCTTCGTGGTCAGCTGTGATTTGCACATATGGTATATTCCTTGAAATCTGTTCTGTCCATAGGTAGAAACGTTTAGTATAAACATTGGCTAGGTTACAGATGGGACAATCCTAGTCCTTCAGGCCTTCTGGTGTCATCCTTCAGATGTTTTTGGACAACAACGTCCGTCATTATTCAACATTATGCTCTATAGCAGCTGATTGGAGTTGCAGCTCAAAGAACACCTGAAGGAGTAAACTTTCTTCATCCCTGACCTGAGACATAGGCAGGAAATCCAAGAGAGGTGGAAGACAATATTCAGAACACTATTGGGAGAAATTCCTTCAGTTACATTATTCATTTAATTCATATGGCTACAAGGGGTCCCTAAGGCTGTTTGCAATAGTAAAACATTTGGTAAATATGTAATAATTGACAAAATTTACCCTAGACTAAGAAAAACAAATAACACAACTGGTCACAGCTGGTCACAACAGGGCCTGTTTTGCTCATTTGGTGCCTTTTACAAGTTGTTTAAAGCCTGTTTTGCTTCATTTGGTGGTCTTTAAAAGTTGTTTAGGCCCTCTTTAGGGTTTTCCAGGGCCCTGAAAAGACAGATATTTACCTATCTCCTGAAGACTTGGGAGGAAATATACCCGGAAAGTCCATTTAGAGAACAGTAGATACTACCACTGTAGAAGGCCTGCTGTCCATTTCCATCTGTTTTGAAATAGTGTGAACAGGTGTCTGGATCTTGGGGAAAATATAGGGAAACATTGTACTCTGAACTCTTTTAACCATGTGTTTGATACCTTTATTCTATCTTTTGTGTTGCTGCAGTGCATGTATATATTGAACCCAGCCCACTAAGAATCTTCTCTACTTAACATTCTCCCTTCTCTTCCTCCCACCTTTGGGAGGAAATATCATTTTCTTGTAGGTCACCTACCATGGCAGGAGGCTTATTTGCTATGGACAGAGAATATTTCAATGAACTTGGGCAATATGATAGTGGCATGGACATCTGGGGAGGGGAAAACCTGGAAATATCATTTCGGGTATGTATGGTTTTATTTTTTAGCAGCCAGCAAACTTTTTGCCTTTCTTTCAGCATGACAGCATTTAGACTGATGTTCTTTCCACATGAAAACCATACAGTTCTTTTTTCACACTTTTTTTTCAAGTAGATGAGTTGTGAGTTCTGTTTTAACAGTTGCTGCTTGACATTTTGTTTTATTATCCATCCATGACTGAGCAGGGATTTGAACCCTGTCTCCACAGTCATAGTCCAGTACTCCTTACTAACTTGCCGCTTGCTCAGTAGGTTTTTTTTACACAGAGCCCACTGAGTTATAAATGATGTCATAAATATAAATGGGATCCTTCAATTACTTAGAAAAACCGAATCTGTGATTTTATTGTTTTCAAGTTATGCAGGCAGAACAACCTTGTCCAGATGCTATGACTATACTTTATTAAGTGTAGTCATAGCTTTGAGTCAAGATTAGTCTATCTGTATAACATGTCACTGCTATGAAGTTAACCCCCCCCCCCCCCCCAATATATTATATCCATTGTTTTGCTTCTGGCAGATCTGGATGTGTGGAGGCAAGCTTCTCATCATTCCTTGCTCCAGAGTAGGACACATCTTTCGTAAAAGGCGGCCTTATGGCTCACCGGGCGGCCAGGACACCATGGCGCACAACTCTCTACGACTGGCACATGTCTGGATGGATGAATATAAGGCAAGCCTAACATGGTTGGGATTGTAATTAGTGGCACTTGTAGAAACGAGAGCTCTGGGTGGTATGTTAAAGCACATGGGAAGAGTCTAGGAATTCTGGCCTTCTTCCTCAAAAAATGATTGAGATGTATCTTTGGAGCAGGCCTGCACTGAGTTATCAGTCCCAATCTGTGTGGATGATGAGAATGATAGAACGACTCCAATATAGTGGAAAGGTGCCTAGTTGTCTTACAACAGTGGTTCCCAATCTTTGGTCCTCCAACTCCCAGAAGCTCTTGCCAGCTTGTCCAATAGCCAGGAATTTTGGGAGCCCAAAATACCTGGAGGCCACAGGTTATGCAGTCCTGTTGTCAAGGGATAGGTAGCTTGTCCTGTGTTTTTTTCACACCTTCTATCAGGAAACAAATTTAGGATTGTTGCAGTTCAATTTCAAAGCAGAGTTTTCTAGAGCAGAATGGTTTATCAGATGACTTTCCAAAGAAATAGTGCAATATGTGAAGATGGAATGGTGCAACAATAACTGGAAAGGCCTGGACTATGATGTTGGATTGTGTGATTTTATAATTTTAATGTTGATATTTTTAGTGGGTGTTTTAATGTATATGTTTTTATTTGCTGGATATATATGTAATGTATGGCATCAATTTGTGCCTCCATGTACTCCGCTCTGAGTCCCCTTCGGGGTTGAGAAGGGCGGGATATAAATATGTCAAATAAATAAATAATAGTCAACAGTCCTGTGGTATGAAGGGCTCCTCCCAGAAAGTGTGTCACTGTGATTGAAACAAACAATGTGACCAGGTGACAGTGTACAGCATGCCTTTCATAGACATTCCCGATCCAGTTAAAGCCAATGTAGGATTGGGGTTGGTGGGCACTCCATATTATGAATTGCTTCTACCCACAGCATGTTTGTTAGGTCTAGCATAATGTTTGCTATCAGTAGTAGCCAAAATCTGTATACGGAATTTAAAAATGAGTCAATACACTGGAAATAAAACACTAGACCATTTCAGATCAGAAACCCACATCACTAGGAGATTTCCTTTGGGCCCACTACTTCATAGTGTTCAGTATGGCACTCACATGCTATCAGTATCCAGTGTATTTGGAAGTGAGAACTATGGATGTATTTCTAGGAACTGGTCCAATTATTTTGGGTATAAGACCTCATCAAGTCCTTGGCACCTACAGTTTCTTACTTATTTCTGCATATAGAAATGGTAGCTTTAGGCCCAATAGAATATTGACCTAAACACAACTCTGTGTTGGAAAATTTTGATATTGACTGTTAATGTCAACAAATGGTAATGTTAATATTACAGTAGAAATTTGCAAAAATAGCTTTTGATGTCTTAGAGGGCTTTTCTTGACTCTGCTGACATTAGAGAAAAAACAGATGAGCCTTTTAAATGCTTGGATCTTAAATGCCAGAAAATCTATTAAAAATTCAGGTTGACCCCATTATGGAAATAGATATTAAAGCTTAGTGATTATAGTTACCTTTCAGCTGTTTCCAGTAATAACAAAGGATGAAAGCACACACTGTGTGTTAACTTGGATATATTTTTTCGTATATTTAGTATATTTTGTCTTGTGTTAGTCTGTTGCCCCAACGTCTTTAGCTATTATTTTACAGCTTGGACTACATGAGTTGCTGCTCTTTTTCTTGGTAACTTAATGCAGAAAGACTTGGTAATGTGAAAGAATATAAATTTTCTTGACCTCAAACCCCAGCATTGGCTGAAGGGAAATTGGGAAATTTAGGTTTTTTATGTGTCATTTTGTATTCAGTGAGGATGCACTGTAATTGGTGTATGTTTGAGTGCAATTTGGAGCCCCCGGTGGCACAGCAGGTTAAACCACTGAGCTGCTGAACTTGCTGACCGAAAGGTCAGCAGTTCGACTCGGCGGAGCTGTGTGAGTTCCTGCTGTTAGGGCCAGCTTCTGCCAACCTAGTAGTTCGAAAACATGAAAATGTGAGTAGATCATTAGGCACTGCTTTTGCAGGAAGGTAACAGTGCTCCATGCAGTCATGCCAGCCACATGACCTTGGAGGCATCTACGGACAACACCGGCTCTTCAGCTTAGAAATGGAGATGAGCACCACTCCCCAAATTCGACATGACTCTGTCAGGGGAAACCTTTATCTTTACCTTTACCTGAATGCAGTTTAGTATAAATGTAGTTTAATATTCAGAAGAACTAAACATTGTCCCCATCTCCATGATTTGTTCTCATTTTCACTTAAAATAGATTTCATCGTAATGTATCTGAAATAATTGTTCTGAATTGTAATTTCTCCACAACCCTTCTCTTTCTTTAATTTAGGATCAATATTTTGCCCTGCGACCAGAACTGAGGACAAGGAACTATGGAAATATTACTGACCGGGTGGAATTGAGAAAAAAGTTGAATTGCAAATCCTTTAAGTGGTACTTGGACAACATATACCCAGAAATGCAAATTTCTGGGTCAAATGCCAAAGTTCAGCCACCACTCTTTTTCAACAAAGGGCAAAAACGACCAAAAACACTCCAGCGTGGCAGGGTAAGAGGATGTCCTTTCTTCATCAGATTCTGAAATCTACACTTTAGAATGAAAGCACTTATTTAAATGAAATAGAAATATTTTATCACTTGCAGCTACAATTTGGTACAGCTTTATGGTAAAAGCTGCGTGTGAAAATATATTGCTACAAATGCCAAAATGAGTGACTTCTTTGCAGATGAACAGAATCTTCATCTTTATGGATGCCTTCCTCTTTATATTGTGCTCTATGTGAGTCCCCTGAGGGGTGAGAAGGGCAGAGTACAATTAAATAAATAAATATGCATTTTCATAGTGTTTTGTCTGAACAAATGTGTTTTGAAGTACTCTTTTGATTAGCAGTTCTTCCTGTGGAAGAGTATATGTGATAAAATTACATCAGAATTAGTTGTATTTCTTAAAGCAATATCAGAGCCAAATGAGATTGTAGATTCTCATTTGGATGTGATTTTTAGATTCTTTACTTTGCATGTGAACTGGTGCCAGGACTCCATGTGTGCCAGGACTGGACATAATGGAATTGTACATGTTATTGTTCCTTATTTGCCTTTCCCCATAGATGAAAGGGGGAACAACAACAGATTAAAAGCAACAGTTAAAAACAGTTAAGGAAAAACACAGAAGGCCAACACATATTAAAACAGTCAGTCTGCATTTTATATAATATGTCAAGATTGAATGTAGGTATTTTTTTCCTCTTTGCAGTTACGTCACCTTCAGTCAGATAAATGCCTGGTTGCCCAAAGCCACCCAAGTCAGAAAGGAGGACTTGTTGTGGTCAGAGAGTGTGACTACAGTGATCAAAATCAGGCAAGTGCCCCTAAGACTGTACTTTCCCCCTATTTGTTGCCATGTAGTTGCCATTTTCTGGATTGAATCTGTCTCAGAATTGCTTTTCATTGCTATGCATGCTTAGAGTAAAGCAAAATCCAAGCACAGAAGGTGGCATGTCTCGGGTATTTTGTCATTGCATGCTTTGCCTTTGACACTTAGGGCATGTGAGGTTTCCTTTCTATACTAATTTCTGTGCCAGTAATTTTGTAGTGTCCATGCGGATTAGTGTGCTAGGATGCATTAGCTCTTACCGACCTTGTATTTTTGCTTTAGGATGAAGCACTTGAGTATGTGGGTTTTAAAAAGCCAGATAAATGCTTTGACAACAGATCAAAAACACATTAGTAAAATCATTTTAAAAACACCCCAACAAAACAAAGTGGAACAAAGAAGGAATCTAGGAAGCTTCTCTTATTGGCCTTCCAGTATATGTAAAAACTAGATGAAAAGAATCCCTTTTTAGCTAAAGGTAGGCATCAATATTCCCCACTGCTAGTATTCAGTTCCTCTATTGAATGTGCTCCCAATCTGGTTCCTTCTTACGTAAAATGGCAAAACAAATATCCTTTGATCCATGCTGTTGCAAGATGGGAGAAGATACAGATCAGATTGAAGTAGAAATGCTGTTTGTAACTCATTCACTTGGGCCTTCTTTGAGTACTTGTAGAAATGCCTTAAAGTGCTCTCTCTGTGTTCTGTTGCTGGAATAGCAGCTTATTGATGCTGCTTTATTTTGCAGTTCAGAACCTAAAAATAATATATAGTGGTTGATAGGAAAGTGATGAGCTAGCGGTATTTTCGGTCATTACTCAAAGGAGTATAGCTCTTTTTCTGTTGGCATGGGAGGCATCCTGTTGTGAGTTATCTTCTGTTGCTGAAAAGGCAAGCACAATGTCTCTGTAGTCCTTTTTGGTTATTATTTTTATTGACTTCCTCCTTTCAATTTTTCTGTGATGCTTGTGTTGATAAATCAGACTGGAAAACATCAACGCATAAAAAGCAAGCATGTTGAAATTGTGGGGAAGCAATCAACAGCAGCTCCTGAAACCACAAGTGACTCACTTCTTTGCAATCTCTGCAAAGGCAGCAAAATGTCCAGTCCCATCCATTGCTGTTCTCTCTGCAACCAGGAGCCTCTTGCCCTCTGAGCTCATGAACTCTCATTAATAATTGAGATGCTCGCTTTTTTGGAAGGAAGCCCTTCCATGGCACGAATGTTGCTACTGAGTTGCAACATTTGTGATTGACAGTGAGGCTGGGAAAGAGTTCTACAAATGCAGTGGACTGCTAAATAAATAGGGCCCTAGAGCAAATCAAGCCTGAACTCTCCCTAGATCTTGTCAGCGTTTTGGAAGAAGCAATGATCCTCCGCCGTCAGCTTCGCTAGACTGGCCACGTTGTCTGAATGCCTGATCATTGTCTCCCAAAGCAGCTACTTTGTTCTCAGCTCAAGAACAAAAAACAGAACATTGGACAACAAAAGAGATTTAAAGATGGGCTTAATGCTAAACTAAAAAAGTGGAATAAACACTGAAAACTGGGAAGCCCTGGCCCTCAAGCGTTCAAACTGGAGGTCAGCTGTTGCCAACAGTGCTGTGTATTTTGAAGAGGCATGAATAGAGGGAGGAAAGAAGAAATATGCCAAGAGAAAGAAGGTGCCTCAAGCAAAGCCTTGTTGGGGCCCACCTTCCATCTGGAAATCTGTGTCCGCATGTGAAATAATGGGGCTACAAAGTGCCGTCCACAACATGCGAATGTGGAGAAGAGCAAACCTCAGACCCCTTGCTACAATGCAGCCTGAGCCCTGCCACATGCACAATGGAGGACATTCTTACAGTGACACCAGAGGCACTCCAAGTGGCCAGCTTCTGGTCAAAGGATATTTTGTATAATGCCAAGTTTTTAATTGTGTCTCTGGGTTTTTTATATATTCATTATAACTGTCTTCTTAATTCGCTTCTGATATGATAAATACATTGTGAAAGAAAGACTATGGAGATCCAGAATAGGTCTCCACAGTCACTTATGGACCCACTGCCAAGACTCTACCCTTGGAAGACAACCAGACTTAGCCACAAGGGATCGCTTACAGTAGTAGTAATTTCCATAGAGGATGATGAAACTGAGACTTTTCTATCTTTTTCATGATACAGCCAAAGTACAACTCGCTGGAAGAGATCATAAGGCTTGGTAAAGTAGAAGGCAGGAGGAAGAGAAGAAGACTGTATTTCTAGTGGATAAACTCAATCAAGCCAAATCCTGAGTCAGAGGATAGCATGATCTGAAGGTCTCCCATTCATGGGATGGCGCAGTGGGTTAAACCCTTGTGTTGGCAGGACTGAAGACCGACAGGTCACAGGTTCGAATCCAGGGAGAGGCGGATGAGCTTCCTCTATCAGCTCCAGCTCCTCATGCGGGGACATGAGAGAAGCCTCCCACAAGGATGGTAAAACATCAAAAACATCTGGGCAGTGTCCCCTGGGTAACGTCCTTGCAGACGACCAATTCTCTCACACCAGAAGCGATTTGCAGTTTCTCAAGTCACTCCTGACACGACAAAAAAAAATATTAAAAAAAATATCATGGGATCATTTGAGTTAAAATTGACTTAATGATTGTTAACAATAACCAATACAACCACCAGAGGGTGCACAAGTTTAATTTTATTTATTCTGACCTGAACTCCCTGGGATCAGGTAAAGCCCACTCAGTGGCTGGTAATGGTGGGAGTTGAGAGTCCAGTGCCATCTTTGAGGTTTTTGTTTCCCTGTTTCTACTACAAGGTGATAAGCTAATAAAAGGAAGCAGAAGACACAATATGTCACGTTATGCTCAGAAGATATATTGTGTAGACATCACCAAAGCACACAACAACAAACCATCTATTTCGCGGGGTAAATCGTTTCCCTTGTGTGAAATGGAATTCTTGGAGGTTTCTTTGGTTCACATGGCACTAAAATGTCAATGATTGCTTCCCTTAGGTATGGCTATACAATGAGGATCATGAACTAATCCTAAACAATCTTCTGTGTCTGGATGTATCCGAAACCCGGACTTCTGATCCACCCCGCCTTATGAAATGCCATGGTTCAGGAGGCTCTCAGCAGTGGGTCCTGGGGGTGAGTTCTTAATGAGGTTGAGCTGTTCCAGTCTTCTGCATGTTGGAAAGTTCTGAATTGAAAAATGGATTGTAGGGGCAATGATTCCTGTTAACGTGTTTTTCAGATGTCAGCTTGTTACACTTAAGTATTGGCTAGATTCTGTTGAGATTTTACAGATAAAATCTAAGTGGCCTTAGTTTAAGCATAGGCAAAATTTGGGACTTGAAGTCCAAAACACCTGGAGGTCCAAAGTTTTTCTCATGCCTGCCTTAGATCCTTAAGAGAAAAGACTCATCCATTCAGAAAACATTTTTTAAGTTTAGTTCATGTAGTCCTAGGCTCATATTCGAAATGGGATTTAACTGTGCCCCATAGCATTGGTGTATTTACGTGATCGTCAGAATACTTCATGTGCCTGTATCCCGTTTCTTTACTGGTACATACCATGTTTGTACTGCTCAGTTGACTACCAGGACTTGGAAGCCTTTAGGGTGGAGTAACTCATTTGTAAACCTCCCAAATATTGTTAAATTGCAGCTCTCTTCAAATTGTTAGCACTACCTTATGCTTGAGAGTGAAATCGCCTGCAGAGCTTGCCAACACCTGCTTTATATTTACATTGTTAAACACACACATCTGGAGACACATGAAACATCAGTATCTCCGAATTGCATTTTTATTTTGCTTCTGGGATGGTTTTTAAGTAGTGGTTTTAAGGGGATAAAAAGAATCTGTTTTGACAAGTAAAAATGCCATTATCAATATCCAATGTGGCAGATTTGCCAAGATTAGTTCTCCTCTCCCCCCACCCCACATTCCTGAGCTCTAGATCAGTGTTTCTCAACCTGGGGGTCGGGACCCCTGGGGGGGTCGCGATGGGGTGTCAGAGGGGTCGCCAAAGACAATTAGAAAACACAGTATTTTTTGTCGGTCGGGGGGGTGGGGGTGGTTCTGTGTGGGAAGTTTGGCCCAATTCTATCATTGGTGGAGTTGCTCTTTGATTATAGGTGAACTATAAATCCTAGCAACTACAACTCCCAAATGTCATAGTCTATCTTCCACAAACTCCACTAGTGTCCACATTTGGGCATATTGAGTATTTGTACCAAGTTTGGTCCAGATGCATCAGTGCTCTCTGGATGTAGGTCTACTACAACTCCGAAACCCAAGGTAAATGCCCACCAAACCCTTCTGGTATTTTCTGTTGGTCATGGGAGCTCTGTGTCCCAAGTTTGGTTCAATTCCATCATTGGTGGAGTTCAGAATGCCCTTTGATACTGTAGGTGAACTATAAATCCCAGCAACTACGACTCCGAAATGACAAAATCAATTCTCCCCTCGACCCCATCAGGCTAGAATTATGTGGGACAACAACAAACAAATTTGGGTGTATTGGGTATTTGTGCCAAATGAATGAAAATACATCCTGTATATCGGGTATTTACAAGATGATCCATCACAGGAGCAAAATTACAGTTGTGAAGTAGCAATGAAAATAATGTTATGGTTGGGGGTCACCACAACACAAGGAACTGTATTAAGGGGTCGCAGCATTAAGAAGGTTGAGAACCACTGCTCTAGATGTTCTTAGAGTTCATTTGCACAAGTATAAGCTAATGAAAAAAGCCCCCTGATGGTGCAGTGGGTTAAACCGTTGAGCTGCTGAACATGCTGACCAAAAGGTTGGTTCAGATTCACAGAGCGGGGTGAGCTACTACTGTTAGGCCCAGCTTCTGCCAACCTAGCAGTTCGAAAACATCCAAATGTGAGTAGATCATTAGGTTCTGCTTTGGTGGGAAGGCAGTGGCAGTCTATGCAAATATCCTGGCCACATGACTTTGGGGATGATGCTCATCTCCATTTCTAGCTGAAGAGCCAGCGTTGTCTGTAGACTCCTCCAAGGTCATGTGGCCAGCATGACAACATGTCTGCGGACAACACTGGTTGTTCAGCTTAGAAATGGAGATGAGCACCACCACCCCAGAGTCAGACATGACTAGACTTAATGTCAAGGGGAAACTTTTACCTTTACCCTAAGAGGGTCAGCTCTCATTAGCTCAGGAATGAAGGTGCTTCTGTTTCCTTTCCCCTCAATTGTTGCCTGGTGCTTTTCCCTCTCCAGAAAAATGACCGGCTTTATCAGGTGTCCGTTGGGCAGTGCATGAAGGTTGTGGAGCCCTTCAGCCTCAAGGGATATGTGGCTATGGCGATTTGTGATGGCTCCCTCCCGCAGCAGTGGCATCTGGAGAGCTGAGCAGCAGAGGCAGAACCTCGGTTCCTGAGTCAACTGAACTGAATTAGGAATCTGGATTCCAAATGGACACTTGCGACATTCAGTATTTAAAGGAAGTTCAGAAAACTGTTAGTGGACTATAAGTCCAGGTGGGACAGAAACTATAACAATCATGTTTCAACCTCTGTCCCCAAAGCAGAAGTGCAATTATGTTCTTGGGACAGGCATGGGCAAACTTTGGCCCTCCAGGTGCTTTGGACTTCAACTCCCACAATTCCTAACAGCCGGTAGGCTGTTAGGAATTGTGGGAGTTGAAGTCCAAAGCACCTGGAGGGCCAAAGTTTGCCCATGCCTGTTTTAAGAATTCTCTGGTGTCTGGAAGCTTTCTAAATAATAATTAGAAATCATGTAACTTAATTAGTGAAGAAATGCAACTAATGCACACTTCCTCACTGTCAGAACTGTACCCCGTTTTGTTGTCATTCCTTGCACAAAATATCACGGTACTATCTTTTCATTTTGGTGAATGGCTGAATTATTTTAACTGATCTTCTGTCGTAGTCCTTTGCATATTTAATTTTAATCCATTTATTTTAAACTTTGCATAGTTGCAATTTTATGTGTCCTTTGTCTTACGGTATTTAAGATAGTTACTGCGATTTAGGTTTGATGGCTGGCTAGTATCCAAAACTATGCGGATGGCAGTCTCCTCCTCCTGCTGCGGGACTTCCCAGCGTCTTCCCCTCTGCATCTCTCTTGCGCTGTAATCATCTCCTCTGGTTAAAGGAACCCTTTGACAGACCTAGGAACGGCTGCGGTGTCTGAGGATTATGGCTAGAATTATGTGGGACAACAACAAACAAAAGGCACTTTTGGACGTGGCTGGGATTTTAAAAGAAAAATATACTTGATTATCTGTACTCGGTTTCCATGCAGTGAGCTCAACAGAAACCGATGTATGCTATGTATGTTTAAAACGATCATGATGGTGTAAGATATATATGTATGTAAATAAACAGCAAGAAATTTGAATTTCTCTGAAAATGAAAGCATTCATTGAGTGGGATGCATTATATCATCAGTTCATTCAACACAGAGTTAAAACACAGGCCTGAAAAATATTTGGTATTGAATCAATGGTGGTAACATGCTCAATCAAGATCTTTGTCAAAAATGGGTCAGTTTTAATTAGTGATAGGATTTTTGTTTTATGATTCATATGTGATTGCAGTAATTGTATAAACACAGTGTATGGTGGATTTATGATATTACATAGACATCACATGGAGGTAGGGACAGACTTTGTATTTCTAGGTGCAAAGATTACTGCAGACACAGACCTCAGCTAGGAAATCAGAAGACGTTTACTTCTTAGGAGGAGAGCAATGACCAATCTCCATAAAATAGTGAGGAGTAGAGACGTCACACTGGCAATGAAGATCTGTATAGTTAAAGCAATGGTATTTCCTATAGCAACCCATGGATGTGAGAGAGGAAGGCTGAGCGAAGGAAGAGAGATACTTTTGAACTGTGGTGCTGGAGCAAAATTCTGAGACTGCCTTGGACCGCAAGAAAATCCAACCAGTCCATACTCTAGGACAGTGTTTCTCAACCTGGGTGTCGGGACCTGTGAAGGAGGTCCGTTATTAAACTGCTGCCACCAATTGTAACGATGACCGTTTTAATGCCACCGAATGTGAAGGTGCGAGTGGTAAAACACCCACTGCCACCTTATCTATGAGGGAAGCCGGGCAACGATCAATATCAGCCTAGGAACTATTTTATAAAGGGACTGTTTCTGGCTGACTTTATTATTGCAGGCTGTTCAACTTAGAAGAAACTGTATCAGGCAAGGCTTGAGGAAAAGTAACAAGTTTATTTTAACAGGAGTATAACAATGTATAACTGTTCTTCAAAAGAGGCACAAATCTTGATGGATACATTGGAAAGGTTTCATGAGTAAACTCAGGCAAACACTTCATAAGGTTTCACAGCTGGCACAACAGGCTTAAACCCAGCCAAACCTTGATTCTTAATTTAGAATCAACAACCCCCTGTACCGGGTCCTTCTCTGCAACCACTTTGGTCACCAATTGATTCCCTGAATCTCTAAGAGATTCAGTTTTTCCCTATAGCACACTGGCTACAGACACATTCCCTGAATCTCCACCAAAAGATTCAGTGTTTTCTCAGTAGCTCTCCGGCCACTGACTGGATTTTTAAAACACAGCTGCCTCTGAAGAGGCGGTTGGCTCCGCCCCTGTTGCTATGGCAACTTAGCTAACATCAAGCCACTCCCACAAAACATAATCTCCCATACTTACCATCCCTAAACCATTGTCCAAACTACACATAACCAAAGGAATAAAATTTACACATCGTCACAGGACCCCTGGAGGGGTTGTGAGGGGGTGTCAGAGGGGTCACCAAAGACTACAAGAAAACACAGTATTTTCTGTTGGTCATGGGGGTTCTGTGTGGGAGGTTTGCCCCAATTCTATCGTTGGTGGGGTTCAGAATGCTCTTTGATTGTAGTGAACTATAAATCCCAGCAACTACAACTCCCAAATGTCAAGGTCTATTTTCCCCAAACTCCACCAGTGTTTACTTTTGGGCATATTGAGTATTTGTGCCACGTTTGGTTCTGAACCATCATTGTTTGAGTCCACAGTGCTCACCGGATGTAGGTGAATTACAACTCCCAAACTCAAGGTCAATGCCCACCAATCCTTCCAGTATTTTCTCCTGGTCATGGGAGTTCTGTGTGCCAAGTTTGATTCAATTCCATTGTTGGTGAAGTTCAGAATGCTCTTTGATTGTAGGTGAACTATAAATCCCAGCAACTACAACTCCCACAGGACAAAATCAATACCCTCCCCCAATCCCACCAGTACTTAAATTAGGGTGTATTGGGTCTTTGTGCCAAATTTGGTCCAGTGAATGAAAATACATCCTGCATATCAGATATTTACATTACTATTCATAACAGCAGCAAAATGACAGTTATGAAGTAGCAATGAAACTAATTTTATGGTTGGGGGTCACCATAACACGAGGAAGTGTATTAAGGGGTCGTGGTATTAGGAAATAAATCTAGGAAATAAAACCCGACTGGTACCTGGAGGGAAGGATATTAGAGGCAAAAATGAAGTACTTTGGCCACAGGGAGCTCTGATGTGGGCTGGTCCATGAGGTCATGAAAAGTTGGAAGTGACTGAACAAATAAACAATGACATCACAGTTACGGAAATTTACATTTATAGTCATTGCACCATTGTTTTGACCTAAGGTGCTCCCTCAGATATCTTTTGAACTGTGCAGCTCCCTCCACAGGAAACTTTGAAAACAGGATGATGAACAATGATGCAAGCTTTGGGATTAATTTTACTATATGTTACAGCCGTTTTAGCATGTTGCATAAAATCTTGCACTATGAAGTCCTCTTAGGACTTTATTGCACGAGGCACACAATGCATTGCAGGATTGTTACCATTGGTGACAATGGATATCCTCTGACACTATGTGCATCCCACTATTGTCTTGGGTCCATCCCACCCCCCATGAGTAGCCTGTCCCTTTTATAATTGACAGCTAAAACCCTTAAATATCTCATTCCACTATTTCATTCTTGAGATGGCACAAGGAGCATTCCCACTACGGATGGATGAACCCATATGCTGACCTAACAGCCAAGAATCCACATTCTTGTTTCTTTAGATCCGCACAGGACGCTTCTCTTCCATCAGTTATTCTGCACAACCAACCATATATACTTTTAACTTTTTTGAAGGGGAAATAATTAAAGAACACTAGGAGGAGAACTACCGAGACTAAATAAGAGATCAAAAGATTTAGAGAACAGTCCCAGCAATGCCTGAGAAGCAGATCAAGTGACAATTACAATCTGAGAAACAAGCTCCTCAGTTGATTGCCTCGCAGCAAGCCACTCTGGAGGAGCAAAAAGAGGAAATAAAGAGGAGCTTTATGTCCTCTGGTGAAAGCGAGGTAAAGGAGACAAGGTTTGCTGCACTTCGAGCCTCCGGAAAAGAAACGCAACATACACAATACAGCGCTATATGAAACGAGTCAATTAAATTGCTGGGGGAAGAACAGTAACCCAACTTTTTTTTACAGAGACGAAAGCACAAAGTTGGCAAAGTATCCGTAGATTAAAGGCACCCTGCAAAGCAAAAAAGGCAGCTGAGATAAATAGCTGGAAAAAAAAGTCGGATTCTTGATTTTAAGGCTTTGGCGATGGAGGGAGGGGCAAAAGTGGAGAGCACAAGAAGAGCGTAAAAAGAGGTAGGTGGAGCTCCAATAGAGCTCACTTTCTGTAGCAACAACAACCAAGGAAGCAATTGCCAATCAAAAAGGAAATGGAGCCACAGTCATGTGACCTCAAGTAGGCAGGAGTAGTACGCCGTTCTCTCCCCACTCCCATTCCCAAAGTGGTTGATTTGTATGTTATATCAAACAAAAATATAACACTAAATACACTGGGTAGGCAATATGGCAGGAAGGTTTGGCTAACAAGTGAGTCTTTGCAGAAGATTTAGCGAAGATGCTCAGTTGTGCAAATAAAGAGGTGCAATATTGGGAGGTATTCCCCTTAGAACAGTGGTTTTCAATCTGTGGGACATGGCCCAGGAGTGGGCCACAAGAACGAAAGTCCAGTCCCCGAACTTCCTTCCTCTATTTTATTTCCATTCCTTTCCGCAGACCTATCTAGCCCCACCCATTTTGGCACTAATGTTGGAGAGTGGTCGCTGGTCAAAGTGGTCCCCTGTCAAGTGGGCCATGGTCACTGTGGGCCCTGGTCAAAGTGGGCCCTGGTCAAAGTAGTCCCAGGTCAAGTGGGCCCTGGTCAAGTGGGACCTGGTCAAAATGGACCCTGTTCAATCAAAGTGGGCCCTGGTTAAAGTGGGCCCTGGTCAAGTGGGCTCTGGTCGAAGTGGCCCCTGTTCAAGTTGGCCCTGGTCAAAGTGGGTCCTGTCCAAGTGGTCCCTGTTCAGGAGGACCCTGGTCAAAGTGGGTCCTGGTCAAGGTGGGCCCTGGACAAAATAGGCCCTGATCAAAGTGGGCCCTGGACAAAATAGGCCCTGTTCAAGTGGGCTCTGGTCAAAGTGGTCCCTGGTCAAGTTGGCCCTGGTCAAAGTGGGTCCTGTTCAAGTGGTCCCTGTTCAAGTGGGCTTTGGTCAAAGTGGTCCCTGGTCAAAGTGGTCCCTGGTCAAAGTGGTCCCTGGTCAAAGTGGGCCTTGGTAAAAAAAAAAGTCTGGGAATCAGTGCCTTAGAATCATAGAGTTGGAAGAGACCTTGTGGGCCATCTAGTCCAACATCTCGCCAAGAAGCAGGAAAATCACATTCAAAGGACCCCCCTGACACATTACCATTATAATGCGGCTGTTGCGACAGAGCAAGTTGGTGCAATAAAGTGCAGTCCCCTTGAAAAACAGGTACAAGTCTCTCAAAGTCTTACGCTAACAAGTTTCAGCTTCTTAATACAAACAAGCAATATTTATAGATGTAAAATATTTTATTTGTAAATGCTGATCTTCCAAATCTGTTTCCACAAATTTCAAAGCCCATAACACTCTGTATACTTCAAAAATTCATTTTTTGTCAACATTAGAGAACTATGATACAGAACAGGAGAGAGAGAGAGGAAAAAAAACCTGTAGTAGGACAAATACTGGTAGGATCGATGCTGGAATATTGTACAAGAGAAGAAAAATATTCAAGAAACAAATTTCATACAGCTATTTATCAAGAGAAAAATATATACAATTGATTTATTCTGTAAGATAAAAATACATCATGCCATATACATTACAAGTCCAGAACTGTATCACTGAATTATACCGACAGTTTTACAGTCCACTTCAGCTGTGCACACAAAGAAAAAACTTCATTTCTTTTTTAATATTTAGACTGTGAAGTGTCAGTACCAGAATTTAAAGTACAAAATAAAAAAAAAACTAACCTGGTTCAAAATGTTGATTAGGTCTCTACAAGCCAAACACAAACAGTGTTTATTTATTTTTTTAAAAGAAATGTAAACAAAAACAATCCATACAAACACATATTTTTAAATTACACTTTCCAAAACCCTATTGCGAGAGTCCTGCAGATGAAAGCACAATTACATCTATTTTTTTCCTTGTTTTTATTTTTAAAGAAGGCAGCTATTGTATTAGACTTACGCTTTCACTACACATTTCTATTCCCGTTACATGATTTTAGTGTGAGCCGAACAGTTCATGTAATCCCTCCCCTTCTATACTCTCTCCGGAAAAGAAAAAAAAAATCAGTGTTCGGCTTCTGTTTTGGGTGGTTTAAGCAGTTATTCACAGTTATCACAAATTCTAAGCACACAAAAAAACCTGATTTTAAGAAATAGGGATGTAACAATATAATACAAACAAAATAAAAACCAGTCTTAAATTTCCTCAGACGTCTACAAAAAAGTCATATACATGCTCTATTATCAGTCTTAAGGGTCGACTTACAAAAGTTAATGGATAGAGCACAATCGAGCCTGCTTTCAAGGTTAAAAAAATAAAGTAAAACCTCTCTTAAATTGAGATTTTGGTTATTCCATAACAATTTTTTTAATGGCATGTTTAGTAATACATGAGATCATATTGTAACATCCCTATCAAAGTTTAATAATAAGCACCCGAAACTGCTGCAGAGTCTTGATAGCATTTGGTCAATTACTATTTCTTTATATTGTACTTTTTTTTTTTACTCCCTCAAAATTATTTACACGTCTGTACAAAGTAACAGGGTTTGTTAGTTTCTGCAGGTAACAGCAGCAGCTTGGCTTCTAACTCTTCCTTTTTAAAAATAGCTTCATTCACTTATTTCAATAATAAATACAAAAAGTTTCTCTTATTTTACAGAAATCAAAAACTACAATAAACTGACTCATGGAATCAAGTATTTTAAATGTATTTTAGTGCAAGTTATTTTTTTCCCTTAGCTCTATCCCTAAGGAAGTCATTCAGTACATTCCTTGTTCAGTGGTGTCTACTTTTTATTTAAACTTATTTTATTTTTATTTTATTTTTCTGTATTTAGAGGGCCTGCCCCTTTCATAAAGTAAGGCTGTGGCCAGCACTTTGGACGTCTCCCTTTCTTTCGCTGGTGATTTCAGTCTACATTCATTGATGCCACGCTGCCCCTCGGCAGGTCAGCTCTCTACACCGCTTTCTCTGCCCACGTTCAACAACTTCTCAGTTCGCGAGCGAGTTCATAAAATCAAAAGTGCTGGACCGGTTTGGAGATCTGTGGCGTCTCTCATGCGCTCGGGAAGCCAAGCACCGGCTGATGCGCTTCCCGCCGTCCGGCTCCCTCCCTTCCGGCTCTTTGCCTGGGAGCAGAATATAGGCAACTTGCAGAAGGGACCGCTTTCACATCCCTGCCCCAGCCTGCAAAACGACGCCATCAGAGTCACTCCTTCCTTGGGACACGCAGCCCTAGGAGACGGCAAGGAATGCATCTAGTTCATCCATTTCCGGCAGTTGACGGCTCCACAGTGACATGGAATCTTGTGCTGATCATCTTCAAAATCAAACTTATAGTCGTAACAGAGCTGGAAAGAAAAAAAAAACGGGCAATTTAATCCCATGCTTGCAAAACCTATTACACCCTGTAAATCAGGCATGTGCAAAGTTGGGCCCTCCCTCCAGGTGTTTTGGACCAACACCCACAATTCCTAACAGCCTACTGTGTTGTGGCTGAGCTATTTTCTGACGATGAGGATGATGGGATTCAGATTCCTGCTGGGATTCAGCTTCCTGGCTCTTTATCTGTGCCTCAAATCTCTGGGTCTGCTTCTGAGGCTCCCACAGACAGTGCAGTGTCAACACAGACGTTCCCACCACCTGAAAGGAATTTTAACGAAGGAGATAGCGAGCAGGTGCCTTCCCACGCTGATACCGAAAGTGTAGATAGTGACTTGACCCGGCAAGCTCATCTTGATCTCCGGGTCAGGCGGAGTTCTCGTCTGGCCAGCAGACAAGAAGCCAGTTCGGTGAATGGTCGTCACAATGCTTTTATGATGATGAGAGCCTAATGTTTTCATGTTAAAAAGGTATTTAGGCCTCTTGCAAACTCTGAGAAAGTGTCAGTTCAACATAGCTTACTAGCTTGAAAGCTTCATGGAATAACCTTAGCCTGAAAGCAGTACGCTTGGGATTTATTTCATTGTGATTCATGGGGCAATTGTTTCATTGCTTGTACCTGGGACTCTGGTTTGAACTTTGCCAATAGGATTATGTCTCCTGTTTTTCCTGAAGATCTTTGGAACGATATTCTGCTTTTAACCTTAATCTTTGGAATTTTGCAATGTTTATTCTTTATTTTGACTTGGATTTTCTCCTCAATAACCTATAAAACTACAGCTCTTGTGTGGTGGTGTTTGGAAGCAAGGTGAAGCTTACTCTGAGTTGCAACATACTGGCTGTTAGGAATTGTGGGAGTTAAAGTACATAACACCTGGAAGGCAAAACTTTGCCCAAGCCTGGTCTATTTATTTATGTCCTGAATTGCCCTTCAAAAACAGCTTTTAGACAATATTGAAAGTAAAAGAAAAACGCTTTACTTCAGCAAACACAAAGGATAAGCAAATGCAATTGAAAAGTGCAAAAGAAAGCAAGGAAGTCTTCCAGACACAAATTCAAGTCTCTTACAAGGACCTCAAAAGAAACACCAGTCTTCCATCAGACAACAGACGATGAACTAAGTCCACAAAGCAGATTCCATAGGAGTGAAAACAGCAGTATCAGGGCCGTTGTTACCAGCAAAAGCTGACTAATCCTGCCTCTGATTTATAGCCCTGAATTCCCCACGTAGGGCATCTCTCAATTAGCTCAGCATTTTTAGCAGCTATTCTGGCTGAACGGTGTCTGTGCTCTGTCTCTTTTCGTCTCTCTAGAAATGTGGGCACTTTCAAACCCCCATCATCTAATTCTTCTCCTCCCTCCACTTCCTGAGCACTTCCCTGCTCCCCTTCCTCTTCCGAAGATGAGGAATCCCCAACAATGTATTTGTTTGTTTGTTTCATTTATATACTGCTTTACTTAGCCCCTGGGCGGGGGACAGGGACGGGGGACGGGGACTCAATGTCATCGTAATCGGCAAAATTCAACGCCTCATAATATAAAATGCATTACATAACTAAAATAACATATAACTGTAGATTAAAACCAATAAACTATAAAACATCTGAATAGACAAACATAAAACATTGCACCAATGTTTTATGATCTTAACTACTCCACCTCACTCCCTGAACGCTTGCTTAAAAAGCCACGTTTTGAGTAGTTCCCTAAACGTTGGGAGGGGACTGATCTGATATTGCTGGGGAGGGAGTTCCGCAGCTGAGGGGCCACCACTGAGAAGGTCCTGTCTCTCGTCCCCACCATTTGCACCTACGAGGGCAGCGGGACCGGGAGCAGGACCTCCTCAGCAGATCTTAATGCTTTTAGATGCTGTTTACATTGCTGAATCTATTTGGGGATAGGGTTCATCACTTTGGATAGGTCTTTAAAGTTTGGACTTAAACCTTGAACGGATTCAACACTGTCAGCATAGGTGACCTTGTGATGGATACATAGATTCATAGATAAAATACTCATGGGGAAGTTTGTCCCACCCTTGTTTTATAACATCACAAAGGGCCACTTCACCTAGCAACAGCCAGACCAGTGACTTCACAAAGGGCCACTTCATCTAGCACAGTGGTTCCCAACCTTTTTTTTGACCAGGGACCACTTGACCAGGGGCCACTCTCCAACATTAGTACCAAAATGATTACGAATCAGTTTTTGGTCAACTTTACATTCCATTTGGCTATCTGGGGTGCTCATTCAGAATATTGCATTGGATAGACCACAGGAATCTGTGTTAAGAAGGACGTATTCTACAACAAGCCATAGTAGAAGCCATACAAACCGCACCTCTTCCCCTTTCTGGATTCTCCTGCTAGAACTGATGATGATTTTATGCCCCCTTTCAAAGGTTACCACCTCAGCCACACAGTTCGGTGCACAGGAATGATTAATATACCTAAAAGGAAATGAAACAAAACAAGAACTCAAGCATGAGATTGTAAAACGCGGAGGTAAGTAAGCAATTGCACCCAATGTTGACCCGAGGAAAGTAATGATATAAGCATTGTTGCATCTATATAAATAAAAATGTAATGTTCAGTTGTGGGATTAACAGAATTCAAAAACTACAGGATGAATTGACACCAAATTTGGACACAAGACACCTAACAACACAGTGTATGTCCTTCACTCAAAAAATTAATTTTGTCATTTGGGAGTTGTAGTTGCTAGGATTTATAGTTCACCTACAATCAAAGAGCATTCTGAACCCCACCAATAATGGAATTGAACCAAACTTGGCACACAGTTCTCCCATGACCAACAGAAAATACTGGAAGGGTTTGGTGGGCAGTGTCCTTTGGTTTTGGAGTTGTAGTTCACCTACATCCAGAGAGCACTGTGGACTCAAACAATGATGCACCTGGACCAAATTCTACACGAATACTCAATATGCCCAAATGTGAACACTGGTGGAGTTTGGGGAAAATACAATCTTGACATTTGGGAGTTGTAGTTGCTGGGATTTATAGTTCAACTACAATCACAGAGCATTCTGAACCCCACCAACGATAGAATTGGGCCAAACCTCCCACACACAATCCCCATGTGGGTCACAGCAACGCGTGGTAGGAGACGGCTAGTTATATTATATTATCATTTAAAATTGAGCACAAGGAAAATAGCTGATCTCTAAAGCAATACCACCTTGCAGGGCCTCCTGTCAGTGTGGCGTCAATGACGTGATCGTTGTCGATGCGGAACATGTACACTCCACGGTTCTAAGAGAGGAAGGAACCAGAGAGTCAGATTTGCAAGGTCATGAAATAACATTCCCAATTCAGTAGTATATCTCAGGCATGGGCAAACTTGGGCCCTCCAGGGGTTTTGGACTTCAACTCCCACAATTCCTAACAGCCGGTAGGCTGTTAGGAATTGTGGGAGTTGAAGTCCAAAACCTCTGGAGGGCCCAAGTTTGCCCATTCCTGCTCTAGAGGAAAGATTACATTTGCTATGTTATATAAAAACGAGAAACGCATGATATAAATACAGGAAACACATCAAGCTGCCTCATGTAATACCTGAGATTCGTAAAGCTTCTCCTTCCTGTTGGCTACCTCGTTGCGGATGATGGTTCCAATATATTCAATGACCATTGTGTGCTTTTCAATGTCTCTAGCAGCATACAAGCCCAGACCCTGCAAAGGTAAAAGCAGACGGTTTAGGAGTCTTGAAGTTGCCAAGTGCACAAAATGGGCTGCTTATTGCTGGCATGAAAGGATTAGCATTTGGGTACCAAAATGATGAAGCTAATGCTTCTTAATAAACTTGCAATGCAATCCGGTGCCTGTTTACTCAGGAAGAAATCTCCCCAAGTGTTAAGATGGGCTTATTCCTTTGGGAGTGTATTAAGAATCGCAGACTAAGACAGCAATGACAGGAGAACACCAATATGTTCCTATAACAGGGGTGGTAAATTTGTTTTCATAGAGGGCCACGTCATCCTTATTATGATTGCCTTCAAAGGGACGTTAAATCCATGGAACAAGAAACCGTGGTTGCAGGAAGCCAACTATAGAAGTTTTTTAAATGGTGGTCAGTGCTCTTTAATCAATAATAATAATAATAATAATAATAATAATAATAATAATAGGAAGCGTCCAACGTGTGATCCAATACAACAGCCAGCAGAGTGACCTTGTCTGCTATGTACTAATCTTTTTGTGTTTCAAATAATAATAATAATCAAACTGCAAAGGCTCTGGCACAAGCCAGTCAAGGTGGTCCCAGTGGTGATTGGCACACTGGGTGCAGTGCTTAAAGACCTTGGCCTGCACTTAAAAACAATCAGCCCTGACAAAATTACCATCTGCCAGCTGCAGAAGGCCACCTTACTGGGATCTGCATGCATTATTCGCCAATACATCACACAGTCCTAGACACTTGGGAAGTGTCCAATGTGTTATCCAATACAACAGCCAGCAGTGTCTGTTGTGGACTCATCTTGTGTTTCAAATAACAATAACAACAACAACAACAACAATAATATCAACACCCAGCAGAATGTCTGCTGTGGACTGATCTTGTTTTGTTTCTAATAATAATAATAATAATAATAATAATAATAATAATAATAATAATACTACAACAACAACAACAACAACAACAACAACAACAACAACAACACAATAATAGATGTAAAGATAGAACTGCAAAGATTCTGGCACAAGCCAGTCAAGGTGGTCCCAGTGGTGATCGGCACACTGGGTGCAGTGCTTAAAGACCTTGGCCTGCACTTAAAAACAATCAGCGCTGACAAAATTACTATCTGTCAGCTGCAAAAGGCTACCCTACTTGGATATGCATGCATTATTCGCTGATACATCACATAGTCCTAGACACTTGGGAAGTGTCCGACATGTGTACTAATCTTGTGTACCTAATAATAATAATAATAATAATAATAATAATAATAATAATAATAATAAATTGGGAAGTGTCCAATATGTGATCCAATACAACAGCCAGCAGAGTGTTTGCTATGAACTCATCTTGTGTTTCTAATAATAATAATAATAATAATAATAATAATAATAACAACAACAACAACAACAACAATAATTCAGTCCATGGGCCTTGGGTTTGTCAGATGTTTTCTACAACTAGTCACTTCTTATTGTTTTTAGAGCTGACTGGAAGCGACAGTGATAACTTTACAACAAAAGTCTGAATCCTACTGTTAGATCTAAGAAAATAAGATATATTGAATTAATGGGATGTTGACTCATTATTCAACCACTGGTTCGTGGGGTTTACTCTGGCTGGGAATAACTAACAGGACGCAGGTTAGAGATGTTGCAACTGACCTGAATTCGTGATCGTGCCAAGTAGACATTGGATTTCCATTCAGTCTTCATCTTCCGGTACTGAGAGGACTTTGAATGAACAAACTGTTTACTGTAAGGTGCATTTAGTTCTCCTGTAACTGTGCTCTGAAATGACTTTGAAGTGCTGGTGCTATTCAAGGTATGAGGCCTGTAGGAATGGGTCACATAACAGAAGAGACATAGAAGAAAAACTGAAGATCTCTCTGAATTGTATCACCCAACTGAACTGAAAGCCCCCTCCAGACAGACAAGACATTCAAAGCCAACTAGCGTAGACAACGCAACAGCCCCCCTGGCTTGGACATGCACATACACAGCCTACGACAACAGGGTTTGTAAGCAGCACACAGAAGCACGAGTATCCTACGCAGCCTATAAACCCTGGGCTGTACTATGTGAATTTAAAAGAAAATACCTTAACACAAACCTCTTGACATGGCTGCTCATTTTGGGTTCGGAGCGGGCGCAGCCGGTGGGGTTGATGGCGAGGGGGAGCTCCATGAGCGGGTTTCGGCCGTATCGGAAGGTGTAACGCTCACAGGCTTCCACCCCGGGGAGCTGCAAACACACAAAGGGGTGAGGTGTGAATACAGTTGCAGAAAAGCAAGGGGATTGTGAATAAGAACCACTGATGTTCCATACAACAAAATGCAACAAAGAACAATGCTAGAACTATTCCACTGATTAAAAGCTACTGCTCTAGTTACAGGACTACATTAAACTGATAACATTCTTCTTAAAACTCTGATTTTCATTACCTAATAACAACAGTTGCTTCTTTTTTTAGTTGGCATTCATAATCAAACCACTTGTTGGAATTCGAAGAGGTCAGTAGTGGTTTTTTATTGGATGTCCCTGTCAGAACCCCCTTTAGTCCATTAACTAAAGAGTTGTAAGCATCAAAAACAACCTCAATATTATTTGTCTCCAACTGGATTTCTCTTTTAAGAAGGTCTACTTCTGACGAGTCCATGATGTCCTTTAGGTGGGTTGGATTAACAAATTTCCACCTAAGTCTGTTATTATATTGTAATTCCAATGTCTGGCTCTCCTGATTGGTGCTAAGTGTGGGCCTTCTAAGGTCAGTCTGCAGGAGGCATCTCACTGTCATAGGTTGGTGATCGCTATCCAATCTGGGAATAACTTCCAAGGGCGTAAACGCTGGTTGGAGATCCCTGGAAACGCAAATGAAATCTATAACACTACTGGCGTTTGCTGAATGGAAGGTGAATGGGTATATAAATTCCTCATTTAAGCCTCTAAGGATCATGAGATCGAATTTGTACAGTAGGGCCACTAATGAAACTCCAGCTTTATTTCTTTGACAGTCACGGGACCTCCATCCGAAGTCGAATAAACTTGCATCTGGGGGGATGTTGCTAGCTGATGCAATCTTCAGTTTGGAGTTGCCCCAGTCTCGCATTGAAGTCACCCAGGATGATGGTCTGTGCTGCCGGGAACAGCACATTAATTTCCTCCAGCGCCCCTTCAAGAATTGGCCATATATCCCGTTTATCTAACTTTGATGTTGTAGGTTGTATGTAAACATTTAGGAGGATGATAGGTGGACTCCTTTTTGCCAAAGGGGCAGAAATATTTGTTAATTTGACTGTAAGGATGTTATTACAGTAGAAATACATCATAACAAAATATATGAAATAACACATAAAATAAAATAGACAATATAAAATGACATAGTAAAATCAAACACAATCAGTGGGCCAGATGTATGAGATAAAATGTTAAATGTTAAAAGTTAAAACCCTGGGTGAGATAGGAATGAAAAGTGCATTTATGAGAAAGGAGTCCGAGAAGGAGGAGCAGTAGGGTTTGGCTTGTGGCTTATTCCCACAAGCCAAGCCTGTGGGAAGGGGTGAAAGAAGGGCCTCTCCAGAGGATCGAAGAGATCGTGCAGATTTGGAGTCTTCTCAGGAGGAGCAGTAGGGTTTGGCCTTTATACGGGACAGGGGAAGGTGTTTTGTCTTAAGGACAACTGCAGGTGGAAACAAACAAATGAGTAGAGTGGCCACTCTCCGAAGGCACATCGAAAGAGCCAAGTTTTTAGATCCTTCTTAAAAGCAGCAAGGCTAGGGGCTTGCCTGATCCCCCTAGGTAGCAAGTTCCAAAAACGGAGGGCCACAGCAGAGAAGGCCTTCTTCCTTATTCCCACAAGCTGAGCCTGTGATGGAGGAAGGGGCGATAGAAGGGCCTCTCCAGAGGATCAAAGAGATTGTGCAGGTTTATGGTAGAAGATGTGGTCACAAAGCTAGGTGGGTCCCAAACCGTTCAGGGCTTTATAGGTGATGACCTACACATTGAATTGGGAACGGAAGATAAACGGCAGCCAGTGGAGCTCCTTAAACAGGGGGGTTGACCGCTCCCTGTAATTCACCCTAGTTACAAGTTTGGACGAATTGAATTTTCCGGGCTGTCTTCAAGGGAAGCCTCACGGAGAGTGCATTGCAATAGTCCAATCTAGAGGTAACTAAGGTGTGGACCACCTAAGAATGTGGATTACCACCAAACAGGAGCAGGCCTAATATAGCCTGCTATAATTGTATCATGACTCACCGATTCAGCAATTCTTGCTACTGCAGAAACAGTCAATCCAAAAAGGTCTTCCCCTTTCAGATATGCAGAGAAGAGCTGGAGCATCTCAGAAGTTTTCCTTACAGAAGCAACAGGCTCCAGGATTTTATCCCAAACACCTAAACAGAGGGAAGATACAGTCAACAACAACAACAACAAAGCAGGAGAATAGTTTGTTGTCGACCTTTGCAACTAAAAGACAGTTGCATTTGTCAAGTAGGAAATTTAGATATCACTTATGTGGGGAGGCTGATTTAACTGATTTATGAGGCCATAAAAATCTCCAGGCGGTATGCAAAGAATGAGGAAATACTTCATCAGTGTCACAAACGGACGGTGAAGCAACAGCTCCCCTGGTGGCCAGAATACCCTCATGAAAAAATGGTTTGTTAAATAGCCTCTGAGTGTCTGTCTATATATGTTATGTGTCTATGGCATTGAATATTTGCCATGTATATGTACACTGTAATCCGCCCTGGGTCCCCTGCAGGATGAGAAGGGTGGAATATAAATACTGTAAATAAATAAAAAAATAAACAAGGGTTTTTTGGCCAGGGACAGCACTCTGCGGCTGGATTTCCTGTTTAGGAGGGACTTCTTGGGAGGGGGGAGGACTCCCAGTGGAGGCAGGGCTTCCTGGGGTGTGGCACCTGTCAAAATGAGTTTGACATGAGGTGCTACCTGTAACTTCCTAAGGTAACTGATTCACATTAATACCAATTCTGCACTCCAGTATTGGACAAGATCAGTGTTCTGTAACTGGAATGAAAACAATCCTACTGACATTCCCAATTCAATAGTATATCTCAGGCATGGGCAAATTTCGGCCCTCCAGGTGTTTTGGACTTCAACTCCCACAATTCCTAACAGCCTATCGGCTGTTAGGAATTGTGGGAGTTGAAGTCCAAAACACCTAGAGGGCCAAAGTTTTCCCATGAATGACTATATCTGGTGTTTAGGTAACCAGAGTGAAGTTAGCAATCCACTGACTCTCTCAATATCCTGCATTACCTTTTGGAGTTGCATCGGTAAGGACCAGGTCTTCGTGGCCTTGCTCGATGATCCTGATGACAAAGAGAGGGAGACCTTCCTTCTCCTCGATGGAGCACAGGTAGCGGCATCTGCGGTTGGCATACCGTGTGCTCCAGTAGAAGCGGCTGGCCTCATAGCCCACTGGGTAGAGCACCCTGGTAGAATGGAAGGCCTGCATCTGATGCGGCAGTAGTTGGCCGATGGTGTGGAAAATCAGGCTCCCCACCCGGAAGGTGTGCTCGCGGTCCCCGCGTTGCACGATGCTGGCGATCTGCCGGACCTCGTCGCGCTGCACGTAGACCCGCCTGAAGACGGCGAAGTAGCTGAGCTCCTGCTCGTGAACGCCCTTTGGTTTGTGCATTGGGCAAAGCATAGTTTTATCCTTAAAAAACATGCATTGTGCTTTAATGGCGCAGGTAAAGTGATAAATGTTGGTGCACCTTAACCTGTGACAGCCGCTGGTGGCGCCCATCTTGTGGCAGAATGTGCATTTCATTTGCAACCCCCTCCGCAGGGCGAGTTCCACGTTGATTAAGGCACCAGCTTGCGTCTCGTAGACCTCCGTAGACCAAAGGGCACAATTCAAATGGACCCAAAGGTCTAAGTCAAGATTAAGAAGTCTCGCTGGCCCGTCCGTGAGTCCGTCGCCCTCTTCGTGACAGAAGCAACATTTCCGGTAGTCCTTAGGAATTGGATCGGGTTTAATCGTTGTGCCCAGTTTCTTGAGGAATTCGTCTATCTCCTCATCGCAAGGAGGTTTGAACGTTCCTTTAGGAATCACAATCTGTATATTCCATTTCTTCCACTTCATGCCTTTCCATTTCTTACTGACTGGTCGACCGTCGTCAAGACCATTGGGAATCGTTCTCAAACGGGGTTTTAGTTTTACTGTGACCTTAAGTTCATCTGGTTTGGGTTCCACTCTGGCTGCTTCAAAAGCAGGAGGGAAGATGATCAGGGGAGAGGAAGGCGGAGAAGCCTTTTCCTGGAACTGAGGGAGGCAGTGCACATCCAAGGTAGAGATGTTGTTGTTATATTGGTGGAACACTTTGGGGGGAGCCTCCTTTACTGGAAACTGGGTTAGTGAAGGGATCGATTCCTGAGGAATAAGGAGAAAGCAATTAAATGTGGAATGAACAATCATGCCTAGTCAATATTATTTTCCAGTCAACAGATATGTAAATGACATTCATATCCAATCTACCCCGGAGTCTAAGATCTTCTGGGGAGGCCCTGCTCTCGACCCCGCCTCTATCACAAGTGAGGTTGGCTGGGACGAGGAGCAGGGCCTTCTCGGTGGTGGCCCCACACCTGTGGAATTCATTCCCCGGGGAAATTAGATCAGCGACATCACTCCTTTCCTTCAGGAAAAAAAATGAAAACATGGATTTGGGACCAGGCATTCGGACAATTGTGCAGATAAAGAAAGGACTTTGAGAATGGCCAGGAAATGACTAATGGAATAGAATTTGGAACTCTGAAAGACGAACGCTGAGCATGTGAATAGTTTTTATATGATGTGATGTATATTGATTGTTATGATTGATTTAACTGTGATAATTGTTTTAACTATGGTTTTTGTACACTATGTATAATTTTTGTATAGGCATCGAATTGTGCCTTTTGTAAGCCGCCCTGAGTCCCCCCTCGGGGGCTGAGAAGGGCGGGGTAAAAGTACCCGAAATAAATAAATAAATAAATATTGGATACACACACACACACACACACATCCTAAGGAACATTTTGGGGGCTCTGTGCTCATCTGTACTGAAAACATTCTCCCACCTCCATCCCAAGCATGGTTGATGGTGGACGAGAGAGGGGCCTTCTCGATGGTGGCCCCCCAGCTCTGGAATTCTCTCCCCGGGGAGATTAGGCTGTCTCCCACCTGTCCATGTTTTGCACAGATCTAAAAATTCCATTCCAGAAGTGTTTTTAAGAAACACCCATTCTTAAAGCTTTTCCTAATTTTGTTAAAATAGAAACTTTCATGTAATAATGCACTTGTACGCACAATGGCACTATAGTACAATGTCTTGCCATCGCACTTTGTTGATAACTATAGTTGCTAGGGAAGGAAAAAGGTCACTTTTGAAAGTTCAGCAAGTTGCTTTCTTGAGAAGTTTTTGTTTTGGGTAGATACAAGTAAGTGAAAACAAACTTAACATTTTATAAAATATCATGCTTTCAAGTCTTTTAAGCTTTATTTGCCTTAATGGCCTTCCAAGAATTCTTTAAGTGCCTTTATATGATTTATTGTTTTTTATTGCTTAAATATATTGTCTTCTGTCTATTTGTATTCATAATGCGGCATTGAATTTTGCCTTGTTTGTAAGCCACTCTGAGTCCCCCTCGGGGTGAGAAGAGCGGGATATAAATATAGTAAGTAAGTAAGTAAGTAAGTAAGTAAGTAAATATGTGGATGTTTCACTGTGCTTTTGATTAGATGGTTCCCCAGAAAATTTGGGGCTCAGCTATGACCCAAAATCCAGCTCTGCAATTTACTACTGTCCCTTGCCCAGAGACGTAGTGCTCCACCTCATATTGCCCTCTATTCCCAATTTATTATTATCTCACACTTGCACTTTATCTATCTATCTTTATTTATTATATTTTTATCAGTTTTATTTTATCAAATGTTATTTCTGCTAAATGTTGTAATGGTTCTTTGTTTTGTAGGCATCGAATTGTGCCGTTTGTAAACCACCCAGCGTCGCCTTCGGGCTGAGAAAGGCAGTATATAAATATGGTTAATAAATAAATAATAAATAATAATATTGCAGAGCTCCCGGTGGCGCAGTGGGTTAAACCGCTGAGCTGCTAAACTTGTTGACCGAAAGGTCACAGATTCGAATCCGGGGAGTGGCGTTGTCAGCCTCAGCTTCTGGGTGGAGAGAGCTTGGCTTGAAGGAAGAAAATTCAAATTTGGCCCCTGATTCTCCACTTAAAACAAGCTCAAATACCATATATACTCAAGTATAAGCCAACTTGAATATAAGCTAAGGCACCTATTTTTTCAACAAAAAAGCTGGGAAAACGTATTGACTCAGGTATAAGCCAAGGGTGGGAAATGCAGCAGCTACTGGTAAATTTCAACATAAAAATAGATATCAATAAAATTACATTAATAGAGGCATCGGTAAGTTAAATGTGTTTGAATATTTACATAAAACTGTAATTTAAGATAACCCTGGTGGCGCAGTGGGTTAAACTGCTGAGCTGCTAAACTTGTTGACCGAAAGATCACAGGTTCGAATCCAGGGAGCGGAGTGAGCTTACGCTGTTAGCCTCAGCTTCTGCCAACCTAGCAGTTCGAAAACATGCAAATGTGAGTAGATCAATAGGTACCACTCCGGCGGGAAGATAACAACACTCCATGCTATCATGCTGCTCACATGACCTTGCAAGAGTCTACAGACAATGCTGGCTCTTCAACTTAGAAATGGAGATAAGCATCAACCCCCAAAGTCATGTGGCCAGCATATCTGCATGGAGTGCCATTGCCTTCCCACCAAAGTGGTACTTATTGATCTACTCATATTTGTATGTTTTTGAACTGCTAGGTTGGCAGAAGCTGGGGCTGACAGTGGCAGCTCACCCCGCTCCCTGGATTTGAACCATCAACCTTTCTTGCAGCATGTTCAGCAGCTCAGCAGTTTAACCCGCTGCACCATCAGGGGGGCTGAGTCCTCTTATAGACCAATTTATTCACAGGCAGACATTCTAGCCATTTTAAACCATATGTTTTAACAAGTTATTCATGATGCTTGAATGGAAATCGGGGCAAACTTAGTGCGCTATTTTTATTCTTGGGCATCGCCCAAAAATAAGGCCTCAGGCAGGGAAATCGCCCAGACTGTGATTCATATTATGACATATAATATCACTGAACCACAATTCCTGGGGAATATCTCCTGCACATGCCTCCTTTTATTGCACACTGATGTCAGGAGTGGAAATGCTCTTGGCAGGTGACACTTTAACATAACTAGTATGGATACCACACCATTTTTTTCTGTGTATAATTTTAATGAATTGATTTGAATTACACTGCTTGAGCCAGTAATATGTGGATTAGAGAGCAGTTATCCATTGCTTTTCACATTTCTCTAAATGTGCCATATAATTCTCAGTTCCAAAAATGTACTAAAAGTATGACTATAAATGCGTATTAGAATTAAATATGTAACAATAATGCAAACATTCCTATTTCTAAACATCAGAGATGAATGCAGGGACGAAACAAAACAGACTTAAGAAGAAGCATATGTTAAGATTTGTGTATCCCTAATTCTAACATCTTATAACAGACTAGCTGCACCCCTGCCACGCATTGCTGTGGCCCAGTCTGGTGATCTGGAATATAAAGTAATGAGAAAGTGTTGGTTTCTAATATATATAATTTATTTATGCTTGTGGGTAAACAGTATTTCTTGCTGTTTCAGTGTTGATGTGGAGATTGTCTGGTTTGCCTACTCTAGAACACACAACACATAACTGTCCTTCTTTAGGGGTCCCTTTCAAATCTATGATACTATCTCTCTCTCTGTGTGTGAATCATATCTATCTCTCTATCAATATCTATGACTGGATGGCTCTTTGTCAGGAGGGCTTTGATTATGTTTTCTTGCTCTGGTAAAGGGAGTTGGAATGGATGGCCTTAAGTATTTTCTGATGGTCATGGGAGTTCTATGTGGGAAGTCTGCCCCAATTCTGTCGTTGGTGGGGTTCAGAATGCTCTTTGATTGTAGGTGAACTATAAATCCCAGTAACTACAACTCACAAATGTCAAGGTCTATTTCCCCCAAACTCCATCTGTGCTCATATTTGGGCATATTGAGTATCCATGCCAAGTTTGGTCCAGATCCATCAGTTTGAATCCACAGTGCTTTCTAGATGTAGGTGAACTACATCTCCCAAACTTAAGGTCAATGCCCACCAAACCCTTCTAGTGTTTTCTGTTGGTCAGGGGAGTCCTGTGTGCCAAGTTGGGTTCAATTCCATCGTTGGTGGAGTTCAGAATGCTTTTTGATTATAGGTGAACTATAAATCCCAACAACTACAACTCCCAAATGACAAAATTATAATTTTTGAGTAATGGTCACTCCTGTGTTGTGAGACATTTTGTTGCCAAACTTGGTGTGATTTCATTCATTGGTTCTTTTGTTTTTAAGGTACTCATGACACACAAAGCATTTTTATATATATAGATTGCAATCAACTTCACTCAGGTAAGGTAAAGAAGAGGACAATGAAGTTTGCATCAAGGCCTAATTTTATATAGCATATGGCTGAAAAAATGTGCCTCTCCAGGCGGCGATGTCCTGTTCTTAAAAATATAAATAAAACAAAACCTTTGTTATTTTATTCCCCGAGGCAGATCAAGGCCTGAATTTTGAGGCAACTGATGTTATAGATCAGGAATGGGCAAACTTCAGCCCTCCAGGTGTTTTTGACTTCAACTTCCACAATTCCTAACAGCCGGTAGGCTGTTATGGATTGTGGAAGTTGAAGTCCAAAACACCTGGAGGACTGAAGTTTGTCCGTGACTGTTATAGATACTTGTCCAGACCCATATTACAGCTTTAGTCCCAGCATGCATTTGGACTGATGGATATTGAAAGAGCCTGGTTGTTAAAAGAACAAGTGCATTAGGGATTTTTTTTTATTTACCTTGCTATCGAGTTTTTTTGCTTGCATGGATGCTGAATACAGAACAAAGCAATTGTTGCTGCAGAAGAAAAAGTCTTTCTCCATTCTTTCCATCTTCTCTCTGGAATCCTGAAAATACAAGGTCAAAAAGTATAATAATGTGCTTGGACTCTCATTGTTATGAAAAGAACCAATAACAATCAAGATATGCCTTATTTATAAGAAATTTATTTTATGTTAAAATTCACTTTGAGGATCAAAGTTCAGAACAGACTAGAAAATGTTGCAGTTCAGTCCATGGTTGTGGCTGATACTGATGTAAATGGGGAAGTGGATCATGGGAACTCTGTGCCTGCAAACCAACATGAGATTTTAACTCCTGAAAATGATCAGTTTGTGTCTCCAGCAGTTAGTGAAGGTAATATTCCAGAGAGGTGCTGAGATTATGCAAAAAAGTCATTTTCTAGGGAAATGTGTTCAGAGGAAGAAATCCCAGGTGGAGAAAATAATGAGTTGCAAGATAATGAGCTGGTTGATAGGAGAATCAGTTTTCGTAAACTTTGTACTGCTCAACAGAATCTCTGAAGGTCACACCGCTTGTTAGAGAAGAGATCCATATCAGGAAGTCATGGAAGAAGGCATGATTTCATGTGTATATTACAGAGGCCGAGGGGAATTTTCCAGCCAGTCTGGTCAACATTGGTAATTGAGGAAACAGCTCTTGCCAAGTCCTAGTCAAGCTTTCTGAAGGAATTCTAGTTTCATGTCTTTGTTCCTGTTTCATGCTTCCAAGTTTGAAAGATTGTTCCTGCCTTGTACTTCCTGGTTTTCTTGCATTCCTGTGCTGGATGTCCCGTTGCTTTGGGATTTTGGATTATTCTTGTACCTTGCACCTTGTGGACTATTTTATATAGAATCATAGATCATAGATAGAATCAAAGAGTTGGAAGAGACCTCATGGGCCATCCAGTCCAAACCCCTGCCAAGAAGCAGGAATATTGCATTCAAATCACCCCTGACAGATGGCCATCCAGCCTCTGTTTAAAAGCTTCCAAAGAAGGAGCCTCCACCACACTCCGGGGCAGAGAGTTCCACTGCTGAATGGCTCTCACAGTCAGGAAGTTCTTCCTCATGTTCAGATGGAATCTCCTCTCTTGTAGTTTGAAGCCACTGTTTCGCGTCCTAGTCTCCAAGGAAGCAGAAAACAAGCTTGCTCCCTCCTCCCTGTGGCTTCCTCCCGCATATTTATACATGGCTATCATATCTCCTCTCAGCCTTTTTCTTCAGGCTAAACATGCCCAGCTCCTTGAGCAGCTCCTTAGAGGGCTTGTTCTCCAGACCCTTGATCATTTTAGTCGTCCTTCTCTGGACACATTCCAGCTTGTCAATATCTCTCTTCAATTGTGGTGCCCAGAATTGGACACAATATTCCAGGTGTGGTCTAACCAAAGCAGAATAGAGGGGTAGCATGACTTCCCTAGATCTGGACACTAGGCTCCTCTTGATGCAGGCCAAAATCCCATTGGCTTTTTTTGCCGCCACATCACATTGTTGGCTCATGTTTAACTTGTTGTCCACGAGGACTCCAAGATCTTTTTTAACACATACTGCTCTCGAGCCAGGCATTGTTCCCCATATGTATAGACTTTGAAGTTTTTACTTTGAAGTTTTTACTTCAAAACTCAAGCTTTTTGAGGGTATTCTAGTTCCATGTCTTTGCTCCTGTTTCATGCTTCCAAGTTTGAAGGATTCCAAGTTTGTACTTCCTGGTTTTCTTGTATTCCTGCGCTGGATGACCCATTGCTTTGGGATTTTAGATTACTTTTGTACCTTGAACCTTGTGGACTATTTTATATATAGACTTTGAAGTTTTTACTATTTTCGCTACAGTGCTTTTTATATACCATATATATTTGAGTATAAGCCGACCCGAATATAAGCCGAGGCACCTGATTTTACCACAAAAAACTGGGAAAACTTATTGACTCGAGTATAAGCTGGGGATGGGAAATGCAGCAGCTATGGGTCAGTTTCAAAATAAAAATAGATACCAATAAAATTGCATTAATTAAGGCATCAGTAGGTTGACTGTTTATTAATATTTACATAAAACTGTAAGATAAGACTTTCCAACTCTGACTAAACCATTATTCTAACGTTCTTCAATGTACATGTGTTTACATATCCTTCCAATAATAATAGAGTATAATAATAAATGTATAAATATAATAAATAATAAAAATATAGCTAACCTATAAATGTAATGATAATAATAATAATAATAATAATAATAATAATAATAATAGAGTAGGGCAGATTACAATGTATATCTCAGGCATGGGCAAACTTGGGTCCTCCAGGTGTTTTGGACTTCAACTCCCAAAATTTTCTCGAGTATAAGCCGAGGGGAGTATAAGCCGAGGGGAGCTTTTTCAGCCTTAGGAAAGGGCTGAAAAATTAGGCTTATACTCTAGTATATACAGTAATATTTAATAAACTGCTTTGCTGATTTAACTTGGGACAGGAGTGTAGTGGTTAAGTACAGAGGTATTTCCTGACCTGGAGTGCAACAGAAAAACCACTTGAGGATGCAACATCATTTTTAAAAACTCAGGACAAAGTCAAAAGATATAATGAGCAATGCTGGAATGTTGCCTTTATGGGTACATGCTAATACTAACTTTAGTTTAGCTATCACTTTGCTTGTACAAAATAAACTAATTGGAGGGGAGGATAATTTGAAATCCACATTAAAATGGATAGCTCAGAGGAGTACCAGCTTCACAAATTTGCTTTTTGAAGTATTCTTACTATCAATGAAAACAAGAGGAAGAGGTGTGCAGGGATAAAAAGAGACTCAGATATCAGGAGATCTCAAATTTTGAGCTAGAAATTAGTTTAATTATGGATATGGGTTTCAAAAGCAGATAGTGACAAAGACAACTCATCAAGTGTGGCTTCAGGGAATGAGCTCAGAATTAGGGTTTTTTTGGTTAACATCTGGGTCTTGTTTTTCCTTGAGTCAAGTGTCATCTAGATGAATTTTCCTCCACTTGAACACATGAATTTCTGCAATTTCTCTGAAGTAATTGCTCTGAAAGAGTCTTAACCAAATAAATCAGAATAGCAATTAAATAGCTACATATTGCACGTTATAGGAATTACAGGAAGACACACAACATACCATCTCTTCTTTGTACTTAGCTATTTAAAAAAGTGCAACTTTTAAAAAAAGTGGCTGCAATGTTTCCACTAGTATTACCTGCTTCAGCAAAGGAAGATCTTTCAAAGACTTCCGTACTCCACTGCCCAGAATGACCACTTTACAATGAGAGCACCACTGCGGCCTCAATGCCGAACCGTCAATGACATTTGGATTGTGTGCTTTATAGCCTGCCAAAACTTAATAAGAGAACACAGATGTGTAAACATGTAAATTATTTAAGTAACAGTTTATTGGCTGTACTGGTCCCTTCAAATTATTGCAAATCATACTATTACCACCTTCTCCTAAGCACCATTTTCCTAACAACCAATGTGGAGGCTGACAGAATTAGCACACTCCTCCTTCTTAAAATGCTAAACCAGGTATGGGCAAACTTTGGCCCTCCGGGTGTTTTGGACTACAACTCCCACAATTCCTAACAGCCTACCAGTGTATCTCAGGCATGGGCAAACTTGGGCCCTCCAGGTGTTTTGGACTACAACTCCCACAATTCCTAACAGCCGGTAAGCTGTTAGGAATTGTGGGAGTAGTAGTCCAAAACACCTGGAGGGGCCAAGTTTGCCCATGCATGTGCTAAACCTTCCTCACTACCATATTGTTTTGAATCGTTCAACATATATTTTAGTAATTTTGGAATTCAGAGCAGAGGTCCTTGAACAAAACAAAACATAACAAAAACCTACAAAGGAAAATTGGAAAGATAAAGAATGGAATTAGTACATATCAACAAACTCCAGTCCTGGCACACTACTAAACACCCCAGTTCATGAGGCAAGTTCACCAAGCTTGGTAAGCTTCACTCTTTCTGGTTCTCCAGTCAGTATCATACTACACTTTTAAAACTCCCTCTACTATTCACCTTGCCTTCAGACAACAAATGTCTTCCTGCCTTTGTCCCTCAACAACCATCATTAAAACTGAACTTGTAGTCTCATCACCAAGTGATGAAGTAGCAACCAATAGTGAAAGGACCAAGGCAGTGACATCTCTGGCCCACCCCGTTTGAGTATCAGCTTGCATGCCAACGACTTAAATCAAGAAATAGTTTCCTAAGATCTACAGAGACACTCGCTGGAACACCTCAGCAAGCGAGAGTCCAAAAATGGCAGGCTCAAACCTAGAACCTCAATCAATGGCTGATACCAAATGGGAGACTCCCTCCTGGGCACACAGAGGACTGGGCGACCTGGAAGGCACTGAACAGACTGCGCTCTGGCACCACGAGATGCAGAGTCAACCTTCAGAAATGGGGCTACAAAGTGGAATCCTCGATATGCAAATGTGGAGAGGAGTAAACCACTGACCACCTGCTGCAATGCAACCTGAGCCCTGCCACATGCACGATGGAGGACCTTCTTGCAGCAACACCAGAAGCACTCCAAGTGGCCAGATACTGGTCAAAGGACATTTAACCAACTACCAAGTTTGCAAACTTTGTGATTTGATTGTCTGTTTGTTTGTTTTTAATGCAATACAACTGTTTGGTTTGCTCCTGACCAAATAAATAAATAAACCAAGTTGTTATTTCTATGGTTCCTGGGTATTTCACTCCATGGATCTGATGATGTAGACTTAAGTCTTTGATAGTCATATTACCTCTAAGCCTCTAAGGTACTACAGCAGGCATGGGCAAACTAGAGCCCTCCATGTGTTTTGTACTTCAACTCCCACAATTCCTAATAGCCTATACAGGCTGTTAGAAGTTGTGGAAGTCCAAGACATCTGAAGAGCTAAAATCTGCCCATGCCTGACTTTGTTCTTGCAAACCCATTTTCCTAAGACGGGCACTTCTGCAGTTGTTGGAGAAAAGGGTCTAGTAGACTTTTCTTTCCGATAAGAACCTCTATGCATCCAACCAAAATAAAACTGAGAAGACACTCATGCGTTGTCTAAACACGAAATCTCATTGTTAATTTTTTAATTCATGAATGTTCAAAGGACACATTCCAACTCACCATTACCACTTGGTGGAAACGACATATTATGTTGTTTGAGTCCATAAGGCCCCGTTAGTCCAGGAGGGCCTATAGTGCCTGGTTGAGGACCATGCAGTAATAAGTGCTGTCTGTATTCAAAGGTGGGGTTTGATTTGTGAGCGTTGATCATTCCCATAGAAGCCGGAACATCTGACACACTGCTAACCTCATAACTATGTGGAATCCTGACATGAAGAAGGTTGGAAAATGCAGCCACCACACTGCCAATGTTCTGCAATCAAAAAGGGAGAAAATATGCACATCATTTGTTTCAAGTAGAAAATTAAATGGGCCGGATGATCTGTATGCATTGGAACAACCCCAGAACTGATAATGCACCTATCCAGTTGGGGGCAGAGAGTTTGCATTGTAGATCAGTCACCAGAGGCTGATGGTTTAACTGATAATTTAGAGAGGATTGTGAGTTTTCCTGTGGCACAAAGTGATGGGCCTTCAATTCTGGAAGATGATAATTCTCTCTGTGAGGAAACCAGCTTGGAAAGTGCAGGGCCTCAAGGGCATTCAGGGGAGTCAGAAGTAGGAACAGCAGATAAGGAATCAAGTGAAGAGCTTGATTCCTTAGCTGCAGGGAACCCACCTGCAGCTATGGAGATCAAGAAAGGTCTTCATTTTTGAACCAAAAATAGATTGCATCATTTAGAGAGATTACGTGGGAAAGTTGTGGAAGAAATTCATGGGAAATGGAATGATTTAATGGGTAAACAACAAGCTGTTTACATTAAGGTCAATTGCATTAGAGAGAGGAGCTAAGCATGAGTTCTCTTGTTCCTGGTTCAAGTCAAGCTTTGCTTTTGGATTTAATAACCTGGAAGTTTTCTGTGTTCCTATCCATGTACTCCTGATCAAATTTTTACTAGTTATAACTTCCTTATTGTGGATTTATGCTGTATCTGTGATTCCTGGGCTTTGACACTTCTGTAACTTTATTTATTTATTTATTTATTATTTAAACTTATATGCCGCCACTCCCCTGGGGCTCGGAGCGGCTTACAAGAATAGCTAAAATCTAACAAAGTTTAAAAGCAATTTAAAGCAATTTAAAAACAACAGTATCAAACATTAAAAGCCTGTTGAAACATGTATGTCTTACATGCCCTGCGGAAAGCTGGTACGTCCCGCAGGGCACGAACTTCAGGTGGCAGAGCATTCCAGACTGATGGCACCACTGCTGTAAAGGCTCTGCGTCTGGTTGCCGTTAGACGCAAGGTCTTGACACTGGGGACTTCCAATAGATCTGGTCCTCAGAACGGAGGGATCTCTGGGGTTGGTAGGGGGTGAGACGATTCCTCAGATACATTGGCCCCAGACCATGCAAGGCCTTAAAGGTGAGTACCATCACTTTGAAAGTGATCCGGTGCTCAATTGGTAACCAATGCAGCTGTAGTAAGATTGGTGTTATGTGGCATCTCATCGGAATTCCCGCAAGCCGAGCAGCTGCGTTTTGTACCAACTTGAGCTTCCGAATCACCGACAGAGGGAGGCCAATGTAGAGGGCGTTATAGTAGTCCAGTCTTGAGATGACCATGGCCTGGATCACCATAGCAGTTGGATTGAGCAGTTGGATGAGACAGTTGGATTATTGTTTGGTTATTCCCTTTTGCTACACCCTTTTTGGATTATATATCCTCTTTCATGTTCCTGATTTTTATATGATATATAGGTAAAGGTTGTCCCCTGACATTAAGTCCAGTCATGTCTGACTCTGGGGTGTGGTGCTCATCTCCATTTCTAAGGTGAAGAGCCGGTGTTGTCCGTAGACACCTCCAAGGTAATGTGGCTGGCATGACTGCATGGAGCGGCGTTACCTTCCCGCTGGAGCGGTACCTATTGATCTACTCACATTTGTATGTTTTCAAACTGCTAGGTTGGCAGAAGCTAGGGCTGACAGTGGAAGCTCACACTGCTCCCCGGAATCGAACCTGCAGCTCAGTGCTTTAACCCACTGCGCCACGGGGGCTCCATATATATATATATATATATATATATATATATATGTGTGTGTGTGTGTGTGTGTGTGTGTGTGTGTGTGTGTATATGTATATGTATATATACTGCTTATATTCCTGGACTCTTGTGTGGTGTGGTGGTCAGAGGTGTTTTCAGGCCTGGAGTGCAATAGTTTGTAAAACGGGATGAAAGCTACAGCTATTCAATTTCTACTTGGCATCATCAGGAAGCTCAATCAGACTGAAAGCAACATTTCTTGGGTTTGTATCTATGTGACTTCATCATACAAATAATGTGACTAGGTGACCACACAACATTAACATAATTTTGGTATGATTTCTAACCATTTCAGCAAGAAATCTATTTTAAATGGTAGCACAACTACTATAAAAGTGATAGCAGTAAATGGGATGTTAAGGAAGTAATGAGAAGAGAGACCCAACCCAATGAAATGGCTTTGAGACCAATCACCGGACCTCGCGACAACTGTAGCGCTGCAGCACTAATACAATGAGTAACTATGAAATTAGCAAAACTGCAGTGGCTATAGATCACATTGATATATTTACTTATGGTTTTGGGCACATTGTGGTGCTTACCTCTGCAGCAGCGGGATGTAAAGTAATTGCTATGGATACAAAGCCAGATCTTGGGACGTTTGGGGAAGATCCAATCTGAGAGCCAAAGAAGCCAGGCCCAGGCTCTGTCTTGATATAATTCCTTTTTGCTTCTGAACCTTAGTTTGGAGAGAAATGAGAAATTAAACATCCATGCAGGTGCATGAGAATGTAGGCAGAGAAAACAAAACAAATTAGAAGGTAATTCTGGCATTACCTTTTCCAGTGCTAGCAGGTAGGATTGGGATGATGGGGGAAGGAATTGGCTCTGGCATCTCTTCCTTTACTGCGGCCAGATCAGGATATCTGCTTATTTCCATGCCCATTACGCTCTCAGGAGAGGACGAGGGAACAAAGCTGTCGGGAGTGTCTCTGTCATCACAAGGATCCTGAACCCTAGAAAGGGAAAGAAAACTCGGAGTTGGAACCTCTCTTCATAGACAAACAGGTAATATGGAAATTCAGGGTAAATTAAAGAAAGTGACACCAGTTTGGAAGGCATGTTTAATTCATTCCATCTACTAGCAAGAGACACAAATATCTATGTAAATAAACAATCACACGGAATTCTATCAAAAATTTATTGGTTCATATGTTCAACTGCATTTATTGAATATGGCTTCTGATGCGATTAAGATGTAGGGGTTATATAAGAAAAGACAAGATTCCTCCAAATATCTGGATTAAGAAATATTTTCATCCAATACTGGCCATTAGTTTGAATGTTATTTTTTAAGGAGCACCCAGTGGTGCAGCACTGAGCTGCTAAACTTGCTGACCGGAAGGTCGGTGGTTTGACTCTGGGAGCGGGGTGAGCTCCCACAGTTAGCCCCAGCTTCTGCCAACTTAGCCATTTGAAATTTTATTTATTTATTTTTATTTAGAGTATTTATATTCCGCCCTTCTCACCCCGCAGGGGACTCAGAGCAGATTATAATGTACATATACATGGCAAACATTCAATTCCATAGACACACAACATATATAGACAGACACACAGAGGCTATATAACATTCCAGCTTTTTTTTAATTCGGGTATTCTCGCCACCAGGGGAGTTGTTGCTTCACCGTCCATTTGTGACACCGATGAAGTACTAACTCATTCTTTGCATGCTTGCTGGAGATTTTTATGGCGTTGTAAATTAGTTAAATTAGACTCCTTTCCTACTTGACAGATGCAACTGTTTTTCAGGCTGCAAAGGTCGACAGTAAGCTACACAAATTGGTCGGAAGCTCACTTTGACCCGGGCTGGCTTTGAACTCATGACCTTTCGGTCAGTGGTGATCTTAATGCAGCTGACACCCAGCCAGTTGCGCTACAGTCCCGATGCAATTGTTAGTAGATCAATAGGTACTACTCCAGCTGGAAGGTAATAGCGCTCCATGCAGTCATGCCGGCCACATGACCTTGGAGGCGTTTACGGACAACGCCAGCTATTCAGCTTAGAAATTGAGATGAGCACCAACCCTCAGAGTCAGAGACAATTAGACTTAATGTCAAGGTGAAACCTTTACCTTTACTTATGTTATTCACTATTATGTTTATTTATATTATGTGGATTTAAATATCTGTATGTCATTTATTATAATGATGTTTACTTAAACCTTGTTTTTTTCTCTCCACAAGGAGATTAACTGTACATCACTTCTAAATCCCAGACTCTGTTATCGGAAAAAACAGCTGCTTAGCCTGATTTCAAGGACTGGGTCAGGTTTCCTTCAAAACATTTTTACTAGATTTTTTTTTGGGGGGGGGGGGGGAGTTAAATAAAAACTGGAAACCATCATATACTGATAAAAATAATAAAGACTATTCTCAATCTTAAATAGATCAGTTTTATGGAGCTCTTTATGGCTAATTTGTGTACACATAAAGCACAAAATATTCATTAACAATATTTTATTTACTTAGATTATGAACAGCAAAAATACTATTGGGAAAAGTACTAGAATTTTCAATGTGAAATGGCACCAGGAAGCTTTGAGAGGGATAGCCAATAGTCCAGAGGACAGGAGCAGAATTCAAAACGATCTTGACAGATTAGAGAGATGGGCCAAAACTAACAAAATGAAGTTCAACAGGGACAAATGCAAGATACTCCACTTAGGCAGGAAAAACGAAATGTAAAGTTACAAAATGGGGGATGCCTGGCTTGAGAGAAGTACGTGTGAAAAAGATCTTGGAGTCCTCGTGGACAACAAGTTAAACATGAGCCAACAATGTGATGTGGCGGCAAAAAAAGCCAATGGGATTTTGGCCTGCATCAATAGGAGCATAGTGTCTAGATCTAGGGAAGTCATGCTACCCCTCTATTCCGCTTTGGTGAGACCACACCTGGAATATTGTGTCCAATTCTGGGCACCACAATTCAAGAGAGATATTGACAAGCTGGAATGTGTCCAGAGGAGGGTGACTAAAATGATCAAGGGTCTGGAGAACAAGCCCTATGAGGAGCGGCTTAAGGAGCTGGGCATGTTTAGCCTGAAGAAGAGAAGGCTGAGAGGAGATATGATAGCCATGTATAAATATGTGAGAGGAAGCCACAGGGAGGAGGGAGCAAGATTGTTTTCTGCTTCCTTGGAGACTAGGACGCGGAACAATGGCTTCAAACTACAAGAGAGGAGATTCCATCTGAACATGAGGAAGAACTTCCTGACTGTGAGAGGCATTCAGCAGTGGAACTCTCTGCCCCGGAGTGTGGTGGAGGCTCCTTCTTTGGAAGCTTTTAAACAGAGGCTGGATGGCCATCTGTCAGGGGTGATTTGAATGCAATATTCCTGCTTCTTGGCAGGGGGTTGGACTGGATGCCCATGAGGTCTCTTCCAACTCTTTGATTCTATGATTCTATGATTCTATCTGGAATACCTGGCACCTGACATATAGGTTAAAGTAGGCATGGGCAAACCTGGCCCCTCCAGGTGTTTTGGACTCCAACTTCCACAATTCCTAACAGCCTCAGGACCTTCCTTTCCCCCTCCTTAAGCGGCTGAGGGGGAAAAAGAAAGGGCCTGAGGCTGTTGGGAATTGTGGGAGTTCGAGTCCAAAACACCTGGAGGGGCCAAGTTTGCCCACACCTGGGTTAAAGGTTTAGAGAAGACACTTACCGTAGCTCTTCATGATTGTTGTGAGGTGGGGTCGGTAGGGAAGCAGGAACATCCACGCTTTTAGGACCTTGAGCCATGGCTCGAGCCAAGAGATCATCCTGTGGTCTGAAAGGCAGTTGGAACTGCTTCGGTCCCAGAGCTTTGGTTACTGAAATGCAGCAAAAACACATTGAACATCTGAACTATTTATGGCGAAACCCCAAAAGCAAAGCCAAATCCAGCAATGGATCCTAATTCCCACTCGTATTTTTTGGCATTACATTTAATGACAGCATTGGTAGTGAAGCAACTGACAAGCTACTTATCCACCTCTCCAACTGCAGGATCTTGAACCTGCATTGTGCTTGCCATAACTTTACAAACATGGAATATGTTCATTCATAGAATAAATATTCTTTGACATGACTTCCATGCATTTTGCAAATTTTGAAGCATTCTGTTGTAAAATGAAACATGCATGTACACATGTAAGTGTTGAATTCATATAACAACGTACCATCATGACCTCCCAGCATTCCAGCCTTCGTGGCAAGTTCTTCGGTGGTTGCAAATCCATTTACCATTTTTTGGCAAGTTACAGGCGGAGGTGTGGGAGGGAGGGAGGCCGGAGGCGTGGGAGGGTTGCTGAGGTTATTCTGCTGCATGAGAAAAAAAAAGATTTGAAGCAAGTTTTAAGCCAGTTTATTAGAGAAAACTGAATATATAATTACATGTAGAGAATGTTTATGTACGAGGGTTGAATGAAAAGTAATGCCTCCACCTTTGTTACTTGGGTTTAGATGGGAATATTTTAATAAATCAAACGCAGGAAAAATCCTTAGAATGTGCTCTTTAACTAACACTATTCACTTTCCGACATAATCACCAGACAATTGGATACATTTCTGCCAACAATGAACAAGTTTTCTGAAGCCGTCACGAAAGAAGTCGACACTCTGTTTCCGCAACCTATCATGCACATATCTTCCGATAGCCAAGCAAAGCAATAATGTGACCCACACATTGTTGTGAAATGCAATTAAGCTTGAATATTCTCTCTGAGTGATACGATGATCATCCTGAATCAATGTGTCAACCTTTTGCTTGTGAAACTCAGTGGTTGCTGTTACAGGACGTCCAACTCTTTGTCATGCAAGTCAAATGTTCTCACCTCAACATCTTTAAACGACACACAGTACTCACATCAACACAATCACCATAAACAGCTTGCATTATCTAATGAATCTCCTTTGGGGTGACATCTTCTGCTGTCAAGAATTCAATGACTTCACGTTGCTTAAGTCGCATTGACAGACCGTCTGCGCAGGGTTCCATACTTCACACTCTAACAACACAACTGTTCAATGCTAAGGCTTCCCGCCAAAATGGAACTGTAGAGGAGAGTGTACTGAACAAGCCAGTGCCCCCAGCATACCAGTATTGCCATTTGTTGAGGTGTTACATAGATGGAGGCATTACTTTTCATTCAACCCTCGTATTTTAATGTGACTGCTGTTCTACCAGGCACAATGGTGAAGTTTAGACTAAATTTCCGAAATTAACCTCAGATTTATATTCTGTTCCCCCACAACCTCACTCCCCTTGCATGTTCAGCAAAATCAGTAATTATTAACTTTTTAGAGAACCCTGATATAGCTAAACGTATAAATTGAATCTTGTGCTGTTTTCAAGGCAAATGCAAACCATGATTGCCTGACTACATTGGTGACTAGCCCAAGTTGAATGGTTGAGCAAATATAATACTTTGGCTTTCAGTCTAAGAATTAGTCAAAAGAGAGTAAAACAAGAGTCGCTTTAAAAAAAGGTAATGTAGGTTGAGAATCCCTTATGCAGAATTCCAAAATCCAAAGTAATTTAAAATCTGGGTTGTTGTAGGTTTTTTCGGGCTATATGACCATGTTCTAGAGGCATTCTCTCCTGACGTTTTGCCTACATCTATGGCAAGCATCCACAGAGGTAGTGAGGGCAGCAAATATAGTGTTATCCACATAGTGTGATGGTTCAATGTACACAAAATTAGCTTAATGCACAAAATTATTTAAAAACTTAAGTATACAATCGCATCCAGGCTATGTGCATAAGGTATATATGAAACATGAATGAATTCAGTGTTTAGACTTGAGTGTTGTAGAGAGGCTGATGGTTTAACTGATGATTCAGAGAGGATTGTAGGCTTTCCTAGGGCACAAAATGATGGGCTCTCAAGTCTGGGAAATTCAGGTCTGGGAAATGATTGTTTCCCTCTATGAGAAAAATGGCTTAGAAAATGCAGGGTTTCAAGGGCATTCCAAGGAGTCAGAAGTAGAAACATAGATAAGGAATCAAGTGAAGAGCTGAGTAATAGGGAGGGTTCCCAGGAGAAACTACCTAGAGCTATGGAGTCCTTGTTTACAAATCAGAGCAGAAAATAGATTGCGTTGTTCAGAGAGATTATGTGGGAAAGTTGTGGAGAAAATTCATGGGAGATGTAAAGCTTTCATGGGTGTCTATTAAAGAATTAACTAGTTACCTTAAGGGCAGTTCAAGGAACATTGCATTAGAGCAGTGGTTCTCAACCTGGGATCCCCAGATGTTTTTGGCCTTCAACTCCCAGAAATCCTAACAGTTGGTAAACTGGCTGGGATTTCTGGGAGTTGTAGGCCAAAAACATCTGGGTACCCCTGGTTGAGAACCACTGCATTAGAGGGAGAAGCTAAGCATGAGTCCTCTTGTTCTTGGTTCAAGTCAAACTTTGCTTATGGATTTCAATATCCTTTTCTTATTCTTGCTTTTTAACATGCCTTTTCATGTATTTTACAATAAACTGTTGGGTTATGTTGCTAGACTCTTGTGTGGTGCGGTGATCATAGGTGTTTCCAGGCCTTGAGTGCAACATTGAGTCCCATCTTCAAGATATGTCATTACATGCAAATATTTCAAAATCCAGAGGGAAAAAAACCCTGAAATCCAAAACACTTGTGGGATCAAGAATTTTGAACAGGGAATCCTCAACCTGTACTTTCTATCAAAGCAGCAAGAGACGCACAAAAGAAAATTATCTTTTTTGGATACAGCATGATCTCATGAATAATAGTCACTGTTGCTGTTTCTTATAGAACTTTTGGAAAATCTATGTAGAAATAAAAATACACCTTATAGATTAGCTGGGAATAGTAATCTGATACCCCATCAAGCGTGGCACTACCAAAGCTTCCCATAAGGCGACTTCCACTATTCAGATGGCCACTGCCACAAGGCAGAAAATGGGCAAAACTCACTCCAATTATTGGCTCCATCAAAGGCAGCAAAGAGAGTTGCTGGAAGAGAAGATAGGTAGTTAGTATCATATTTACAGGATTAATCAGCAATGAACCACAGATTTCCAGTCAATTACACTAAGATGATGCTTACCACTAAAAGCCCTGTTTTTTACATATTGATTCTACAGTAGCCCTGTAAGTACCTTACTTCAGGCACTTGTGGTATAAGTTTATGTCAAACGATGGAATCTTCCCTTCAGGTAAGCAGCTGCTACCAATGCATCTTAACTCAAGGTGTTGCAGTGGGTTAAACCCCTGTGTCAGCAAGACTGAAAATCGACAGGTCGCAGGTTCGAATCCGGGGAGAGGTGGATGAGCTCCCTCTATCAGCTCCAGCTCCTCATAAGGGGACATGAGAGAAGCCTCCCACAAGAATGATAAAAAATCAAATCATCCGGGCATCTCCTGGGCAACGTCCTTGCAGACGGCCAATTCTCTCACACCAGAAGCGACTTGCAGTTTCTCAAGTCGCTCCTGATATGACAAAAAAAAAGGTGCTGCTCTCAAACTTAATAAATGAATACCGTTGGGTGTCAAATGGCTCTCAAGAACACAGGAGTACTGCAACTTTTGAAAGACCTTCTCCTTAATGATAAATAGAACATAAACACAATTTCATGGACACCACGAAGAAGAAAATTGGATGTTACAAGGATTCTAGATTGGCCATGGTCAAACCTGGGCCCTCCAGGTGTTTTGGACTTCAACTCCAAAAATTAGTAACAGCCTTAGGCCCTTTTCTTTCTCCCTCAGCTGCTAAAGCAAATGATAGAGGAAAGTAAGGGGCATGAGGCTGTTAGGAATTGTTGGAGTTGAGGTCCAAAACACCAGTTTGCCCATGCCTGATGTAAATTCCAAGCATTTACATGTACAGCAAACCATGTGATTCAAAGCATCATAAGCGGGTGAAGGGGGAAAGGAAGGGGTCTGAGGTTGTTAGGAATTGTGGGAATTTAAGTCCAAAACACCTGGAGGGCTCAAGTTTGCCCATGCCTGTTCTATATCATTAGAACACCCTTCCTTTGCCAAACCTTCGTTCCCATGCATCTAGTTTCCTGGGTCCTCCTAAAAACAGTTAAAACCCCAATTTTATTCAGTTAGGTGAATAATTTTGGGATCGTATAAATCAAAATGCCCTAATTTCTGAAATTTCCAACACGTTCCTAGGGATGCAGTCAGAGTGGGCCTTTTTGACAGTCAAAAAGTCACATCATGTACTTTGAAAGTAGAGTAAAACAAGTGTATTTAAAAGACACATAAGAGGGCATGTGCCAGCTCACTCATTTTGAAAAAATAAGGAGGTGCACCCTCACACTCCTTCAGAGCCTTCCATACTTTGGAGGCTTCTAATAACCATTTTGCAATACAACATTACATTAAGAAATATACAAACTCATCTTGTATTATCAAACACTAACATGTGCACATTGCACTGCAGGGCCAACTAGGTTGGCATCAACACATATTATGCAAATAGACGATGTGGATTGGAGGCAATCATACAATGTAGGCTTGTGCATTTTGGCGGAACCTTGATCTGTGTCTGCTGGCCAGATTTCGGTAGATGCTTGTATCCATTTTTGAGCGCCTCCTGAAAATGGGTGGGTAGCCTGATAGCTATTTTTGGTTCGCAGCAGAAAAATGTGGCTAGCTTTGGTTCATTGGCGGCAATGTGGGAACTTAGGAGGCTCCCCTTTCCGTTCTTGGGACCCTTTCTTTTTTCCCTTCAAGGGAGCCTGAGTTTCAGCAATGGTGTTAAGGGATCAGACACAGCTTGCGTAAGACACATCACAGCGTTCTTCAATTCCGATTGGCCCAACAGGAAGGGTTCACAGGGGAACCCCATGTGAGTGGCATGTGGCAGCCTCTTTGCACACCTTGTGATGCCGAATGGGGGGGGGAGGAGTAGTGATTGGTTGCCATGTGGTCCCGTAATGGACAGAAAAAGATGACGACTGGTCCCTGGCTGTTAAATCCATCCAACCAAGCCGAAGAACCCAGATTGGCCGAAGGTAACCGACCACTCCAAATCCATGCACAAGCCTAATAAAATGTACTTTAAAAATTCACATGCATTTATTTCTATGTTTATATACTCTAAAAAAGTAAATATGACCAAGCAAAAAAAGAAATGGGCAGTGTTATTTTTGTTTCAAACAAGGAGCCTAAGAACATAGCCTAAGTCTTTCAGTTGGCTCCCAAAGTTTTCATACTTTTCAGGGATGAGATTCCTGTTTCCATCCAAGTACTCACCTGCTTTAATTGCATAAAAGTTTCTGTATTGGGATAAATAGCCTGCTTCTCCTCCTCCTCTTTTTTCCTCCTCTTTGTCCGAGGTGCTGCCTTCTCCCCCGCTCTCTGAGTTCGTTTGTTTCGCTGTTTTTTCGTTTCATGTCCCAAATCAGCTCTCGAAATCTGGTTGTTGCCGCACCCAAATGTACCCTGCAACGGATTTCCTATTGATTGCTAATGGAGAAAAGAAGGAAAGATATATCAATTCAGATCACCAAGTTGAAAGATAAAGCTACAAGATAGAGATACAATAAAATACCATATTTTGGCTAAAGGATGTCACTATGACTTAAAGGTAAAGGTTTCCTCTTGACATTAAGTCTAGTCCAGTCTGATTCTGGGGGGTGGTGTTCATCTGCATTTCTAAGCTGAAGAGCTGGCATTGTCCATAGACATCTTCAAGGTCATGTGGCCAGCATGACTGCATGGAGCACTGTTACCTTCCTGCCATAGCAGTATCTATTAATGTAATCACATATGCATGTTTTCGAACTGCTAGGTTGGCAAAAGCTGGGGCTCACAGTGGAAGCTCACTTTGCCCCCCAGATTCGGTTAGCAAATTCAGCAGCTCAGTGGTTTAAACCAGCGGTCCTCAAACTAAGGCCCGGGGGCCGAATGCGGCCCTCCAAGGTCATTTACCTGGCCCTCGCTCAAGGTCAACCTAAGTGTGAAACAACTTGAAAGCACACAACAACAACAACCACAACAATCCTGTCTCATCAGCCAAAAGCAGGCCCACACTTCCCATTGAAAAACTAATAATTTTATATTTGTTAAAATTGTTCTACATTTTAATTATTGCATTGTTTTTAAGGGGTTTTTTTGCACTACAAATAAGGTATTAGCAGTGTACATAGGAATTCATTCATTTTTTTTTCAAATTATAATCCGGCCCTCCAACAGTTTGAGGGACCATGACCTGGCCCTCTGTGGCCCTCTGTTTAAAAAGTTTGAGGACCCCTGGTTTAAACTGCTGAACGACCGGGGGCTCCCATTGTGCACTATGACTTAGGATTTGCTTTATCAACAATGACTGTTCTGTTCAATTATCAAGATATTTACTAATGATTAGGACATGGCTATCAAGATGCGTTATAGATGGACATGTTTGCAAGAAACAGTGCTGATTTTTCTTTCCCCCCCCCCCCCCAAAAAAAAGCTGGCTTTACTTATCTTTCGTGATCTGTTCTCTCTTAAATCCTAAGCAGCCCCTTTAGGTCTGTGCTAGTGTGTAATCTCACCATGCCTTTTGACAATAATAATAATAATAATAATAATAATAATAATAATAATAATAATAATAGTAATTCCTTATTTTCCTTTACGGCTTGGCATTTCAATCACAAGGATATGTTTGTAAAAAAGAGTTACCCGTAGGGCCCTTCCATAGGAAGTTAAAATTAAACAATCCACAATTAAACAATCATCATCATCATCATCATCATCATCATCATGGGACCATTCTTTCTTTGATACACAGATTTATCCAACCTCTCCTTGTTTTCCTTGATTGTAACCAAATGGCACTGAGGCTGCATCTACACTGTAGGGTTAATGCAGTTTGGCACCATTTTAACTGCCCTGGCCTCATGCTATGGAATCCTGGGAGTTGTAGTTTGGTGAGGCACCAGCACTCTTGGGCAGGGAAGGACCTTGAAAAACTATAGCTATTATGAATCCATAACACTGAGTCGTAGCTGTTGAAGTGGTATCAAACTGCATTAATCCTGCAATGTAGACGCACCATGAATTAGCTATATAACACATACATATCTTCATTGTTAATACAACTGCATGTCCATATGAAGTCTGGGAACATATTGCCCCGTATATATTAAGAGTCTTAGTGTGTAGAGCAGGGTCCACAAACTTCTTAAACAGAGGGCCAGGTCACAGTCCCTCAAACTGTTGGAGGGCCAGATTATAATTTGAAAAAAACATATATGAATTCCTATGCACACTGCTCATATCTTATTTGTAGTGCAAAAAACACTTAAAACAATACAATCATTGAAATGAAGAACTATTTTAACAAATATAAATTTATTAGTATTTCAATGTGAAGTGTGGGTCTGCTTTTGGCTGATGAGATAGGATTGTTGTTGTTGTGTGCTTTCAAGTCATTTCAGACTTAGGTTGACCCTGAGCGAGGGCTGGGTAAATGACCTTGGAGGGCCGTATCCAGCCCCCCAGGCCTTAGTTTGAGGACCCCTGGTGTAGAGATTAGACCAAGGGCCCTTCCACACAGCCATATAATCCATAATAGCAAGGCAGCTAATCCACAATATCTGCTTTGAACTGGGTTATCTGAGTCCGCACTGCTATGTATCCCAGTTCAAAGCTGAAAATGTGGAATTTTATTCAGCTATGTGGAAGAGGTCTTAGATACTGGCTTCTAGAATCATAGAATCATAGAATCAAAGAGTTGGAAGAGACCTCATGGGCCATCCAGTCCAACCCCCTGCCAAGAAGCAGGGATATTGCATTCAAATCACCCCTGACAGATGGCCATCCAGCCCTCGTTTAAAAGCTTCCAAAGAAGGAGCCTCCACCACACTCCGGAGCAGAGAGTTCCACTGCTGAACGGCTCTCACAGTCAGGAAGTTCTTCCTCATGTTCTTTATCACTATAATATATTACAAAGGTATACAATGTCCAATATGGAATCTGCATGCCAATATATACATTTTAGAATACTTACCATACCACCTTCAGCTGGGTCCCGTTTCTCTACTAATTTGTTCTCTTCAGCACCCTCTTCTGAGAGGAAGGTGCTATCTGATTTTGGGCTGATAGAAGTAGTGGATTTTCTGTTCCGAAGCAAGTGTTTTAGGAGTTCGTTCCCTGATTCTCCTTTTGCGGTTGGGCCGCTTGCATCTTGCCCCTGGTTCTGTGAAGAAGGTGCAGACTGGGTTGCAGCTTTATCCTCTTCCACTTTAATGCTGCGTTGACCTTCTGTCTTCAGCTTGGGTTGACCAGGGCACTGATCCCCTTCTGTATCTTCTTGGGTAATTTCCTGAGTGCCCTCAGAAGCATCTGCCTTGACCGTGTCCGTCTCTGGCTTCGTGCTCGATGGCTCGGGCAATTTGTTTTGTGACAAATCACTACTAGAAAGCTGGCCTTTGAGTTCTAAGGAAGACTGGCTCTCTGCAGCACTTGGAGTCGATGAGCCTGGCACCTCTTCTGCTTCCACTTCTGTCGGGTGGGAGGCATGTTCACCAGGCGTGCTAACTACTGGGGTGGAGACAGCATCTGAAACAAGTGGAGTCGGGGGTGCAGTTATATCCGAATGAGGTGTAGACGGAGTCTTTACTGATTCCGTGTCGTCCTCTTTCTTCTTTTTCCTTGTTCTTTTCTTCTTGCCCTTCTCCTCTGGAATGATGTCTGAATACAACTGAATGAGAGACTGACTTGTTTCAGGAAAGTTTGGGCCGTGGGGCATGCTGGTGTCCTGGCCACAGGGAGGACCATTGCCGGCTGCTAGAGGAACTGCAGGCAGACCACCGGCAAACTGAGGTCTAACCTGGCACTGTGGAAAGTTGGCTCCCGAGACGCTCCCGAGAGACTGCTTAACAGAGTGGAAAGTGGGGCTTCCATCTGGAACTGGCGCTGGATCAGGTCCAAAAGGGGAAGATCCCATTGGCTGCTGCTCACTACATTGCGGAAAGTTGGCAGCAGGCGGTGAGTTCAAAGGCCCTTGCTGGACGAGGGCTCCCATCTGTTGTTGCTGATGTTGTGGGGATTGCGGAAGAGACTGCGAAGGCCGCATGAAATCACAAGGCAGATCGGAATTGAAGTACGGCATCTGAGACAAGGAAGGTCTGGCGTTTAATTCTGAGCCCGCTGCACCGTGTTGCTCCATCTCCATCCTCTGCTGCAAAGCTCTCTGCCGGTCCACTTCCTGCATAAGTTGAATGCGTTGTCTTTCCTGTTGCTCTCGCAAGCGCTCTTTTCGCTCTCGTTCTTGAAAGCTTTCACTAAACGGGTTGTTATCGTCAAACTCCACCCGTGGCGGGGGTCCTGACTGCACGCTGGAGGTGGGAGCCGACACAGAAGCGGGCGGCACAGAATTGACAGGCAGCGGTGTCATTGGAGGGGGCATCCTTGGTGCATTGTGTGGGATGTGCATTTGTGCAGCACTGGGAGGCTGCCATCCAGGCAAGCCTGGCATCCTTGGCGGAGTGGGTTGACCAGGAACGACAACTGTATGCTGCTGGTGCTGAAGTTGTTGTGGGACTACTGGGAAATTCTGTTGACCCATTGAGGGCGGTGATGCTCCTGGGACCATTGGGGGCTGAGAAGGAATGCCCGGCATCATAGCATGGGGACCAATCCCACATTGTTGCTGCTTAATCCGATATTCTTCAATAAGCTCTGTGTGTTCCTTTTGTTGCTTTCGTATCTGCAAGGCAAGCATGTAATTAACAGTCCCGTAACTGCACCTTTTCAAGCCAGAAAAAAGACAATCCTAAATGCATCCTTATTGAAAGCAAGTATTAGTTTAACCTTTCTTTGAGTGAGGAGCAAAGACCATACATTCCTTTGAAATGCACATTCACCCTGTTTTCTGTCAGAAATATTAAATATTAACTAGGTATTTTAATGGATTGTTGTAGGGTTTTTTTTTGGGCTATATGGCCATGTTCTGGAGGCATTCAGGAGAGAATGCCTCCAGAACATGGCCATATAGCCCCAAAAAACCTACAACAACCCAGTGATTCTGGCCATGAAAGCCTTCGACAATACATAGGTATTTTAATAATAAGAATTTGAGTCGAGCACTGAAAGGGTTAAATGGATGCAATGACTCAGAAAAAGCTACAGTTCAATATAAGCAGGTGTGCCTGTAGCTTAGTAGTTTTCAGTCTGTGAGAGGTTTCTGTGGAAGAAGGGCCTCAGTGTGTTAGTAGGCCTCAGTGTTAGTTCGCCTCAGTATGAGAGGCATCAGTCCGAGAGAGGCCTCAGTGGGAGAAAGGCCTCACTGTGAAGTATGCCTCAGTGTTAGTAGGCCTCAGTTTGAGTTGGCCTGCTATGAGAAGCTTAGGAGAAGCCCCAAGTTGAAGGCCATCATGTATATGAGAGGCATCAGTCCGAGAGAGGCCTCAGTGGGAGAAAGGCCTCACTGTGAAGTACACCTCAGTGTTAGTAGGCCTCAGTTTGAGTTGGCCTGGTGTGAGAAGCTTAGGAGAAGCCCCAAGTTGAAGGCCATCATATATATGAGAGGCATCAGTCCGAGAGAGGCCTCAGTGGGAAAAAGGCCTCACTGTGAAGTACGCCTCAATGTTAGTAGGCCTCAGTTTGAGTTGGCCTGCTGTGAGAAGCTTCGGTGAGAGAAGCCCCAAGTTGAAGGCCACCATGTATGAAGCTTCAGTGTGTGAAGACTGCTGTGTGTATAAAGCTACTGTGTGAAGATCTTGTGTAAGTTCGGTGTGAGAAGAGGCTCTGTGAGAGAGAACCTTTTTTTCTGCATAAGAAAGAAGCCTAGCGTGGAAGCAAAGAAGGAAGTATAAAGAACTTTGTTCGTATTATGGAAACCTTATTCTTGTAACTACTGCAACCATATTATTCTACTATAAAGAAAAACCTCCTATCAAATAGATAACATTGGTCTGGGTTTTTTTTTTTTTGTGCTTTATCACTTTGGTGCTGGGTCACGCTGCTGCTAATAAGTTACTCTGCTGTGCATTTATGGAGAGGGTCTTTTGTTAATAAGATCACTCGCCCAACATTTTCAGCTTGATTTAATTTGGACTGCATGAAAACACAACAAACTGGCAACTACCATTTTCATTGGACTTCTACATAAGCAGTTGACAAGTAGAGAAGAACTCAAAAGTAAAAAGGATTGCACTTCCAAGCAAACTAGGGAATTTATATGATATTACTCTTAGAAACTAATGTTTCAGGTACCTGATAAAGTGGACCCTATCTAGACTGACATCACAATAAATAAATGTCTTTGTCTTTACAATGCTACAAAGTTCTTATTTTGTGGATTGTTTATGCATTTATTTATAAATATATTTATACACTAGCTGTACCAGCCACACGTTGCTGTGGCAAACCTTCCTTCTGGGTTGTTGTAGGTTTTTCCGGGCTATATGGCCATGTTCTAGAGGCATTTTCTCCTGACGTTTCGCCTACATCTATGGCAAGCATCCTCACTACCTCTGATTCCGGCCATGAAAGCCTTCGACAATACATTAAACCTTCCTTCCCTCTTTCTCTCCTTCTTTCTTTCTCTCCTTCCTTCCTTCCCTCCCTCATTCCTTCCTTCCCTCTTTTTCTTTCCCTTCTTCTTTCTTCCTTCTCTACCTGTTTTTTCTCTCACTTCCTTTACTCTTTGGTTCCATCCTTCCTTGTCTCTTTCCTTCCCTCTTTCACTTTTTTATTTCCTTCTCTCCTTCCTTCCTTCTCTACCCTTCTTTCTTTCCTTCTTTCTCTCCTTCCCTCCTTCTTTCCCTCCCTCCTTTTCTCCTTCCTTCATTTGCTACCTTTCTTTCCTTCCTTCTCTCCTTCCCTCCTTCTCTCCCTCCTTCCCCCTGTGTATGTTTTGTGTGTATATATGCATATATGTGTATATGTGTGTGTTTGTATATATATATGTGGTTTTGTGCATGCACTGTAATGTATTTTTTTTTGTTTTTTAGCTTTTTAAGTCCCTTCCACTGTGTTTTTCAGGGTTTTTATAGTGATGGTCACTCACTGCCTGATAGGTGTCTTGTGTCCAAATTTGGTGTCAATTCATTCAGTGGTTTTTGAGTTATGTTAATCCCACAAATGAACATTACATTTTTATTTATATAGATTTAATCTCGGGATATACCCTCACAAGATGGCTTGATAAAAAAATATATGTAATAAAACTTAGTCAAGAACTTAGAGTTACTTTTTTGACACATACCATTTAAATTATGCATACTAAGTTATTTCAATATATTTCTCCCCATGCCCCTCTTCACAAATCTTTACCTGTTCAAGCTGTTTTTGAACCATACTCTGCTGCTCCGTGACATGCTTGAGCTGCTCTGCGTCTTCTTCTGGGAATTCCCGGCCAGCTTTCTTTGCCGTGCGCTGTTTTGCAGAGAGTGCTTTCTTTGATTTTCTATGTGCACCGATTTGCTCTTCAAGGAATTTTTGCTGCATCTGAAGAAGCTGCTGTGTTTCTTGCAGCCATTCTTCATATTGCTTTCTATGTGAATCATCTGAGGAGAAATCAAACAAATCAATATTTTTTTGAAGAATTCAACTTTTAAAGGAAGGTCTTTAGTTTTCAAGTGTGCGGTTGTTCCATAGGGAAAGGTAAAGGTTTCCCCTTGACATTAAGTCTAACCACATCTGATTATGGAGTGTGGTGCTCATCTCCATTTCTAGGCCGAAGAGACAGCGTTGTCTGTAGACACCTCGGAGGTCATGTGGCCAACATGACTGCATGGAGCACCATTATCTTCCTGCTGAAGCGGTACCTGTTGATCTACTCACATTTGTGTGTTTTCGAACTACTAGGTTGGCAGAAGCTGGGACTAACAGCAAGAGCTCACCCTGCTCCCTGGGTTCGAACCGCCAACCTTTTGATCAGCAAGTTCAGCAGCTCAGCGGTTTAACCCACTGCACCACTAGGGGCCCCGGTTGTTCCATACAAGGTACATAGGTTTTTTATCAGACCTATGTGAACTTTTACAAAACTGGGTTTTCAAACTGTCTTCAAACATAAGATCCTCTTTCATGCAAGTTCTCCCTCTTCCACCTCAAACACATTATCATTTCCCACTTGAATAAAAAAAAACAGAATGTGAAACATCAAGCAAAAGATGAATGAATAAATGTGTCACATTCAAGGCAGAACTGAAGACCACCCTTTTATTAGCTTAATAAATGATTCATGACACACTTTTGAAATTGAGAATGATTATTCAGTTTATATAGAACAAATATGTATATCAATATAATGCTAAAGTTGCTACTGCAAGTGTTGATCATTTAAAGATGCTTCCATAATTTAAAAGGAATTGTCCATATATCAAAATTTTGCAATTATTCTCTTAACTTGGAGTGACAAGAAAAAATGTCACTAACTGAAAAATGGAATGTATTATAAATATATTGTAAGCTGTTATTGAAGTGTACAGCTACTTATTTATGTTATGATCAAATGCTGGAATAATACCAAAAAATTGTCAAGAGATTTTTCAATAAGTAAATGGTGACCCCATGAAATAATAATAATAATAATAATAATAATAATAATAATAATGACAACAGCAACAACAACTTCATTTATATTCCGCCCTATTTCCCCAGAGGAACTATGGGCAGATTCCAATCACAAAAAGGCTAAAACATAACAGCTAATACACATATAGTACAAAAATTGAACTATACAGCATATAAAAGCAAATTACAATTTAGCCATTAAAATTAAATTTAAACATAACCTATTATATCAAACATAAAACAAAACGTCAAACAGAAGCATCAATTTCCCAGAGGCAAAAGAGTTCCTTGGGGCATATAAGCTGATAATTACTCAAGATGTCAACCGAGCTAGCGGGCCATCAGGGCCCAGATATGGACGACAAATGTTACTCAGAGGTATAATAGCAATGTCATTATCTATTCCTCCTCCTCTGCCTTGTAAGCCAGTGAGCAGAAGTATGTCTTCAGTTGTTTCTTAAAGGCGAGGAGAGAAGGGGCCATCTTTAATTCCTTAGGGAATGAGTTCCAGAGGTGTAGGGCAGCCACGGAGAAGGCCCTTTCTCTCGTTTCCACCAGCCGCACTTGAAAAGGGGGCAGAACCAAGAGCAGGGTCTCCTCCGATGACCAAAGTATCAGAGTTAGTCTGTAGTGGGAGATACGGTTCGTCAAATAGTCTGGACCTCAGCAGTTTAGAGCTTTAAAGGTAATGACCAGCACTTTGCATTTGGCCCGGAAGAAGACCAGCAGCCAGTGGACCTGCCGTAACGTGGGAGTGGTTCTCTCCCTGAACAGCCCCCCAGTTAGTAGTATATGGACCAGTTGAAGCTTCCAAACTATCTTCAAAGAGCGTTGCAATAGTCCAAGCAGGATGTGACAAAAGCGTGGACTACCATGACCAGATCTGGTGTGTTGAGGTACGGGCGCAGCTAGCACACAAGTTTTAACTGTGCAAAGGAGCTTCTGGCTACCTCCAACATCTGGGGTTCGAGGGTCAGCGATGAGCCAAGGAGCATCCCCAGACTGTGAACCAGTGTCTTCAGAGGGAGTATGACCCCATCCAAAACAGGTTGCAACCCCATACCCTGACCTGCCTTCCAACTGATCAGGAGGATCTCTGTCTTGTCTGCATTTAGTTTCAGCTTGTTAGCCCTCCTACAGTCTATTATTGTTGACAGGCATGGTTTAGGACCAGGGACGGTATCCTTGGCATGCTGTCCTGGTCCTTTTCTTAGCCAAGAAACTCAGAGGTAGTTTTTGAGTCCCTCCTTTTGAAAGAGAGACTACACCCCAGATTTATAAAAGTCTAATGCATATTTTGAAATACAATGTGCAAGTTTGGAGTATCAAGGTGAAAGATAACAAGTCATAAGAGGAATACTTACTTACAAATCCAGGACCAAAATTTGGTGGATTTGGCCTAGACATTTGAGGGGTTAGATTTCCGTCCTTTAAAGGGGTGGAGGATGGGGACAAAGAGAAAGCAGAATGTATTAAAAACAATATATTTTTTCATAGTTCAATCCCGGGAGTGTCAACTCTTATAGCAAAGCAGGTTTTAACTCTTGAAATGCCTCCATGCTCCACTAAGCTGCCGATATAGTGAATACATAATATGTCTCTGGTCCCAAAGTCTGTTTCCTCTAATTAAGATATTAGCTCCCCACCCAAAATAAATCTATATAAATAAAAATGTAATGTTTGTTTGTGGGATTAACAGAACTCAAAAACCACTGGACGAAATGACAGCAAATTTGGACACAAGACACCTAACAACCCAATGTATGTCCTTCACTCAAAAAATTGATTTTGTCATTTGGGAGTTGTAGTTGCTGGGATTTATAGTTCAACTACAATCAAGGAGCATTCTGAACCCCACCAATGATAGAATTGAACCAAACTTGACACACAGTTCTCCCATGACCAACAGAAAATACTGGAAGGTTTTGGTGGGCAGTGTCCTTTGGTTTTGGAGTTGCAGTTCACCTACATCCAGAGATCACTGTGGACTCAAACAGTGATGGATCTGGACCAAACTCTACATGAATACTCAATATTCTCAAATGTGAACACTAGTGGAGTTTGGGGAAAATAGAATCTTGACATTTGGGAGTTGTAGTTGCTGGGATTTATAGTTCACCTACAATCACAGAGCATTCTGAATCCCACCAATGATAGAATTGGGCCAAACCTCCCACACAGAACCCCCATGTGGGCCACAGCAACGCGTAGCAGGGGATAGCTAGTAAATAAATAAATAATAACACTTTCCACCATAAAGAAGTGTGGCTTTCATTGGTAATAGTGACGATAATCTGGTCATCTCAGCAGAAGGGCATGATTTCAGCTCATAGAGTGTTCTGAGCAATGACTTTTCCCTAGTCTTCACAATGAGTATATGAATGATTTGGGTACATACCTCAGGCTTGTCCAAAACTGTCATTATTGTATACTACGAACATTATATTAATGAACATGGCTAAATTCCTGTGGGATCACTACCGTGTGTATGTTAAGAGAAAAAGACTCACCCTGGTTAATTATAATCCAGAGGCTGAGTTGTTGGAGTAGTTAAGGTCAACAAGTTTTGGGCCTCTCTCGAAGGTGTATAACTGCAGAGTGTTTGTTGTATGACTTTAGGCTTACTGTATGTTTGCTCCTGAGCTTACTCGGCGTAAGCTCCTGGCTTGCAGCCTGTTAGATGCTGGCAAGTTAGTCTTTCATGCTTGTCTCCATGAACAAGAAATGAAGATTGGGACAAGACATATTTTTTGATGGAAAGCATTGCATGAATGAAATGCAAGGACCATATGTGAGTTTGATACTCCAGATGAAGTGTGACCATATTATTACTAGAAAGTTTGTGTTGAAGTGACTGTTTTTTCATGAATTTTGCTGCAGGAGAGAAAAATTTAAGTTTTTGTATCTCTTCTACTTGTGTTTCTCATTTTTTGAATATACAGAGGGCTAATCTTTGTATTGTCAAACCATGTTGTTGTTGTTCATTCGTTCAGTCGTCTCCGACTCTTCGTGACCTCATTGTCAAACCATAACATATTATTATTTAGATCATGTTTCAGCTCAAGAAAATCTAAGAGCTACTTTACTGCAATTTTAAGGACAGATTAAATTACCTGCGTGATGGCCTGCTGTATTAGATTCTGGCCTTCCCCAGTCTGTGCTCCTGGCACCGCCTGGCCCATAAAGGCAAACCTAGATGAAAGTAAATGAAAATCAACTTTTTTGAATTTATTTCACAACTAACTTTAACAAAGTGGCCAGAAGAGTTTGATATAAACTAATCCAAACAATTTTGATGTTTACTTATTTCATAGATTTCCACTTCTATTCAATGCTTTTCATCCTCCCTCTCTTCTATGGTTGATTTTGAGTATGTTCTAATAGTAAATAATAATAAAACTTTATTGGTACCCCACAACCATCTCCCTGAAGGGACTCGGGGTGGCTCACAATGCACTCAAGGTGCCCGGCATAAAACACAATTACATATCATCAAAATAATACACAATCCAACTAAATGCAAATGATGGACAACGTCAATCGATAAAATAAAAAAAATTGAAAATTCTAAAACACAGTTATACCTCTGGAGCATTGACTTTCTCCAAACGCGAACTAAAGTGCCGAATCAAATCAAATCAAATCAAATCATTTATTTTGGTCATAGACCAGCACAGGAAATAAAAGTCACGGTTTCATACGAACTTGGTACATTTAGTACATTTAAAATCTATATATATATAAATGCTCTGTGCATAAGGAGTTCCTTAAAAACAAAACAACCAATGAATGAAATCACACCAAATTTGGCAACAAAATGTCTCACAACATAAGGAGTGACCATCACTCAAAAAATTATGATTTTTTTATTTGGGAGTTGTAGTTGCTGGGATTTATAGTTCACCTACAATCAAAGAGCATTCTGAACTCCACCAACAATGGAATTGAGCCAAACTTGGTACACAGAACTCCCATGACCAACAGAAAATACTGAAAGTGTTTGGTGGGCATTGACCTTCAGTTTTGGAGTTGTAGTTCACCTCCACCCAGAGAACACTGTGGACTCAAACAATTATGGCTCTGGACCAAACTTGACAGGAATACTCAATATGCCCAAATGTGAACACAAATGGAGTTTGGGGAAAATAGACCTTGACATTTAGGAGTTGTAGTTAGTAGGATCTATACAATAAAAAGCATTCCGAACCCCACCAATGATGGAATTGGGCCAAACATTCCAGACAGAACCCCCATAACCAACAGAAAATATTGTGTTTTCTGGTGGTCTTGGATGATCCTTATGACACCCCCCTGGTGACACCCCCCCCCCCCCCGGGTCTTGACTTTCCAGGTTCAGAAATGCTGCCTTGAGGCCATCCAGTCCAACTACCTTCACCAGGGCAAGAAAACATAATCAAAGCCCTCCTGACAAAGGGCCATCCAGCCATTCACACACACACATATATGTATATGACCGATGGAATATCAAAGATTTGAAAGAGATCCCTAAAGAAGGACAACGATATGTTGCATGTTCCAGAGTAGGCAAACCAGACAATCTCCACATCAACACTGACAAAGAAACAAGAAGAAATACTGTTTACCCTCAAGCATAAAGACATTGCATATATTAGAAACCAACACTTTCTCATTACTTTATTTTCCAGATCACCAAACTGGGCCACAGCAATGCGTAGCAGGGGACGGCTAGTATAAATATAAATACTGAAGCACAATAGGGGTGTGGGAGCGGAAGGGGAAATAGGGTAAAAACATACAATGCACAGGTCTATCAGCAAATTATAGATTCAAGGAAGATGATTACTGGATACACAGTTAACCTTTGGGACCAGTCATCATCCCCTGACGTATTCTGTATGCTGCTGCACAAAACTTTGCAACATTGTAGGTTGTAACTGAATTAGTATCTACAAGTAGCAGGGAGGTATAAAATTGTCATGAACGGCCTGGGTACTTGAATATTAGAGGTAAGATAAGCCTGGCACGGATATCCCTGTAGAATGGGCACCGGAGGAGCACAGGTTCTATTGTTTCTATATGACCCAAGTCACAGAATCTCTTGGGAAAGGGGTCTTCCGGTAGCGGCCTTCGAGTACAGTTGATGGGAGAGAGAGCATGGCATCAAGCCAGGGTGAAAGCACTTCAATGAATAGGAACCCCTAAATTTGGTAAATATGCCATAGAAGAGGCAAGTTATCTGCTGTCGTCGTTGATAAGGAAGGTTGGAACGGAGGCCAGATCTAGTTGAAAGTGCTGAATAACAATGGCTGATGTCATCACTTGACCATAGTACATTGCTCCAGGTAAAAGACCTATGTAAATAGCCATGTTTTTAGGCTCAAATTGAATGTTTGGAGATTTGGGGTTAATCTAATCTCTCTAGAGCAGGGGTCCTCAAACTTTTTAAAGAAAGGGCCAGGTCACAGTCCCTCAAAGTGTTGGAGGGCCGGATTATAATTCGAAAAAAACATGAATGAATTCCTATGCACACTGAGCATATCTTATTTTAGTGCTAATAATACTTAAAAACAATACAATAATTAAAATGAAGAACAATTTTAACAAAAATAAACTTATTAGTATTTCATTGGGAAGTGTGGGTCTGCTTTTGGCTGATGAGATAGGATTGTTGTTGGTGTTGTTGTGTGCTTTTAAGACATTTCAGACCTAGGTTGACCCTGAGCGAGGGCCAGGTAAATGACATTGGAGGGCCGTATTCGGCCCCTGGGCCGTAGTTTGAGGACCCCTGCTCTAGAGAGAGCATTTCAGACCTGGGGAGCCACCACCAAGAGGCCCTGTCTCTCATCCCCATCAATTGCACCAGTGATGGTGGTGGGACTGAAAGAAGGGCCTCCCCAGAAGATCTCAAGGCCCACAGATCTCAAGGCCCCTCATTCATAACAGAATCCCCACTCATGCATTGGTTTACTCTGTGTTCCTATGCACAATCCCTTGTTTCACATTTCTGGTCCCCTTTTCTGCACAATCCCTTGTTTCACATTTCTGGTCCCCTTTTCTGCACTGACACATCTTCATAGCTATTTGATGCGATAAATATCTGCATATCACACCATATGATATGAAAAGTAGATAGAGATAACAGATCACTCAGCAATGTACCACTTCTCTCACTAATATTCTCCACCAATGACCCATAAATCCAGGAGACAGGGAGGACATACATTTGTATTACTTTGTAGGATAAGATGCCATATGCAATATTGATGTAAACATTATATCTGCCTACCTGTTCATGACCATTGGTGGCATTCCCATATTGTTCTGTGCCATTACTTTATTGATCCCCTTCAGAGCCACCATCTTTGCTTTCATTATGGGATCGGTGATTGCATCAAAATCTATGAAACCAGAATTTTAGAATATATGTTACATTTGCAGGATATTAACTGTGTATTACTGCAACATGCAACAGTTTTCATTTCTTCATTTGTATCATTAATTCACACAGGCCCATCTATTCCAAGATATTTTTAAAAACTACACAACTAAATTAGGAAAACATCCTAGAAATATTCTGAGTTTTTTCCTCCAAGTTTTTAGTGATGCTACAACATTTTAAGTTGTGGAACCTAGTGTGCCTCTAGTAAATTGATGCAGGGATGCTGATTAGAATAACAGAACCATAGAAGTGGAAGGGTCCAGAAGAGCTATCAAGTTTAGCCATCTTCCAATCCAACTCAGTTAAAAAAACCTTCAAAGAGGGAGAATCCATATCCCTTTCTCTGCCCCAAGGCCTTAGTCAGATTTCTTGCAGAAAAGATGAAGCAACACTAATCCCAATTCCCACCCTCTCTAATCACTCAAGTGCCTGGGACAGAAGCAATGAAGAAGAGAAGGGCTTGCAAAGATTTCAATTAAATTGAAACGGATGGCAAGTTACCAATTCAATCACCTATTTTCAAAACAAAGCTGAGCAAGCAAGGAGAGTCAATTTTAGCCTTCCAAAACTTAAAGGATGTTTATATAAGGGTTGAAACCTGCCGTACCTATTACAGTTACTGTTTGATGTGTTATCAAAGGTTTTCATGGCTGGAATCACTGGGTTGCTGTGAGTTTTCCAGGCTCTATGGCCATGTTCCAGAAGCATTATCTCCTGATGTTTCATCCACATCTATAGCAGGCATCCTCAGGGGTTATGAACTCTGTAGGAAATTAGGCAAGTGAGGTTTATATACCTGTGGAATAATGTCCAGGGTGGGAGAAAGAACTCTTGTCTGTTGGAGGCAAGTGTGAATGTTGCAATTGGGCAGCTTGATTAGCATTGAATGGCCTTGCAGCTTCAAAGTCTGGCTGCTTACTACTTTGTTGGGAGGTGTCAATGCTAATCAAGATGGTCAACTTAAACATTCACACTTGCTTCAAGCAGACAAGAGTTCTTTCTCCCCCCTGGACATTCCATAGATATATAAACCCCACTTGCCTAGTTTTCAACAAACCTCACAACCTCTGGGGATGCCTGCCATTGATGTGGGCAAAATGTCAGGAGAGAATGCTTTTGGAGCATGGCCCCTACAGCCCAGAAAGCTCACAGTAACACAGTTACTGTTCCTTATTTGTCTCACACAGACGGACCATATTGCAAAAGAGGCTAGCGCAGGCAAGAGCAAACTTTCGCCTTCTGGGTGTTTTGGACTTCAACTTACAGGAAGTGAGTTCCTAACAGCCTCAGCCCCCCCCCCCCCCCAGCCACTTAAGCGGCTGAGGGGGAAAAGGAAGGGGCCTGAGGCTGTTAGGCATTGTGGAAGTACAAAACACCTGGAAGGCCCAAGTTTGCCCATGCCAGGGCTAGTGGCATTAAGATGGATTAAGATGCATCCATTAATTAGAGAGCACCCCTGGTATTGATATATAGCTGCAGAGTTGCATTTAAATTAGACGTTTTGGTAAGAACCTCCCTGCACCCTACACAAACCTACAATGGCTTCAGTATACAAAAACAAAACATGCATACCAATGTTGGGGAAAAAAGGCTCTGAACGCTGGCGAATCATGGCTTGCATCTGTCGTTGCTGTTGCTGCTCCTGTCTTTCTTGGTCTAAGAGATCTTGAAGTAGAAGTGGTTGCTCTTCCAACAGAAGGGGCCTCTCTCGATTCTGCTGCTGGGCTAACGCTTGAGGAAGCATCATCTGCTGGGGACCAGGCATTCCAGTGGGGCCGGGTCTATTGACAACAGGCATGGGTTGATTGCCAGGCTGTCCTGGCCCGAAGCTATGGCCAGGGACAAAACCTGGATTTACTGTTGTCCCTGGTGAGAAGCTATGGCTTATTTGGGGAACTATGTTCATGTTAGGTAAAGCGTTCTCCACAGTTTGACCAGCAGGTGTCATTAATGCTTGTGGAATACCTGGAACAGGATTTGCTTGCGCTGCTGGCAAAGAGTTAGCTGGAGACCCTGAAGTCCCAACATCAGGGTTGTCTGAACTTTCATTAGAAAGCAAGCTTGTAAGAACTGGAGTGGATCCAGAGATATTGCAAGAACTAGCGACACTTTGGGCTGGCGTGGCAGCAGCGCCTTGAGCAGCATCTGGGCTAGATGCAGTGGGTTCCTCTTTCGTAGTTGTTTTGTCAACCGTTTCCACATTACAAGGCAGCACAGACTTCGTTTCTCCATCCTGTAGCTCTGGCTCAGCCATATTCTGAATGCTCGAGGCCACCACATTTCTGTCACCTTTTTCATTTTCAGAGTTACTTTCAGCTACTGTGTCTGGGGACAACACTTCTGTTTTAATCTCACTGACTTCACCAATTTTATCCTGTGAAGAAAGTGAGTCTCCTGGACTGGGAACTTTATCATCCTGGTGGTTTTGCTGAGGGTCTTCTGCTCTGCCTTGTATATCATCTATGGGAACATTGAGATCCAGCTCTTCACTAAACATACCCTTCTTGTCACCTAAATCGTGGTCTGGATCAGTGTAAGCAATAATGTCAAATTCTCCTGATCTCAGAAGGTCATCTAGGTGACGATCATTAGTTTCCAGTGGATCAAATGTGTCCAGCTCGTCTCCTTTTCCATCTTCTGGATCAAGATTGAGATTCTCAAGGTCTTCATCCACCAAGTCCTTAACCTCCACGCCATCAAGGTCTTTGACATCTAGATCTTTTACAGAAGGATCATCAGGATCAAGTTTTTCTTCTAGTACCTCAGCAGTCTGGTTGGGAATCTGTAAGTCACTTGCTGACTCTGCAGGTGTTGTTTCCGGCAAAGATCCTTCTGGAAAAGCATCATTAATTGGTGGGTTACTTAGAGGACACATCACTAGCACAGGCGGATGGCTTGGATTCATTGTTTCCTGCTGAGATGGTGGTAAATGTTCTAAGCCTGTTGACACGTGCAATGGAGCATTAAGGTTTTGAGAATTGCGTCTCATGGGCTCCAGGAGTCTGGGTCCCTGACAGTCCTGCCTGGGTAAAAACCCTGCATGTTGCTGATGTTGGGGAACTGTATTTATAACAGTTGTTGGTGGGGAATTAAAAGGCAGCCTTGGCCTGCTTTCAGGTGCTCTGTGACAGAGTTCAATAAATGCCTGCCCCATAATGTTGTGCTGCTGAACCTGGATTCCTTGTGGTGGGAAATGCTGTGGAAGTCCAATAGGATTAGCCATTTGGGGTTTAGTAGGTAATCTAGGCATCTCTATAGGCATGGATCTTCTGAGCTGGGGTGGGATTCCAGGACGTTGCATTTGCTGTGGAGGACCAAGGAAGCGTTCTTGACATGGAGGAGGTCCATGACCACTCCCAGAAAACCCATATCTTGAAAAGAAAACAGAATGTTTGGGTTGAGCGATTTTTGTGTCATTTTACAAAACATTTTAAAATACATTGAAATAACATATTTGCTCATTCATATTTTACTATTGTGTGTTTTCAAGCAATTTCTGCTTTATGGTAATGCTAAGGTAACCCTATAGTGAGGTTTTTCTGGCAAGATTTGTTCAGAGAGGATTCGAGTTTGCCTATCTATTGTTGGCATTCAATCCCACAGTGCCCAAATCCTCCCAAAGAGCAGTTAGTTTAGTATAGACTAAGGTTTCCCTTCCCCATGTCTCCTGTATGAGAGTTGGGAATGTGTCTATTTTGTTCTCTCCCTGTTTCAGCTCTCGTTCTGATTAGTTGTTTAAAATGGATAGTTTTCTCCTGCAAGCCTTTTTGAATCTGACTTCTGCCTTCTTACACTGTAGTATATGGAGAGTATGTGCTGTGTGCTTTGAGATCTCTCTCTGCTTGTGTATCATGAAAGATATAGTGATTTTTCCCTCTCTTTACCACCTATGTCTTCTAAGGTTTCAAAGGTAGCTCAGACCCTGTTTTTACCACAAAGAAATGCAGTTATTTGTAAATAAACCTTTTGCAATTTTTAAAGATTGGACTCTACAGGGAGGAGGGAGCAAGCTTGTTTTCTGCTGTCCTGGAGAGTAGGACGCGGAACAATGGCTTCAAATTACAAGAGAGGAGATTCCATCTGAACATGAGGAAGAACTTCCTGACTCTGAGAGCCGTTCAGCAGTGGAACTCTCTGTGGTGGAGGCTCCTTCTTTGGAAGCTTTTAAACAGAGGCTGGATGGCCATCTGTCAGGGGTGATTTGAATGCAATATTCCTGCTTCTTGGCAGGGGGTTGGACTGGATGGCCCATGAGGTCTCTTCCAACTCTTTGATTCTATGATACTATGTTTGCCTCCTAAGCTCTGAATTCTTTACAGTCACATCACATGGCAATTGATGCTCTGCTCACTAATGAGCTGATGCTCAACTTTTATATCCTGTTAATTTTTTGGGGGATTCTCTGCTGTATATTTTAGGGTAGTTTTCCCAACACCTATGAGGCTGAGAATCACCTACATATCCACCGCAAAGACACTACACTTGGAAGGCCATCATACTCGGAAAACGAGGGATCGCCTAAGTATAAGTAGTGTGACTTGTGCAAGGTTACAAGTAGATTTCCATGGCTGAGCAAGGATTCAAACCTAGCCTCCCAGTGTAATAGTTTAAAACTACTATATTTGATTTAGACTATATTGCAAAGGGCTAAATCTGGGGACCATCTATTCACATTTTCCCTAGGTTAATTTATCACATGTTAAAAATATTTTAACTGAATGCATTTGGATTGTGGTATTTAATTGTTTTTAACTGATTCTACACCACATATATTTGATTACATTACATGCATATACAAGTTGAATATCCTTTTTCTGAAATACTTGGGAAAAGAAATATTTTTGATTTAGGGTATTTTTTTGGGAGGGACATGGATTTGCGTGTACACACACAAACAAACACACACACAATGATATATCTTGTGTATGAGACTCAAATCTAAGCACAAAATTATGTTTCATGTATCCTGAAAGTAATTTCATGCAATATTTTTTAATAATTTTGTGTATGAAACCAAGTTTATGTACACCGAACCATTAAAAAGCAAAGGTTGCCACAATCCCAGCCACCTATGTGGACAATTTCAGATTCTGGATCAAGTACTGTAACATGGTTTAATATTATCTCAGTTATTCTTATCACAGTTACAGCACTTGATAAATAATCCACATTTATTAAGAAACAACATATTTTAGGATTCAGCAATCAAGAAGTGTACCTCATTCCATGGGACCTCATTCCCATGCCACCCATATCTCCTGGAAACTGGGGTCTATTGAACTGTCCATCAGCAGGAAAAACTGTGAACCTCATTCCACCGGGAGGGACAATAGATGCCCTAACATTTCCAGGGTATGGAGGAGGAGGACGATTAAAAATCTGGTTCAGATTTTCTTGTGGCCAAGGTGGAATAGCTCCTGCATGAGATGTTGCAGCTGTTTCCTGTGGTGCTTTCTCTTGACGGATTGCATTTTTCTTCTGTTGTTGTTGCTGTAGAATAATTTCACGTAATTTCTGGCGCTGAAATGAAACAAAAGTATTGTTAATTATACATTTGCAATTGAGTTATGGAATAGTTTTTTATAAATAAAATCTTTGAGAAGATATTTCAAAATCTTTGAGGAGATATTTGAAGTTACCCATGTTCTTGAGAGCAGCGCAGATGCAATTTTTGGAAGCATGCACACCCTCCACATACTTCTCTCCAAAGCAAAATTCCCTGCTGTCCATCTTAAACCATATGTACAGGATACATTTAGTGCTGATGTTTACTATGGTTGAGGCTAATTAAAACGTCCTTCTTATTGAAATCATAATTTGACAAAGGATTATAATCCAGTAGGGAAATTAAAACTTCACTAGAGCTTTCTTGAATACTTTTAATCTGGTCCTTGAATGCACTGACCATGTTTGGACAAAGCAATATGTCAGGAAATCGCGTGAAGCCTGACTTATCAACTGCAAGCAGAATGACAGTGCAAACTGCCCAACTATTCCTGCTTGCCAAGTTAAGGAAATGGAGTTTTGCTCTGAGGTTTGTTTATGGCTTCATCTCAATGAAGTGGCTGCTGGCACTGTAGCTCCTCTCATCCAGGCATGCTAGAGAACGTAATCTTAAAGCAAACCTCCTATTATCCAATCTGTTGGAGGAGAACACACCAGAGGGCTGACTGCAGCGGCACACAGACAACACAGTAAACTGGAAGTAAAACTCTGGGTTTGCTTAGCTCTTTCTGTTCTTCAGAGAAAATCTACATAATAAATGAATTTAACTACAGGACAGGTAGCATGACAGTGAGGTGCATGCTATAGTGTAGAGTCTGTTGTACTCCAAGGCTGGGAAGCACCTCTGCACTTAACACATGCCCCAGTCCAAGGGAAAATAGCAAGCAGTTTATTGAAGAATACATAGAAAGCAATTCAGCAAAATAGTATCAATAACCAAAGTCCAAAAATCAGAGATAATCCACAAAACTCAAGGTGAAAGCTGGTAACACTGAGAATTGGGCTGTAACTACTCCATAACTAACATGTTCTAGCCCAGGGGTCCTCAAACTAAGGCCCGGGGGCTGGATGCGGCCCTCCAAGGTCATTTACCCGGCCCTCGCTCAGGGTCAACCTAAGTCTGTAATGACTCAAAAGCACACAACAACAACAACAACAACAACAACAATCCTATCTCATCTGCCAAAAGCAGACCCACATGAAATACTAATAAGTTTATATTTGTTAAAATTGTTCTTAATTTTAATTATTGTATTGTTTTTAAGTGTTTTTTGCACTACAAATAAGATATGTGCAGTGTGCACAGGAATTCATTCATGTTTTTTTTTCAAATTATAATCCGGCCCTCCGACTGTTTAAGGGACTGTGACCTGGCCCTCTGTTTAAAAAGTTTGAAGACCCCTGTTCTAGCCTATTCAGGTACAACAGCATCCAAAAACCAGGAACACAAGAGCAGAGTAAATCCAAAACATGAAATTCAGGAACAGTCCTCAACACTTGGAAACATGAAACAGGAACAAACAGGAAAACCTGAACATGGCACTAGAAATTCTCTTGATTTGACAGGAGTTCAGTCCTCAATCTCCAGCATTGCTTCCACTGTCCAAAGAGTCTGTTGGACTAGCTAATATAGATGGGAAAGTGTGCCTTTTCCCTTGGGAAACTGATACTTTCAAACTAAAAGAAAGGAGATTCCATCTGATCATTAGGAAGAACTTCCTGACTGTGAGAGCTGTTCAGCAGTGGGACTCTCTGCCTCTAAGTGTGGTGGAGGCTCCTTCTTTAGAGGCTTTTAAAAAGAGGCTGGATGGCCATCTGTTGGGGGTGTTTGAATGCAATTTTCCTGTTTCTTGGCAGGGGGTTGGACTGGATGGCCCATGAGGTCTCTTCCAACTCTATGATTCTAAGAGACCTGACCTTCAGACTTTCTCATGTGAAACCCTATGTTGATGAAACGTAAATCTTCTATCTAATTGCTCATTAGTCTGTCCACCTGGACTTCCACTATCATCCTCTGAGATCAATCCCTTGTGTCATCAGGTTGACTAACAGGCCCAGAATCTCCAGAAAGACCAGGTGCAGGCACAATCAAAGGCTGAACACAGTCTGCTGATAACAAATAACAGAACATAATAAGTAACATAGTAAGTTTGGGTAAGAGCAATTGGCATCTTCCTTCAACTGTAGCATGTCATATGGTAGTTTTGCCAGCATATAATGTAGGAATATTAACTCACCTGTCTCAGTTTCTCTGCCTCTGCCTGAGACATTGTGTTCTGTGTACTTGTTGCTCCTGCAGTTGGTGCTGGGCCAGGAACTTGCGTGGTCTGGGGAAATGGATTTCCTTGCAAGTTCACAGAGGAATTCACAGGTGCATGGAAGCTTCCCCCTGATCCAGGTCTGGGCTGTTCAGCAGCATCATGGGGATGTTGTACATTTCCAAAACTTTCCGGTTGAGGTCTTGGGGTCCTTGGGGGCTGATCATAAGGGTCACATGATGGGGCTGTCGGAATATGGCTAAAAGCATCTGTCACAGCAGATCCTGATAATTTTGTAGGCTGAGAACATGGATCTGATGGTCTTACAAAAGGCTTATTCTGTGAAGTCTGTAGATAAGGATCTCGATTTAACATGAGGGTGGGTCTATTGTATGTTTCTGAAACTACAGGCCTTGGAGTTGCTGGTGACTGGGAATACGGATCATTACTCATTGGTCTTGGTGTTCCTGGAGGCTGGGCATATGGATCCGAATGCCTTTGATTAGCTGAAACCTGAGGAAACAAGTCTGCTTTCTGTGCAGGTCTTGGTGTGTGTGGTTGATGCATGTATGGGTCAACAGTGGCAGGTCGAGGAGTGCCCGGAGGCTGGGCATATGGATCTGAGACAGGACGAGGAGTGCCTGGAGGTTGGGCATAAGGATCTGAGATTGGACGAGGAGTACCTGGAGGTTGGGCATAAGGATCTGTGACAGGACGAGGCGTACCCGGAGGCTGGGCATATGGGTCTGAGACAGGACGAGGAGTGCCCGGAGGCTGGGCATAGGGATCCTGAGCAACTGCCCTTGAACCAGTTCCAGACTGAGAAAAAGAATCAGTCTGGTTTCGAATTACTCTTTGTGGATGGGCAAAAGTCTCTTTTATTGCTGGCTGTGGAGTCAGAGGTTGAGTGTATTGGTCATTCGATGGATTGTGCGAAAAGCTGTCTACGGGCCTTGGTGTTAAAACAGGCCGTTCATAGGGATCCAAAGGTAGGCGTCGTGGAGTCAGTGGCATTTTTGTATAAGGATCTTGTGGTGGCTGATTTGGGCGGAATGGAGTTTTAAATGGACCAGAACTCTCCTCTGCAACAAGAATGGAAGTCAATGGGGGTCGTGTATATGAGTCGGCCATAGGCATCCGAGGCCTTGGAAATCCATCTGCCCTAGGAGATGGTTTAGCAAACGGGTCACTGTTTGCTACATTTAAAGATGCTTTTCCTGGCTGTTCTGCCATTACAGGTGGTCTTGGCACCCCCATGGGCTTGGCAAACTGTTCTGTTCCTATCACCGGTCTAGGTGTATCTGGAGCTTTTGCATAAGGGTCAATATTGACTGGAGACAAAGAACATGAATCTCTGCCTGGTGATGGCCGCCTTCCTGTTGTTTCGGGTGCTTGAATTGGCCTAGATATGGATGATGGAGGTGGGCAGAGATCGACTGATGGAATAGAGTTTCTTCTGATATAGTTCTGGTTTTGGTTAACAGGTAGTGGCCTAGGAGTCCCTACCATTTTTGCATATGGGTCAATAGGAGAAGGTGGTCTAGCAGATGAAGGAGAAAAAGAGTGTTGAGATGAAGCCTGTGAGTGTGTGTCTTGAATAGGCATTTTGTTTGGTGTCACAGGTGGAGGTGGGACTTGTGGTTTTAGGAACACATCAGATGGAGGAGAAGAAGAAGGGGTACCAGGTGGTTGCTTTGTGTATAATGTCTGTTGACCAGGAGACATATTTCCATTACCAGTCTGAGGAGTTAAAGGACTCTGCATCCCACTACTAGGTGTATCTGAACCTGACTGGTTCAAAGGTTGCTGTGACCCAAGTTGTTGCTGAAGTTGCTGTTGCTCATTTTTCACTTGCTCCAGTTTCTGAGTTGCTTCAATTTTAGCCTGCTGCTTACTTTTTTGACGCATTTGCTATTTTAGGAAAGAAGGAAAAAATGTGTTGGAACAATGAGGAAATTATACAAAATATGATATTAAATTCAGATGACGAAAATATATTTTAAAATAGATTTTGACAATTTATAAAATGTAAATTATTTATATACACTTCCATTTACTAACAGTATATATTTTGAAAACTAGGTGATTTTTTTTTTTTGCGAAGAAGCGCTGTAAAAGCAACAAGTAGCTACACTGAGAATTTCATCAAAGCAGTTTGGGTCCAGGCTATTGGTCCAATCGCATCTCCCTATATAAACCATCTTGTGTATTATGGTCAGCGGAAGAGGTCCTGCTCTCGGTCCCACCCCTGTCTTAAGCCCGTTGGGTGGGAATGAGAGAGGAGGACTTTTCATGATCGCTCCGTCTCTGGAACTTCCTTCCTAAAGAAATAAAAATGCCCCCCGCCCTCCTCTCCTTTAAGAAACTTATGAAAACACACCTTAGCGTATGGAGAGGAGGAGGACTAAGATACTTTAATCCACCGCAACGTAGGAGAACCCATTTGCAACAGCTACAATATATTTTTAATAAACATCTCTGTTAGCCATTTCAAATGCAATGCATTTTAACTGCTTTTAATGATATATGTTATATGGCATTACATTTTTGGATGGCGTGATTTTAATACTGAATGTAATTGTAAAAAAATTAATATGTATTTATTTTAATTCAATGGATTTTAAGCTTGATGTTGTATATGTTTAAGGCACTGAATAATTGCTATATTATTTATTTATTTAGGTACGATATTTCTATCTCGCCTTTCTCGAACCCGAAGGTGACTTAAGATGGCTTACAACCCAGCAGCCATTCAAAGCCGTAACCATATACAGTATAAAATGTAAGCATTTAAACAGATTTATCAAATCATACAATAAAAACCATTTAAAAACATATAAAAAACAATATTTTCACTGTTTATCGCATTGCCCAAAAAACATTGTCTGAGCCATTCCATAATTCAGTTCCATATGGATCTGTTTTTAATTATTTCACTGCATTCCCAAAAGCTTGTTCAAAAAGTCAGGTTTTTTACTTTCCTCCAGAAGATCAGGTGGAAGTGGGCCGATCTAATCTCCCTAGGGAGGGAGTTCCACAGCCGAGGGGCTACCACTGAGAAGGCCCTGTCTCTTGTCCCTGCCAGCCGCAACTGCAGAGGCAGGACCGAGAGCAGGGCCTCCCCAGCCAATCTTGAGCTCCAAGGTGGTTCATAGAGAAAGATACATTCAGACAGGAAAGCTGGGCCGGAACCATTTAGGTAAGCCACCTTCAGTCCCCCTTGGGGTAGAGAAAGGCGGGGTATAAATAGGGTTAGTAAATAAATAAATAAAGTACATTCATGTACTTTATTTATTTATTGTCTAATTGGTTTATTGCGGCCCAATTTCCCATTCCAATATTTGTTCTTTTCATTATACATTTACTATTGTTATTGTGCATTATTTTGTATTATTTCTGATGTTGTTTATACTTGGCAAAGGATTGAATGATTGCTTGTTTCTGTATGTAAACCGCTTTGAGTCCCTTTTGGGAGAGAGGCAGTCTAGAAATAAAGTTTTATTATTATAAAGCCTCGAAGAAGTCAGAGATTCTTAAACTATATTCTTAAGATTTTCAATCTGAGTTTCCCGTACCACATACAGATGTCTACTGCTATAGCAACATGGAAAATGCATTTTCAGAGCATAGATTTGACAAAAATATATTAAACTACATTCAAATAACATCACAAAGTCAAAATTCACAATTGAGGAATCACATATTAATATATTATCAATAAGACATCATGAGTACAAAATCCTCTTTGTGTCTTCAACAGATTGCTGACTTACAAATACTTTAGTAGTCACTAGAGATTAAAATATCTCCTTCTACACATGTTTTACTTCATTGGGAAGTTTAAATGTGAACATGCTTGGAGCCCATCAAATGTTTCCAGAATGGGAAACATGGTTATGAATTTTAGCATCACGGCGTTCAGGTTAATTTACCCCTATTATTTATAAACAGAATGTGATGGTTATGCAGACACCATCTCCTAGGTTGCCAATGATTGCTGTACACACAGATTTCATCATAAAACTTCTATTACCTTTCCTGAAAACCGATTTATATAATTAATAGCATTTTTTTCTGCAGCTATCCTAGGCAAAAGGCAAAAATAAGCACAAAATACAACACACCTGTCTAAATTTCCACTCTTGCTCGTGCTCTGATTCTCTCTGCTTTAATGGGTCCTTGAAGAGTTCTGCATCAATACGAGAGCTTGGATCAATACTGTCCTGCTGCTGCTGCCTTTTCATGGAATCATTAGACATCTGCACTTTGTTGATGCGCAAGGCCGCTCTATTATCTCTGGCTTTTTGCTGCAAAACAGAGTATCGCTCACAAATGTCCTTTTACCTGGCTTTTTGTTGATACATGTAACTAAAGACCCACATCAAATCTAAATGCAAAATCAACATAACAAGAAACTAGGCCACATCCTGACATTTGAGAACAATTAATCTCCTAGGCAGATGAAAAGGCTGATTATATAACACAGGGTTGATTTATTTGTGCAAATTTATATAGTGGGGAAGGAGCTCCTGGTAGCGCAATGGGTTAAACCCTTATGCCAGCAGGACTGAAGATCGACAGGTCACAGGTTTGAATCCGGGGAGAGCATGGATGAGCTCCTTCTGTCAGCTCTGGCTCTCCATGTGGGATCATGAGAGAAGCCTCCCACAAGGATGGTAAACATCAAAACATCCAGGCGTCCCCTGGGCAACATCCTTGCAGACAGCCAATTCTCTCACACCAGAAGCGACTTGCAGTTTCTCAAGTTGCTCCTGACATGACTAGATAGATAGATAGATAGATAGATAGATAGATAGATAGATAATTAGATAGATAGGGGAAAGGTGTAAGTAGCTAAAATTAATAACAAGGAAATTGAAATATGAGCAGAACAAGCTCACAGTGGTTCTCAACTTTCCTAATGCTGCGACCTCTTAATATAGTTCCTCATGTTGTGGTGACCCCCAGCCGTAAAATTATTTCCATTGCTACTTCATAACTGTAATTTTGCTACTGTTATGAACTGTAATGTAAATATCTGATATGGACCAAATTTGGCACAAATAGCCAATATGCCCAAATTTGAATGCTGGTGGGGTTGCAGGGGGGGATTGATTTTGTCATTTGGGAGCTGTAGTTGCTGGGATTTATAGTTAACCTACAATCAAAAAGCATTCTGAACTCCACAAAAAAATGGAATTGAACCAAACTTGGCACAAAGAACTCCCATGACCAACAGAAAATACTGGAAGGGTTTGGTGGCCATTAACCTTGAGTTTGGCAGTTGTAGTTTAACTTTAACCAGAGAGCACTGTGGACTCAAACGATGATAGATCTGGACCAAATTTGGCACGAATACTCAATATGCCCAAATGTGAACACTGGTGGAGTTTGGGAATAATAGACCTTGACATTTGGTAGTTGTAGTATATGGGATTTATACTTCACCTACAATCAAATAGCATTCTAAACCATACCAATCAGAGAATTTGGCCAAACTTCCCACACAGAACTCTATGATTAACAGAAAATACTGTATTTTCTGATGGTATTTGGAGACCCCTCTGACACCCCCTCATGACCCCCCCCCCCAGAGGTCCCGACCCCCAGGTTGAGAAACACTGTGCTAGAAGCACATCCACCAGTCCATACAACTGTTGTGGTTCAGCCAGATGAAGATGAGGGGTTTGGGGGTTCAGGGCCTGATGGCTCTGTAGGTGAGAAACAGAGGGGGTATTAGAGCAACAAGGTTCTGTAGATGAGGGAACGGATAGGGTTTCAGAGCAAGATGTTGTTGCTGAGACAGAGTGTGAAAGTGGAACTGTTTTGGAATCCAACAGGTAGGGAGAGGAGGACAACATTAGCTCATCCGAGGGAGCAGCTGGCTTAGACAAAGATACAAGACGGCTTCTGTGGGGGCAGAGATTCAGGTGCAGGAAAATCCAGAAGAGATGCAGAAGCAGGTTTCTCAAGGCCAAAGGGATGTGTTCATGGTTTGCAGTACTTAAATTAGTGAGAGAGCTATTAGGATTTGAGATCAAGCAACATTGCTACAGGAGTGAGGGACTCCTGCCTCATTCCTACTTCATGCCTTAGTTCAAGACCCAAGATTCATGCTCAAATTTTGCTCCTTGTTTTATGGATTTACCTGTGGATTCATGCCCATGTTTTGCTCTTTGTTTCCTGGATTCATCTTCATGTTTTAACCACTGTTTTCTGGATTTATCTATTGCCTTTGGGACATGCTTCCTTTGCTAACTCTTGGATTTTTACCCTTCTATTTGCTTAAAGTGACTTTGGCCCTTTTATGTGTTTTATCAATAAACTGTTTTGGTTTCTTGGGGAGGGCTGTGAGCAAGGTGAACTCCTACTGAGGTGCAACAACAACATCTAAGCAAAATTTGTACGTCATCTGAACTCTAACAAAGTAAACATTAAAATGACACATGGTTACTAGAAAATATGGAGATTGCTTCAGTAAGCAATAACAGAGCTTTTAATCATTTTAAAGCAGCTCCAAGCACTTATTCTGCGGTAATGATTTTGACATTACATCGCCAGATGATCAACTCATCCTTCCTGTTTTTCAAAAGGCTTTATCTGCAAAATCCTTATTTGGTTTCAAAGAGTTGCAAAAGAACAGATGTGCCCATTCTGTCCCAAGAGCTAATGGCCTAAGTTGTAAATTTAGAGAGTTAGAAAATATTTTTTAAAAACTTATAACACTTTTAGAGCAACCAGAAAAAGGCAGAAATAAGTTTTAACAAGAATTGCAAATGATTACCACATATGGAGCTCTTTCCTGCGAACTTGCTTTTCTCCACAGTTTAGCAATCTGCTTCACTCTTGTAGCCCAATCTGAAAACACGAAGGGAAAGGAGGAGCATTTGTTTTCCAAAGATTTGGAACATCATTAAAACTTCTTCGTTTTATGCAATGTTTCCCCCCTTCAGGGTTAAACAAATAGCATCTTTCAGAGTTAGGAAAATGTGAATCCCATGAAAGAAAGCTGAGGTCTATCAGATTTGTTAACAACCTCTCCACATGGGGCCAAATTTGGTAGCATGCACCATTTTAGCACCGGTCACCCACTGATCCAGATGGCTCCCATCACATGACACCAGTGTGGCTCCATGGGTGAAGGAGCATGCCGCAATCAGAGCAACATGAGAGGGCTCCCATGTTGCCATTGTAATGCATGGGGGGAAGCCATGTGCACCATATGTGCTTACGCTTTCCCCCATCTGATCGCCCTCAGCATTGCGTGGCACGGGGCACCAGGTTCCCCATGCCCCTCTATGAAGCGGAGTGATGCTGGCTGTCGTCTGACAAGGCCACTAGTTACCTTTCATTCTTTAATTCACAACATACCTGGGAACTCCTCTTTCAGGTTTGGAAAGTTGATATTTGTGTACAGAACAGGTGCTACAGTTGCCATTTCACCGAGTGCTTCCTCTTTCTCCCACTTCAGAGTGCTTCTCTGTGCATTAGACATAGTGTCACCTTCACCTTCCAGAGGGGCAGTGGATGGAACCCATGAGCCAGCGGGATCATTCATCACAGCATTAAATGCATTTTTATCTCTGTGACAGCAAAGCAAAGGGTGCATTTGTGACCATCTCCAGAGTTAAGTTGTCCAAAGATTCATACCCGGACCATCCCAACATTGCTAATAACTCTGATTGGGCACAGATGGAATGACATTCAAAAATAAATTTAAGGCCATCGGTGGTGCAGTGGGTTAAACCCCTGTGCCGGCAGAACTGAAGACCGACAGGTCGCAGGTTCGAATCCGGGGTGAGGCGGATGAGCTCCCTCTATCAGCTCCAGCTCTTCATGCGGGGACATGAGAGAAGCCTCCCACAAGGATGATAAAACATCAAATCATCCAGACGTCCCCTGGGCAACGTCCTTGCAGACAGCCAATTCTCTCACACCAGAAGCGACTTGCAGTTTCTCAAGTCGCTCCTGACATGACAAAAAAAAAATCATTAAAAAAACAAAATCTTTCTAATCTGGTGATAGTTTCTCAGTAGCAATGAGAGAAGCCTCCCACATGGATGGTAAAACATCAAAACATCTGGGTGTCCCTGGGCAACATCCTTGCAGACAGCCAATGCTCTCACACCAGAAGCAGTTTCTCAAGTCGCTCCTGACATGAAAAAGTAGGAATGGCCGAGTGTTATAGAGCATAAAAGACACAAATCAGTGGGTAAGGTATGGAATATTAATTATTATTTTTAATAAACTCCACAACATTAGCCTTTTAAGTTATGAAAAATAAGTAGAATTAACAGGTGATGTCCTGATCACCAGTCAAACAAGCAAGGCAGAAATGGAAAGTCTCATCCAGGCATGGGCAGACTTTGGCCCTCTAGGTGTTTTGGACTTCAACTCCCACAATTCCTAACAGCCTACCAGCTTTCCAATGCCTAATCCAAATGTTTGGTCAACTAAAATGCCAGGGTGATGGAATGTCACTACCTTACACTTCATAAACCCAGATGTTTCTTGAGTAGAATGCAATGGGCAGTCATAAGAAACCATCTCCCAAGGAGAAGAATATGGGAACTTGAACTAACCGGGTCCTGCAGTGCCCTGGTTCTTCTGAACACACAGACTGAGCCCACTGCATCCTGAACCATGAGATTTTTTTGTGTGCTGTTTCATGAGATTCAAGTGAGTGCAGAAGGGGAAAAAGAGCCCACACTTTCTCTATCTCCACTTTCAACAACTTTGTGTTAGATCCTAGCCATCCAGATAGAGTTCTGACTTAAATGCCTGGAATGTCTTCCAGAAATATAGGACAATTACCATAGCAAGTTAGATATTTATCAGATTTACCTTGTGTCCGTGAATGGTGGCTGTGATATGGTAGGAAAAGCACCTAATCCACCTCCAGGAACTAGAGATGCATGAGGGAGATGGGGATTTGGTCCAATCAGCCCATTCATAAGTGGAACTCTTGAAAACGTGTTTTCCCCTTTGAAGAAAACATGCAAATACAGCAGTGAATGGTGACTATTATTCGAAGATCAATTTGCGTTTTACTATAAAACAATATTACCCAGGACACAAAGAATGCTTCAGAGTGTGGCAAATTCCCTCTAAGTAAAACTTAGGATTCAGTACCTTGCAGGACAAACTGCGCTGTGCTACTCTGCTGCTGAGTACGCATGCCCAGTGTGGAACACATCTCACCACGCTAAAACAGTGGATGTGGCTCTTAATGAGACATGCTGCATTATCACGGGGTGTCTGCGCCCTACACCACTGGAGAAATTACACTGCTTAGCCGGCATTGCACCACCTGACATCCACCGGGAAGTAGTAGCCAATAGTGAAAGGACCAAGGCAGAGACATCTCCAGCTCATCCCCTGTTTGGGTATCAGCCAGCACGTCAATGACTTAAATCTAGAAATAGTTTTCTAAGATCTACAGAGACACTTGCTGGAACACCTCAGCAAGCGAGAGTCCAAAAGTGGCAGGCTCAAACCCAGCACCTCAATCCATGGGTGACACCAGATGAGAGACTCCCCCCTGAGCACACAGAAGACTGGGCGACTTGGAAGGCGCTGAACAGACTGCTCTCTGGCACCACGAGATGCAGATCCAACCTTCAGAAATGGGGCTACAAAGTGGAATCCTCGACATGCGAGTGTGGAGAGGAGCAAACCACTGACCACCTGCTGCAATGCAACCTGAGCCCTGCCACATGCACAATGGAGGACCTTCTTGCAGCAACACCAGAAGCACTCCAAGTGGCCAGATACTGGTCAAAGGGCATCTAATCAACTACCAAACTCACAAATTTTGTATTCTGTATTTTGTATTTTTGTGTCAGTTTGATTGCTTTGTTCTGTTAGAAATGTAATATAATTGACTGGTTGCTGATGACTCGATAAATAAATATATAGGACAAACTTCAGCGAAGATAAATGGATTTTGAAGAATTTGTAAGAATAATACATTGAAGTACTTATTAAAGTTAAATAATTTTACATTTAATTTTATTTTATTTTCAGACTTAAGATGTAGCCATATACTTTCTGAAGGAGATGAATTAGAGCATTCTAATACTAATATTTATGCAAATCTTGACACTCTTCTGTGATGTGATTAAATCTATACACACAATACAAGTGAAAATATGTATGTGTATATGTGGTTGGGGTGTCCACTTACATAGACAAGCTCTGACCTCCACAAACAGCTATAGCTTCCACTATTCAGGAGACACTAATGGCCCTCCCTCCAATGACATTGCAGGTTATAGTGAGCGCCATGAATATGTCCAAGAGCCCTGCCAATGTCCTCCACAAACACCATACTGCTCTCCACCCAAGTGAAGGCTTTCATACAGGAACAATTCCATCCTAGATTTTATGTGTTTCCTCCACCACAGACACCCCAGTGTTTCTTACTCTCTCCATTGGTGTGGAATTTGCATAATACCGCCCACTGCCTTTCCCTTAACCCTTTCCTATTCTTTTCTATGGCACAAAGCAAATAGAAGAATTGATCAGCAAATGAACATACTAGAGAGGTTTGGAGAGAATTCACCATGATTTATAGTTGTAGGCCTGGAATATATAGTTCACTTGCACTCTAAGAGCGCTCTGAACTCCACCAATGATGGACCTGGAACTAACTTGGCACACAGAACCCCCATGACCAACAAAAAATATTGGAGGTCTGGGATTTATAGGTGTTGTAGTTCAACTATATCCAGAGTGCACTATGAACCCAAACAATTATGGATCTGGACCAAACTTAGCATGCATACCCAGTATGTCCACATTTGAATACTGGTGAGTTTTGAGGGGAACTGGTCTGGACATTTTGGAATTGTAGGTACTGGGATTTATAGTTCACCAGCAATCATAGAGTGCTCTGAACTTCACCAAAGATGGAACTGAACCAAACTTGGCACACAGAGCCCCCATGACTAGCAAAAAATACTGGAAGTCTTTGGGGGAATTCACCTTGACCTACATCCAGAGAGCACTGTGAACCCAAACACAGATGGATCTGAACCAAACTTGTAACACATACCTGATATACCAAAATTTGATTACTGGAGGGGCTTTGGGGGGGGGGGGAACTGACCTTCCTTTCTGGGAGTTGTAGTTCACCCACAACCAGAGAAAGTGTGACCTCCACCAATGATGGACCTGGACCAAACTTGGCATACAGGACTCCCATGACTACCTCAACCTACTGGAGGAGTTTGAGGGGACTGACTCACCATAACGGAAGTTGTAGTTTGTCCTACAGCCAGAGAGCACACTGAACCCAACCAATCTAGAGCAAACTTGCTCAACATAACAAACTTAAAGTACTGATGGAGCTTCAGGGAGTTAACCTGGCATGATGTGAGTTGTAGTTCACCCACAACCTTATGCATTTTGTAAAATAAAATAAAAGATTTTCAAATAAATAATCCGGGAAACGCCAGGTACCCAAGCTAGTAATTGAATTACAATCATCTCACACAAAAATGAGTCAAAAGACAATTAGAAATCTCTGGAGATTATTATGTGAACTTCTGCAGCAATTAGGCTGTGATGTGGTGGCAAAAAAAGCCAACGGGATTTTGGCCTGCATCAATAGGAGCATAGTGTCTAGGTCTAGGGAAGTAATGCTACCCCTCTATTCTGCTTTGGTTAGACCACACCTGGAATATTGTGTCCAATTCTGGGCACCACAATTCAAGAGAGATATTGACAAGCTGGAATGTGTCCAGAGGAGGGCGACTAAAATGATCAAGGGTCTGGAGAACAAGCCCTATGAGGAGCGGCTTAAGGAGCTGGGCATGTTTAGCCTGAAGAAGAGAAGGCTGAGAGGAGATATGATAGCCATGTATAAATATGTGAGAGGAAGCCACAGGGAGGAGGGAGCAAGCTTGTTTACTGCTTCCATGGAGATTAGGACAAGGAACAATGGCTTCAAACTACAAGAGAGGAGATTCCATCTGAACATGAGGAAGAACTTCCTGACTGTGAGAGCCGTTCAGCAGTGGAACTCTCTGCCCCGGAGTGTGGTGGAGGCTCCTTCTTTAGAAGCTTTTAAACAGAGGCTGGATGGCCATCTGTCAGGGGTGATTTGAATGCAATATTCCTGCTTCTTGGCAGGGGGTTGGACTAGATGGCCCATGAGGTCTCTTCCAACTCTTTGATTCTATGATTCTATGATTCTATGAAATGTCTTTCTAAAACTTTCTGCAATTTAGTGCCATTGGGGGTCTCTTCCTATAAGCCGGTAATGTTTTGTTTTTGAGGAACAAAATGAGCACTATACCTGGATTGTGCAAGTGCATTAAGGGTTGGGGTGGGGGTGGTTGGGGTTGTGGCAAAGGTGTTGATTGAGTAGTTGCCGGACTCAGTACAGCTGTAAACAGGTCTTCCACATCCTTTCCTCCCAGCTCTGTAAAATACTAAATGTGAGTATAAGGAAATGTTTGAATACAGTACACTTCATGAAAATGTAATGAATAGCAAAAGGTCGTACCTGGAATCTTGTACATTTTACCAAGAATTGCACCTGGACAAAGAAAAAGCAATATAAACATGAGCAATTATCATCCATTGTACTTCTGTCATCTGAAATGCCACAAATTAGTCTCAAGAACTGCAAACACAAAGCATGTCTGAAATTGTGCATAGTCTTCCATCAACTATAATAATAGGTTCCTTTATAAGTAGAGGATAAAAGATAGTCATTTACCATCTGTGACCATCTTGTCCAATTCAGGGCTCAGGATTCCATCTAATTGTTCTTCACTCAACGGCCGTGAACTCTGACTGACGCTTTGTAGAGGCAGAGAAGAGGGATCGTCCGGGATGGCTCCAATATCCAGACCAGCTGACAGAAGGAAGAAGATAGGTTTTAGCTTAAAAGGAGATGAACACATTGATTTTTTTCAGTTTCACAAAATGCTTAGAAAAATGTTTTGAGTCCCATTTTTCTATAATGAGTTAAATTAGCATATTTTCGTTCAGTCACCTTTAAAAAACACATTTTCTACACAAGTCAATCAGAATCTCACCAAAGATATCCTCGAATTGTAGGCCTGTCCTCAGATTCCAAAAGCTTAGAAACAGCAGAATACTAAGTAAAACAAGGGTCGATGTACTGTGGTCCGTAGACCACCAATGGTCTGATTCTGCCAATTGGGAGTTGTAGTTGCTGGGATTTATAGTTCACCTACAATCAAAGAGCATTCTGAACTCCACCAAGGATGTAATTGAATCAAACTTGGCACACAGAACTCCCATGACCAATAGAAAATACTGGAAGGGTGTAGTGGGCATTGACCTTGAGTTTTGGAGTTGTAGTTCACCTACATCCAGAGAGCACTGTAGACCAAACTTGGCACTAATACTCAATATGCCCAAATGTGAACACTGGTGGAGTTTGGGAAAAATAGACCTTGACATTTGGGAATTGTAGTAGCTGGAATTTATAGTTCACCTACAACCAATGAGCATTCTGAACTCCACCAACGATGGAATTGAACCAAACTTGGTACACAGAGCTCCCATGACCAACGGAAAATACTGGAAGAGTTTGGTGAGCATTGACCTTAAGTTTTGGAGTTGTAGTTCACCTACATCCAGAGAGCACTGTGGACTCAAACAATGACGGATCTGGACCAAACGTGGCACAAATACTCAATATGCCCAAATGTGAGCACTGGTGGAGTTTGGGGAAAATAGACCCTGACATTTGTGAATTGTAGTTGCTGGGATTTATAGTTCACCTACAATCAAAGAGCTTTCTGAACCTTAGCAACAATAGAATTGGGCCAATCCTCATGGCTTGAAGGGACTTACTAGCATGAGCCTCCCTCCAGCCTCGTATGCTCTCCCTTGCCCACACATGCGCACCATGCTGCCATGTGCCGAGCACACCTGCTCTCCCCTCCCTGCTTGGAGTGCTGCCAATCACAGCAGGAGGAGGACTTTTGGTGGGAGGATTCGCCGTCTGTTTCCAAAAAGGAAAAGAAGGTCAGATGGAGAGATCTCCAGCCTTCTCTGCCAAAGGGATTCCTAAGACCATCAGAAGACTGCTCTGAGTCCCCCCCTCCCTGGGGGTTGAGAAGGGCGGAGTAAAAATGCTGTAAAAAAATGCTTTCTGATGGTCTTTGGTAATCCCTCTGAAACCCCCTTGCGACCCCACAGGGTTGACCCCCAAGTTGAAAAACACTGCTGTAAAAGAAGAAAATCAAGACTACCGCTATGATAAGAGATACCTAATGCATTGTCCAACATACTTGCAAAGAGCAGAATTATTTTGTGTTTTAAAATGCACATGCGCGCACACACAAATTCAAGATGTAGTTATCCACAACATTTTGAAACTGAATACTCAAATTCTATTGGGTGCACTGCATAGGCAGCATGTAACATTGTGCAAGGCTCTATAGACAGAGATGGTGAAAAATGAGGGTATTTTAGTGATATGGTGAAAGAACCGTACTTCGCATGCAAAAGTAAAAGCAAATTAGTTGAAACCACTAGGAAAGAGGGCTACTTCTAATCACGAATCACCCACTAATTATATCCTTACCAAAAGGGGAGGAGGAGCTCTCAACCTGGAAAGTGCATAAATCAAGACCTACGGGATCCAAATCAGATAAAATGGATGATTATAATAAGAAGGGAAAATAAGAGTGAGGAAGGCAAGAAAGAACACAAATCCAAAGTACATACAGCCACATGCTGAAATAGTGCACAGTTATGACAGACACAGTCATTTAAAAAAAAATCCTGCCTATCAATAAAGTGGAAAGTAAAACAAGGGTTGATGTACTGATCAAAGCAAGAAGGAGGGGTTATTTGCCAGCTGAAGCAAACTTAAGGCATAACAAGTACAGAGATAAATAACTAGTTGAATATTACTGCAAATGTGGCACATATTTAATTTATAAATCAGAATTAATTTCATAGAACCAACAAGAACGTTATTAGCACATACCTGAATGATCTGCCGATTTCACTAAATCATCAGAAAAGATTCCAAGAATGTCCTCATCATTATTCAGCACAAGAGCAGCTATGGGGTCATCAGCAATACCTACACGAAATATGTATTTAGTTATATCTTTGTATCAAAACATCTTAAAACAGGTAAATTATACATAGCTAAACCTAGAAATGTAATTAAACTGTCAAAGAAGTTAAACTGGTTGAAAATAACAAACATTAAAATAGATACCCCCCTCTCTCTCTTTCTTCTATATATATGTGTGTGTGTGTGTGTATAATGTGTGTGTATATATATATATATATATATATATATAGAGAGAGAGAGAGAGAGAGAGAGAGAGAGAGAGAGACATATACATACAAATACACAGCATTTACAATTCCCACCATCACCACGAGGAATATTTCCTTTTAAATATTAAGGAATATAGAAGGTTTGTCTCAAAATATGTTTTGAGACAAACCTTCTATATTTACATACTGTAAAAAATTTGTATCCTATTTCTTATGGCCTGGTCTCTGGACTTATTCATAATATACCCTGTTTCCCTCAAAATAAGACATCCCCTGAAAATAAGACGTAGTGGAGGCTTTGCTGAATTGCTAATTAGAAGTCCTCATTGTACCTTTCTCATAATGAAAACATCAGAACTGAAACTATTTACAAACAAAAAGGAAAACATTTTTGTCAGGTTTTACAATGTATTGTAATGTAATATAGCTGAGTCATGCACTGCTAATAGGCTTCTATTGGAAATGCTGAGTCATGCATTAACTGTATATAGGGAATCATTTGGGGAATGTGTTCTGGCCTAGTCCAGGTGATTGTGAATGATGTAATCCTGGGTCTGAGTTAAGTCAATAAGTTGGGAACCAATCAGTGATTGCTATGTGTAATTGTACAGAATTGTATATAAGGAAGTCATGTACAGTGTATATTTCTCCTTATGCTGTGATGTCGTTCGTCAAAGGCTATATGTAATTAAAAGAACCTGTCTGCTAAGACAAGATATAACTGTATGCTGTGGTAAGTTTGTAGTATCATCTAGACTGGGGGAAAGACAATGGTAAAACTGACAATGGCCGGGCATGTGCTCAAGTGTATGTAAAAGGTTCCAGAGTGACTGCAGGCTGTGGGAGCACTTGACTGAGGATGCTGTGCAAGAAGAAGCTGCTGGAAAGCGCTGAAGTTGTGCAACTGATCTGCTGCTGAATTGAGAAGTTAATCTCAACAATTTTAGTCTCAGAAGACACTGCCATGGACCTTATCTATCCTTGAACAAAAGAATGGTAAAGTGAGGCTATAACAAGCATGGGCAAACTTTGGCCTTCCAGATGTTTTTGGCCTGCAGGCTGTTAGGAATTGTGGGAATTGAAGTCCAAAACACCTGGAGGGTCGACATTAGCCCATGCTTGGGCTATAATATGAAAAGTCTGAATGACAACCAGCCCCCCATTTTTTGCATGCGTACACACCCAATCTCTCCAACATTCATATTTCCAAAATCCCACATGCCCATTCACATTGCCCAGCCCTTATCATAATGCACAAGGCTACGTCCTCAAACTTGCATACCTTGTGTGCCGGCTTTTGGTGGCACTGGGGTGGAAGTTGAGCTAAGAAGGGGGTCTGAAGATGGATCTAAGAAGTTTGTGCTCAGATTTGTTTTGCATGAAATGTTAAGGTTTTCTTCACCTAAATGATCCAAACTTGGTTTACTTTGTCTGCTGGTATCCAGAAGATCTTTGCCGAAGAAGGCTTCCTGAAATTTAAAAGCAAACATATGTTTGGTGTGCTATTAAAATTGCTCATTGTCTGCAAAATTCCCATTATTTGAGAAATATAATTCAAAACCCTGTTTTATTATTCTTTTAATTAAATAGCATATATTCCAAATAAACATACTGTATATACATTACATGTATATTATGTGTAGTCATGCCAGCCACATGACCTTGGAGGCGTCTACGGACAACGCCGGCTCTTCGGCTTAGAAATTGAGATGAGCACTAACCCCCCGAGTCGGACACAACTGGACTTAATGTCAAGGGAAAACCTTTACCTTTACCTTTTATATACATTACAGTATGAAACAAAATTTGAAATGTTTTCTGTTTCTGGTTTGAAAGTGTTATTTCCTGTTTAATTGTGTGGTATTTACTTTGAAAGTAGTTGTTATACTCTAAAAACTTTGAAACTACAGTCTCTAAATATTGCTTGAGCTACTTTTAAAGAGATCCTACATGAAGAGAAGGAATATTTCCAATCTGGAGCGATTCAACCCCCTTCTAGTAGCCCACTGTACCCCATTCTAGATTGTTCAGAAGCCCCACCTATGCTTTTCCAAAACTGATATCTGCAAAGGGATATGTCCCCAAACTTACTGTGGAAACAGGAAACTATAGACAAACTTTTGAAATAAATAACTTGTACCAGGAGTCACCATAGAGCAGTGGTGACTCCTGGTACCACCAGTTGTCCGCAAGAACTAAGATATGATCCACGGCCTCACTGTTACTACACCGTTGCAACGAGAACAATTGGTCTTGCAAAGTGCCGAGGCTTATTAAATACGTTTTTCTCTGGGTGAGCAGATGGCGACTACTGGATGGCATTTGTTCTGTATCAGAAACTAGAGCTGATGTGGTCTATCTTTGCATTTTTCTGAATCAGCACCCCAAATAACCAAACCGAATCTAAAGTTGACCAAAACCTGATTTGTAACCCTTTTAGTAGTAATGTTGAGAGTGTTCTCTGGTCAAAGTGGTCCATGGTCAAGTTTGTGAGGATTTGTAAAAAGATGCCATGATGTAATGGATTTGACTGGAAAGACATGTGTCGGCAGCTGATTGGCTGAGCATGCCATGGCCCAGAGTTCTGATTGGCTGCTGTTTCTGGCTTGCTCCTGAGACAAATGGTTTTAACTGCCACTTTCACTTTGGAGAGTGAAGAGGGTGCTGACTGGAAACAGCCAGGAAGGAAATGGCTGCCAACTCTATGAAGCCTGATCATTTTTAAGGCATGAAGCATATTTTAAAGACTGTTTAAAAGGACTTTTTATTCCCTCTGTTCTCTGTGTGAATTCAGAGAGAATGCTGTATATATTGTTGCCCTGCTGTTGTTGTTTTTTGTTATGTCAGGAGCGACCTGAGAAACTGTAAGTTGCTCCTGTTGTGAGAGAATTGGCCGTCTGCAAGGACATTGCCCAGGGGACGCCTGGATGATTTGATGTTTTATCATCCTTGTGGGAGGCTTCTCTCATGTCCCCGCATGAGGAGCTGGAGTTGATAGAGGGAGCTCATTCGCCTCTCCCCGGATTTGAACCTGCGACCTGTTTAACTTTTAACTGTTACCCTGTTTAACTTTTTGAACTGAAGTAAAGATACTGTTACTTGTTCCACAAGCCCGAGTGACACTTTATTATACTGCAGGGTATATCTTGGTTCAGAAATTGTGGTAAAGTTTCTGTTTATTTACATTTACCAATCCCCACAAAGTGGTCCCTGATTTTAAAAAAAAGTGTTGGGAACCACTGCCATAGAGTCATATTAGAGGTCCTAGAAAATTCTCTTTAGAAATTTGACAGTGTAACTCTGTTGTCACTTCTAGCAGAAGCACATCATGAAATTGCCTGGAGGACTTTTAAAAATCCAAGACAGGAAATATTTGTTGGATGCAGGTAGGTGAAATTGTGGATTCTGGTCTCACAGGTATGCAGGTATTACTGAATTGTGTGAGCAAAGCGAAAGAGTTGCATTTAAGAAAATGCTAGTATTGTCACTTCTAAAAACATGGGAAAAGTTTATTAAACGGCAAAAACTTTGTTGTTGTGGGACATCCTGCAGCATATCTTGCTATAGTTTTTCAATGAATATCTCACAGAGCCTCAACTAATTCAACATACTTTGTGGCAGCCACAAAAGCAAAGTTTCTAGAGTATAGCAACTACTTTCAAAGTAATTACCGCACAATTAAACTGAGTATACTATACACAGCATTGACAGTACCTGCAAATAGGCTGGAAAGGTTTCTTCAAGCTTGTTTTTCTTTTTTCGATAGCGTTTTTTATTTTTTTCTACGTTTTCAGAAACAGGAGTGGTTTCATCAACTGGTGTGTCTGGTAGCTGTTCACCCCAACCTAGAAATACCAAACATGCATAACTACATTACCATCCTATCCTACTCGAATCCACACATGAGGTACAATTCTAGTTTGTGGGGCCTATTGTTAAATTTTCTGATCAGCACCTCTTCCTTTTCTCAGGAAGATTGTGATTGTTAAGAGGAAATAAAATTACAGAAATTGAGCAATTTCATAGAATCATAGAATCAAAGAGTTGGAAGAGACCTCATGGGTCATCCAGTCCAACCCCCTGCCAAGAAGCAGGAATATTGCATTCAAATCACCCCTGACAGATGGCCATCCAGCCTCTGTTTAAAAGCTTCCAAAGAAAGAGCCTCCACCACACTCTGGGGCAGAGAGTTCCACTGCTGAACGACTCTCACAGTCAGGAAGTTCTTCCTCATGTTCAGATGGAATCTCCTCTCTTGTAGTTTGAAGTCATTGTTCCACATCCTTGTCACCAAGGAAGCAGAAAACAAGCTTGCTCCCTCTTCCCTGTGGCTTCCTCTCACATATTTATACATGGCTATCATATCTCCTCTCAGCCTTCTCTTCTTCAGGCTAAACATGCCCAGCTCCTTAAGCCGCTCCTCATAGGGTTTGTTCTCCAGACCCTTGATCATTTTAATCGCCCTCCTAAAATTTAGTATATGATGCATTTTTTACAAAATTAAATCTACAGATATGCATATGAAATGAAAACAGAACTAAAGGGTTTTTAAAAGATTATATACCCAAATCAGTATGAATCTACCCCACCCTTCACATTCATGCAATATTTGGGGTTTATTTGCCCCAAACAGAATGAAAAACTATATAAACCCACATGCACATGGACATGAATCACTCTTATCCAGAAATCTGAAATACTCTAAAAACCAAAACTATTTGCTCCCACCTGCCTACTTCTGTCTTTGAGGAAAGGGGGCTGGTCACACATCTAAGGGGTCCTTACTAGGAAAAGAGAACAGCAGGAAGGGGAAGGACTTTGTTTACAAAAGGCCACTGCAAAAAAGCAGATGGCTCAGATGCATTTGTGCTCACTTTCAGACCTGCCAATGGCAGTAGTCGATAGCACAGGACATGGAGAATTTGGAGAGATCTCATTTGCTGAAACCTGTATCCACCCCAGAAGAACGAAAAAGATCCACAGGGGGCTGGGATTTCGTTAAAAGCATGGAAAGTGTGATAACAGGGTAGTGTCTGAGACAAGCTTGGGCAAACTTGGGCCCTCCAGGTGTTTTGGACTTCAACTCCCACAATTCCTAACAGCTGGTAGGTTGCTATGAATTGTGGGAGCTGAAGTCCAAAACTCCTAGAGGGCCTAAGTTTGCCCATGCTTGGTCTGGGATATCCACTTTTTGCATGGGTCTTATGTACATGGATTAGCACCCATCCCCTCTTTTCCCTTTGGGTTTTTGGAAGTGATAGATCATGGGCTCCTTCAGGGAGGGACTCAGCAATCATAAAGGTCGAAGAAGTCACAAGGACCATCCAGTCCAATACCCTGCCATGAAGCAACATACAACTGAAGCACTCCTGAAAGATGACACCCAAGTCTGCTACTGAGCCCAATTCAAAGTGCTGCATTTAGCTTATAAAGCCCTAAATGGTTCCGGCCCAGTTTAGTTGACTGAAAGTATCTCTCTCTATGAGCTGGCAAGGAGATTAAGATCATTTGGGGAGGCCCTGCTCTCGATCCCACCTCCTTCACAGGTGTGGTTGGCGGGGATGAGAGACAGTGCCTTCTCAGTGGTGGCCCCTCAGCTATGGAACTCCCTCCAGAGTGAAATTAGATCAGTCTCCTCCCTCCTGACCTTTAGGAAAAGGTTAAAAATGTGGGTGTTCAACCAAACATTCAATGAGTAATCTAGCAGTGCAATAAGAAAAAATAAAATAGTGCAACAACAAATTGGAACAGCCACAGACTACAATATTGGATTGCATAATTGGTTTCATGGCTTTATTATGTTTTAATGATTGCTTTAATGCTTATGTTTTTATTATGTGTGGTTTTTTGGCATTTAACTGTTGCCTATATATGTAGGCTGTGTCTTGAGTCCCCTACGGGGTTGAGAAGGGTGGGGTATAAATACAGTAAATAAATAAATAATAATACATAAATAAAAACCTATGGAGAAGGAGGCTCCACCACACTCTGAGACAGAATATCCCACAGTCTCTCATCTTCTACTAGCCCCCTTATCCACTATGTATTATATACATACAGGTATTCTAAAATCTCCCCCAAACTGAATTCTGAAAAACCTCTAGTGCCAAATATTTTAGTGAATTAAACTCCTTTTAGAGACACTTTTAAAAAAATGTATGAGGTCCTTGTGATAAAAAATGTACCTTTAAACAAGTTAAGATGCATTAGAATAGGACACTAATGATAAAATACTTAAAACAGACAACCAGGTATGAGGAAAAAACAACAGAAAAAGAATGCACAAAACACTCATATGAACTTTAGATAAGTATGGAAGCTAGATAGCTATGAAATATTTTCCAAACTGGTTCACGAGATTTTGTAACTAAAACAGAAATTACTCGTTATGGACTCGTTACAGTGGTTCTCAACCTGTGGGTCCCCAGGTGTTTTGGCCTACAACTCCCAGAAATCCCAGCCAGTTTACCAGCTGTTAGGATTTCTGGGAGTTGAAGGCCAAAACATCTGGAGACCCACAGGTTGAGAACCACTGGACTAAGAGCAATTTTGAAAATACAAATGTGGACAAAAACAGTGTTTAGTTCAGTGGTTATCAACTGGGCCCACAGGTGTTTTCGCCTACATCTTCCAAAAAACCCAGCCAGGTTACCAGCTGTTAGGATTTCTGGGAGTTGGAGGCCAAAACATCTGGGGACCCACAGGTTGAGAACCACCGGCTTAGTTCAGTAAAATGATATTATAATGCATTTTAATATAATGGTCCAATATAGTACTCCTACATTGAAGATTTGTGGTAATTTCAAATATGGGAGTAACTTGCATTTGATCAAGCAACTGATGCTCTTAATTACTTTCATCTTACTTTCATCTTTGCTAGGTATCTGCTCAGATATGGAGCCAGAAGAATCTTTCCGAGAGAGAGTTCGTTTTGCTTTGCCTTGTCCTGTGCGACTCCGCTGCCGTACCATGAATCCACCAATGCCTGTCAAAAGCACATGCAAAAACACACAGCATAGTTTAAAGTACTTGGATTGGGAGAGAACATACCTTGATTGCACATTTCGCAGAAATATTATCATTTACATATTAAACACCGACTGAAGGCCATTTAATATAGGATATAAGAGGGTACACACAGTAGACTTGTGCAATTTAGCTGAACTTCAAGCCATTTCTGTTATCCAGATTGTGCACCCCCCGAAAATGGGAGGGTGCCCGAATGTGCATTTTTGGCCCGCAGACAGAAAATGCAGCTAGATCTGGCCCACTGACAGCAATGGGGGGCTCTCACAGGCTCCCCTTCACGTCATTTTCAGGGCTACCAGGGTGGAAAATGGCCACACTTAGAGGACACATCTACCACTGTTAGCCCACCAGGTTTTGAAACATTTGGGTCATCCCCTGATTTTTAGGAATTCTTTTTTTTTCTAGAAATAAAATATCCTTTAAAAAAAATCCCAAAAAGGTATCCTCCGCTGGCTCCGCCCTGTAACTTCTCCAGGAGGAGGAGCAGGGCACTATTGCTTCCTGCAAAATGTCAAAGATGCACTTCCACATCACACAGCCCACCCACTATGACATTTTATTTACTAATTTTAAAATAACAGCAACTTCTTCTAAATTTTCTGAATTTTGAATTTCTTGTTCTCATAACATACTGGAAGAGGCCAGCAGCTCACCATCCACAAGCAAGCAAGCAGCATGACCCCTTGTTAGAAAAACATCCTGTATGATCCGGAAATTATTATTGGTGGTAAGCTTAGATACGTAGGTATGTAGGTAGATAGTTTTTCTGAGAATGAGACTTTGCTGTTTGCTGGAATTCCTATAATTATTAATAACAATAATCTTCTAGAAGTAGTACTTCGATGAAAGAGAAGAGGGAGGAGAGATGAGAGAAGAAGCTAAAGGCTTTAGTAGAGGCTAAAGGGTGATTCAAAGCTCAGAGGCACCCTGAAAAAAAAGCACACCCACCCACAAGTCCCCAAACACTGTGTACCACACCCACACATTCGCACTTTCCAACTCTCAGTCTCGCTAAATAAAGAATCCAGAAAACAAAGGAAAATCAAAATCATCCTCTGTCTATCTGTCCATTTCTCTAAAATTCTTCCCATCTCTCCTCCCTTCCTTCTGTAATTATATCCATCCTTCCTTTCTTCCATCTATAATCCCCTCCCTTCTTCTATCTATTTTACCCATCTACCTATCATTCTCTTCCTCCATCTATCTATCTATCTATCTATCTATCTATCTATCTATCTATCTGTCTATCATCTATCATTTGCTCCATCCTCTCTCCATCCATCCATCCATCCATCCATCCATCCATCCATCTCATCCCTTTGCAATTCCCCCCTCTATCATTCCCTCTATCTATCTCATTCTCTCCATCCTTCTATATCTATCTGCCTATCCATCCTTCCAACTTATCCATCCATCCATCTATAATTCCCCCCTCTATCATTCCCTCTATCTATCTATCTATCTATCTATCTATCTATCTATCTATCTATCATAATTCTTTCCATCTCCTTCTCTCTCTCATTCCCTCCTTCGATTTTATCTACCATTCCCTCCATCCTTGTATCGCTCTATCATTCCATCTATATCTCTCTGTCTGTCTGTCTATCATTCCCTCCTTTTATCTTATCTATCTATCATTCCCTCCATCCCTACAATGCTAGAGAGAAGCCAAGCCAACTCAAAAGCTAAAGTTGAGAGCAGTGGTGGCAAGGCAATCGGACTAAAGCACCTCTCTCTAGAGCCAGGACGCCCCACAGCTTGCATAAGGCACTTCATGACTTTCTTCTATTCTGATTGCCCCAACAGGCAGGGAAACCCCATGTGAGCACATGGCAGCCTCTCCGCACACCGTGTGCTCTCGTATAGGGCAGAAGGAGCTGCGACCAGCAGCCATGTGGTCCAAATCTGCCATTGCCATTACGGGCGTCCGAAGAAGCCAAGGAAAAATCGCCAAAACAAATCTATATACAAGTCTAACACACTGTACACATTTGTTAGGCACATGATTCTTACCTCAAAATACACAAGATTGTTATGTGGCTCTTTATCATTGAAACAGTTGATAGCATATCGGCTCAGGCTTTTGTGAAATTTTTGCAGAAATTCCACTTTTAAAGGGATACAAGACTAGATGTAGAATGAAACCCCAAAGCACAGACTTTAGACAACTCTTCCAAAGAGAAAGCCTTTTACCTTTAGATGTTACCAAAATGTTATCTGTGACAAAGGCACTGGCATTCAGGTAACTTTGAGGGTTTCGGTTCATCTATGTTATGAGCCAAAAGCGGAGTAGAACAGTCCTTGTGAAAAGTTTCACAAATCTAACACAGCATCTTTTATAAAACACTAAAAACAACAATAGATTCTTGAGATTATGGATAAAGATTTTAAGGCTAGAAATCTAATTAATACAGTGGAAGAGTCTTGGCAAAGATGGGGGCTGCTGGTGAAGATTTGATGTCTGTTGCTGAGGCATCAAAGATCTTTCTGAGAGTTGATTCATCGCAACCTATTTAAGCTGCTGCAGAAGAAGCAAGCGCAGCCAAGGGAAGCGCACACTTCAGATACTGTCAAGAGGTCAGATAAGACAGCCTATTTGAGAGCTTGTTAGTTATATGGGCCTCCTAAGGGAATTTTCCTTTCAACCCAAACCTGTTCAAAGGAGGCTGGAAAGGGAATCTGCTGAAGAGATGAATTCAGGAAGGCATCACTTATCTTCACAAGAAAAGGACCTAAGGCTGTTCCGCTTTAGAAACCTGAAACTTTATGGTATCAATAACTTTGCTAAGTTACTTCTCAACTTATTCCAGTGGGAAACATCTATTTCATCTGTCTCACAATTTAATCATAAGAGATGGAAGTCTCTGAAGCAACGTAACATGTGGACCGAGATCCTGACCGTAGTATCTTTCCAAGGAATGCTTCTACCCCTCCCTCCAGATTCTCTTCCCTTTTTATTTTCTCTAGTCATTTCCCCCCTTTAAATAGGATTTTGTGTTTTGGCCTTTTAATACACCTCTGCATTGTAGCTTTCAGCCTAGACTATAATGATTTTAATATATATTGCTTTTATGGGACTGTACCCTCTTCTCCTTATGCTGGTCTATGATCGTAATAAAAGATTTATTTGTTTGTTCCAAGGAATGATACTTTCTATTTAAAGAAGAATATTCATGTTCACAACATTGGAGAATGAGAATGAGAAATACAGTACAGTCTTGCTTATCCAACATAACCGGGCCAGCAGAACGTCAGTGTTGGAGCTCAGCCTGTGATTGTGTTTCAGGATCAGGGTACGTTGGATGTGGGAGTGATGTCAATGAGTTTCAATCTGAGTTTCAAGATGGCAATGGTTTGGTCAGTGATATTGATGCAGAGAATGACCAGGAGATCCCTGTTCAAAGTGTAGTTTCTCATGAGAATATTCCTGAGGGGTGTGGGGATGATGGTGTGCTTTCTGAATTGTTACCAGAGAGTTCCCAAGATAGAGAACATGAAAACAGCTCGGCACCTGGCCCAGCTGCAGAAATTAATGAGCAAATAGATAGACAAGAGGAGATCAGTCAAAACAGGAGAGCCAAACAGTGGCTTTTGCGGTCTGTTAGGCTCCGAGAGAAAAAGATAAAACATTCTCAGCTAAAGCGAAATTTCTGAGTGCTAGAGACACAGCTAACAAGGAGATAAAAGTCCCAAGTACAGGATATGTAGTCAGATGAAGCATTATTTGGAATCAAGTCAAGATCTTGTCCTTGTTCATGGAAGCTTTGCTTGGAAAATTCATGTTTTAAGTGCCTTCGTTTCATAGTTTTGCTTCTTGGATTGTATGCTTCTATATTCATTCATTCATGCCTTTTTAAAAACGTTACTGCTTTTTAATTATCTTCAATAAAAGGATTGTTTTCCATCCAACAGTGTGGTGTTTAAAGTCAGAGGGCTTTTCCTGTCCTGGAGTACAACACTCAGATAAACAAAAATGTCAGATAATATGAAGTCTCCTACTGTTACCTATCCGACGCAGTGCTAGACACCTAGAATACTAAGAACGGGGACCCAAAGGGTTAAGGAAAGGCCCCTATCTGGCCATATAGAATTGTAGAATGGGGATGATGTTCCTGATGGTGGGTCTGGGTTTGTTGGCAATGGGGATGAGGGATGGCCTGGGCCTGAGTTAAGCTCAGATGAGAGGCCTGAACTGTTTCAGGAAGATCCACAAGGTCACATTCCTGGGAGAGGCCCTTCACAGTCTTTCTTAGAGCAACTGTCCAAAAATGATTTGTCAGGTGCAGAAGTTAATGAGAGTCAAGTTAATGAGAATACAGATGGAAAGCATGGCTTTTGTAAACAGACACAGAGTGCTCGGGCACAAAGAAGATCAGTTCGCTTACAGGAAAAGAGAGGTAAGAAACCTTTATCTGGTGGTAAGGTCAAGAGAAATACTTTCCTTTTGGTTTTAGGATCTGGAAAAGCCTTATATTGATTAATGGGAAAGAGTTGCCTCAGTTGGGTCAATGTTGAAATCTCACGATGGTCTTGCTTTCAAGTGTTCTTAGTTTCCTGTACCAAGTTTTTGCCAAGCTCCTGATTTGTGTATTGGATTTTTCATGCTGTTTTGTTTCATGGATTCTTGTGTCTGTTTCATGGATTTTTATATCTATGGATCTTGTTTTGCCTTGAAGCTCATGCACTAACTTTTGTTTGGAAACTTTACTGTTTTTGCTAATTTTACTGCTTTGCCTACTTATATTCTTCAACAAACTGCTTGCTGATTTTACAAAGCTGGTGTGAGGTTTAAGGTCAGACGCGGATGACAGGTATTTGCTTTAATAAAAATGAAAGTTACTTTGAGAGCATAATCAAAAGAGTTACTTTTACAAGATGCCTCCCAACATACTCCTCAAAATTATATGGATAAAGCTGGAATGGGCAAACTTTGGCCCCCGGAGATTTTGACTCCAACTCCCACAATTCCAAACACCTGGAGGGTCGAAGTTTGCTCATACCTGGGCTAAAGCATTTATTTGTAAGTAATATATTCAATTAAAACATCAGGCCAATATTTTAACAGGTTTAACCATCAAAATGAGAATTTCAGTTGAACATTGCTACTTAACAGCACAATATGAGCAGGTTTCCTGCTGTTTAAGTGACTTTGGAATGGACATGATAATGAGATAGTAAATTAAATCCTAACTCGATTAGAGGAAACTCTAGCACACTACACAGAGACTATTTCCAACACTATTTCACCCACCTAAGTGCGTAAGTTGAAAGATTTCTTACACACATTGTTATGAAGCAAGAGTATAATGAATATGCAAGTGTCTGAAGCATATACTCTACCAGGTCGGTATGGTTTTCTCTTCCTCTTTTTGATCCCCTCCGTTCCTTCCGTTCCCTTGGGATCCTCATCGACAGCTTCCCGCTCTGGGCTTGTGTCTGATTTTCCTTCACAGTCCATGAGCTCTCCTTCTGAACGATAATAAAAAAGAGAGTTACAAACTAAAATATACTGGATTTGTCATTGTACCTTTACATATTTGAATGGGAAACAAAAAAAATAAGCATAACACCATTATTTTAAAAACTCAACAGACAAAACAGACAGTAAAAATAAAATAATATTTATAACCAAGATAAAATTGAAGAACATCGCCTTTTCCTATAGCTTTAACATGAAGAGCCTGCTATTAAACACTAAGAAACAATATTCAGCCAATGGAGACACAGCTAGGGAAGCATGGCATTCAGGCATGGGCAAACTTCGGCCCTCCAGGTGTTTTGGACTCCAACTCCCACAAGTCGGGAGTTGAAGTCCAAAACACCTGGAGGGCCGAAGTTTGCCCATGCCTGCACTAGGTCTTCCAGTGTGATCCTATTATCAACTTCAGTGGAAATTCACCATAGAATCATGCTGGGAGTCCTAGCAAGATATTTTCAGTCACAGCACTGTTTCACTTTTGTGGTGGTCCTATGCCCCTACCCCCAGCAAATGTGGAGGAGTGACTGCACAAATCTAGCCACACAAAAAGGTTGGGCACCATTTATTTTCAGAAGTAACTAGATTATTGGGTCGCTGTGAGTTTTCCGGGCTGTCTGGCCATGTCCCAGAAGCATTCTCTTCTGACATTTCACCTACATCTATAGCAGACATCCTCAGAGGTTGTGAGGTTTGTTGGAAACTAAGGAAGTGAGGTTTAGATATCTGTGGAAGGTCCAGGGTGGGAGAAAGAACTCTTGTCTGCTTAAGGCAAGTGTGAATGTTGCAACTTTCCACCTTGATTAGCACTGAATAGCCTTGCAGTTTCAAAGCCTGGCTGCTTCCTACCTGGGGGAATTCTTTGTTGGGAAGTGTTGGGTCCTGAAGTTTGGCATGAATGTATTGTCGAAGGCTTTCATGGCCGGAATCACTGGGTTGTTGTAGGTTTTTTCAGCCTCTATGGCCATGGTCTAGAGGCATTCTCTCCTGACGTTTTGCCTACATCTATGGCAAGCATCCTCAGAGGTAGTAACTACCTCTGAGGATGCTTGCCATAGATGCAGGCGAAACATCAGGAGAGAATGCCTCTAGACCATGGCCATATAGCCCGAAAAAACCTGCAACAACCCTTTGGCATGAATGTTGCACTGGCCACCTTGATTAGCATTGAATAGCCTTTCAGCTTCAAGGACTGGCTGGTTCTTGCCTGGGGAAATCCTTTGTTGGGAGGTGTTAGCTGGCCCTGATTGTGTCATGTCAGGAATTCCCCTGGATTTCTGAGTGTTCCTCTTTATTTACTGTCCTGATTTTAGAGGGTTTTGTTTAATACTGGTAGCCAGATTGTGTTCATTTTCATGGTTTCCTCCTTTCTGTTGAAATTGTCCGCATGTTTGTGTATTTCAGTGGCTTCTCTGTGTAGTCAGACATGGTGGTTGTGACAGTGGTCCAGCATTTCTGTGTTCTCAAATAATATGTGACCAGGTTGGTGCATTAAGTCCTCTCAGGAAACCAGGAAACCTTCTGCTAGGTTGGAAGAAGCTGGGGCTAACAGCGGGAGCTCATCCCGCTTCCCAGATTTGAACCGCTGACCTTTCAGTCAGCAGCTTCAGCAGCTTAGTAGTTTAACCCTCTGCACCACCAGGGCCCCCCATTATTATTATTATTATTATTATTATTATTATTATTATTATTATTATTACTCCCCATTAAAAATTGAGAACTATGGCTATTAATGTATACTCAGTCCTGTAGTTGCATTACTTCTTCACCCTACCCATAGCTTTTCAATTTTAATTATTATTATTACCAACCATTAAAATTGGAAAGCTATCTTTAGGGTGAAGAAGTAATGCTACTACAGGACTGAGTGCGCATTAATAGTTGCATTTAACAACCCAATACGAGATTGCTTCCAGCAAGTAACAGTGGAACGAATGTGCAATTCTGTCAATAACAGAGTAGAAAAAGCTGGCAGGTCTAGGATTCAATTTCCCCTTGGCAGAATCCATCATGGGCCACATCACCAGCCGAACTGAAAAGAAGCCAGAAAATTATATTTCCTGAAGACTTCAAGAAGCATAATTTATGCTCCTTTTGTGGGAGGAAATGGGCTGGTAGTAATGCTTTGGAGAGGTATAAAATTGGGCAGGGGCTGCATGAAGCCTATCAGCAACATGTTAACTATATTAGGCATATAATGTGCTTTTTTATGGCATTTTGTTCTGATTACTAGCTCGGAATATAATGTGAACAAAAAGAAACCATGACAAAATCTATTCTTCTTATTCAACCCATTATTTATGGTGAGACAAGGCTTCATATATGTATTTGTCATAAGATTCCACAATAAGTTATTAGTATCTGAAGTGTGATAAACTCCAGAAATTTATACATAGACTTTTCAAACTTTGCAAAGTATTCAAATAATGTAAAATGACTTGAATACAGAGGCACAGTGGGTTAAACCCTTGTAAAGGTAAAGGTAAAGGTAGTCCCCTGACATTAAGTGCAGTCATGTCTGACTCTTGGGTGTGGTGCTCATCTCCATTTCTAAGCCGAAGAGCCAGCGTTGTCCGTAGACACCTCCAAGGTCATGTGGCCGGCATGACTGCATGGAGCGCCGTTACCTTCCCGCCGGAGCGGTACCTACTCACATTTGCATGTTTTCGAACTGCTAGGTTGGCAGAAGCTAGGGCTGACAGCGGAAGCTCACGCCGCTCCCCGGAATCGAACCTGCGACCTTTCGATCAACAAGCTCAGCAGCTCAGTGCTTTAACCCACTGCGCCACCGGGGGCTCCTTGTACCCTTGTACCCTTGACCAAAAGGTCGGCAGTTCAAACACGGAGAGCAGGGTAAGCTCCAGTTTGTCAGCTCCAGCTTCTCATGTGGTGGCATGAGAGAAGCCTGCCACAAGATAGTAAAACATCTGGGCCTCCCCTGGGCAACATCTTTGCAGACGGCCAATTATATCACAGCAGAAGCGACTTTTAGTTTCTCAAGTCGCTCCTGACATAAAAAAAGGAAAATGTATTTGCTCATCTGAGTTGTGTTCGTGGTGAACGGACTGAAATCTTTCGATGTAAAATTGATCCACAGTATTTCATGTTATTATGGCACTGCGAGAGAGGAATATTGTTCATTATGTTAGCTATCACAAGTCCCTATCATCAGATAAGTCACAATCATTTCATTTTTGCAGAACTGATAAGACAACAATTTGCTCGTGGTAATGTCATGACTCAGAATCTTCGCCTGAACTGGAAAGCAACAGAATTGGTGGCTTTCCTATTTGATGTTATCAGAAAGCCCAGCTCATTTCTATTTTGTCCGCATGGCACGCCTCGTATCATGACTCTTACTTTCCATCTTATCTGCAATAGATAGCTGGCAAATGCAGAACAGGCTGTTTATAGGAGTTGTTGTCTTCTATTGGCATGGAAAATAGAGCAATCTGGCCTTGCAAATGTGAGCTCTTAGATAGTCAAGGAAAACATTTTGTCATTCATATACTCCAGAGAATCCCAAGTTCTTATGAAATACTAGCCGTCCCCTGCCACGTGTTGCTGTGGCCCACATGGGGGTTCTGTGTGGGAGGTTTGGCCCAATTCTATCGTTGGTGGGATTCAGAATGCTCTGTGATTGTAGGTGAACTATAAATCCCAGCAACTACAACTCCCAAATGTCAAGATTCTATTTTCCCCAAACTCCACCAGTGTTCACATTTGGGCATACTGAGTATTTGCATAGAGTTTGGTCCAGATCCATCATTGTTTGAGTCCACAGTAATCTCTGGATGTAGGTGAACTACAACTCCAAAACCAAAGGACACTGCCCACCAAAACCCTTCCAGTATTTTCTGCTGGTCATGGGAAAACTGTGTGCCAAGTCCATCGTTGGTGGGGTTCACAATGCTCTTTGATTGTAGGTTAACTATAAATCCCAGCAACTACAACTTCCAAATGACAAAATTAATTTTTGTTTAGTGAAGGACATACATTGGGTTGTTAGGTATTTGGTGTCAATTTGTCCAGTGGTTTTTGAGTTCTGTTAATCCCACAAACAAACATTACATTTTTATTTATATAGATTCCAGGAGCCTCTGGTGGCACAATGGGTTAAACCTTTGTGCCAGCGGGACTGCTGACCAAAAGGTCAGCGGTTTGATTCCAGGGAGTGGGGTGAGCTCCTGTCTGTCAGCTCCAGCTTCTCAAATGGGGACATGAGAGGTGCCTCTCACAGGATGGTAAAACATTCGGGCATCCCCTGGGCAACGTCCTTGCAGACGGCCAATTCTCTCATACCAGAAGCGACTCAAGACGCTCCTGATACGAAAAAAATTAGACTATTCAAAAATCACCAAAACATATTGATTAGTCTTGTGAACTCTGTCTAGGTCTTTTATATACCTGCAGATTCTTCTGCTCAATTACCACTCTGCTTTTCGTTTATTACTGAGCTTGACTACTGAACTGTGCTTGAAATGTAAAAGTCCTTCCTCATATTCATGATACCTTCATCTCTCTCTCTCTCTCGTTCTGCTTGAATAGTTTGATATCAATCTCGTAGAGCTGGCTTAGAAACTAGTAGGCATTGCTAAATTGCAAGAGGGAAAGAATGCTTTTGTTTTTGGCTAGGCAGAGGACTGACCTCTTAGGGTACCTGAAGGGAATAAAAGTGATTAGGTTGGCATGCTTCCAGGAAAAGAAGATTGTTTTGACAAAAAGAAAAGAGCAAAATTTTGGGTGAATTACTAAAAGGCTGTCACAAGGCAGCCAAAGCATGTGTGGAAGGAATAGAGAGCGGCAGACAGCTGATCACAAACAAATATTTGTACTCCAAAAAAAGCTTATTCCAGAAATGTGGACAAGTAGTTGTGGTGGGTTGTGGTGCAGCTGCAATAAAATCACTACTGACCGAGAGGTCATGAGTTCGAAGCCAGCCTGGGGCGGAGTGAGCTTTGGGCCATTTGTCTAGCTTGCTGTTGACCTTTGCAGCCTGAAAGACAGTTGCATCTGTCGAGTAGGAAATTTAGTTACCGCTTTATGCAGGGAGGCTAATTTAAATAATTTACGATACCATAAAAACTCTCCAGCAGCATGCAAAAGAATGAGGAAGTACTCCATCGGTATCACAAGTGGATAGTGAAGCGACAGCTCCCCCAGTGGTCGGAATTTTAAAAAGCATACCCTCATGAAGCTGGAAAGTTAAATAGCCTCCGTGTCTCTGTCTATATATGCTATGTGTCTATGACATTGAATGTTTGCCATGTATACGTGCATTGTGATCCACCCTGAGTTCCCTGAGGGGTGAGAAGGGCAGAATATAAATACTGTGAATAAATAAATATGTTAGCAGCCTCCCCAGTAGTATCAGAACTGGGATGATGATGATGATGATGATGATGATGATGATGATGATGATGATGGAGCCCCTGGTGGTGCAATGGGGTTAAACCCTTGTGCCACAGGACGGATGACCAACAGGTCAGAGGTTTGAATCTGGAGAGAGCGCAGATGAGCTCCCTTTGCCAGCTCCAGCTTCCCATGAGGGAAAATGCTGAGTTCGAAGTTGAGATAAAGCTTTCCTGGGAGTCAGGCAAACCCTTGTGCTGACACCTTTCACCTGGAAACCTATGTCATTATGAGAGAATGAGAGAAGCCTCCCACAAGGATGGTAAAATATCAAACATCCTGGCGTCCCCTGAGCAACGTCCTTGCAGACGGCCAATTCTCTCACACCAGAAGCAACTTGCAGTTTCTCAAATCACTAATAATAATAATAATAAGCTTGAGATGGAGAATGACCCAGGAATGGCCAAGACGATGAAAGGTATGAGGATTGGAATAAGAGGATATAGCTCTTTTTAAATTGTTATTGCACTGTCTTTTTTGTCTAAATGCATTTAATTGTTTTTTTGCTGTTGTATTGTATTGACGGCATCGAATTGTGCCGATGTAGACCACCCTGAGTCGCCTGCAGGCTGATATGGGCGGGATATAAGTGATGTAAATAAATAAATAAATAATATACTTTATTTATATTCTGCTTTACCTCCCCATGGGAACTCAGGGCGGATTACAGAACACATATAAGGCAAACATTCAACGCCGTTATACAAGGACAGACAATACATAACCAGGGGTCCCTTTATTTATTTATTTACAGCATTTTTACCCCCAACCCTTGGGTGGGGACTCAGAGCGGAGTATAAATTCTGTAAATAATAAATAAATAAATAAAGAATCGTTGTCTGGCTGATTTGACACTTTAGGCTTTGAAGACAGGAGATACAGTAATAGGTCACTCCCATTTTGAATTCCATTTCCATTTCATACGAGCTGAGCAATGACATTTCCAACAGCAACAAAACCTTCTGGAACCAAGGACCATCTATAGACGAATGGAAAAATAATAGAACACACACACAGAATAAGAATTACCTCTACTGTCATCCATCTCCCCATCCCTTGAGTGTTCTGACTGGGCGTCAGGTGGTGTTTGGAGCACAGCCACACTATTCTGGTTTATAATCTTCAATTTGAGCTTTGGCTTGGTCCGTTTTCTTCTTTGTACCACTGCACTAAGACTCTGTAACTGAGACATCCCTGTTTCTGTCAAACAGACTCCATCCTGAGTGTATGTCTTCGGTGGGTCTATGAAATTTGCATGAACCATAAGACGAATACAGAGCTTTAATAACTTTGCTTATTGAATATGAAGTAGTTTTTTTTTGTTATTGTTGGTTTTGTATCCCTGTCTACTAAAAACCATAGCGAGGGGGCCAAACAAGGCCTACAATTAATCTGTCCCCCACTGCCCACCCCATAATTCTGAACATAGTTTGTGACTCACTTAAATAACTACTTTAACATAGAAGCTGATGAGTTTTTTTATTCATATCTATTACTATAGCCATATTTATTCAGCAAATAAGTTGTTGAAAGAGAAAATTTCAAATAAAGTAAGCGATGGTGAGAAATAACAAAATTGTAAGAGCTTTGAGATGTGTAGCCATAGTTTTGGAAATGGCACCAAAACAGCTAAAACCATGATAAAAGTGAAGGAATCAAGAATTTCAAAAATTACCAAGTTCCTTTGCTTTTGTTAAAATTTGGGCTGCAGCTGATGACTCACAGCATTCTGTGGAAGGCACTAAAAACAAAAGGAAAAGGAGATTTATTGTTGTTTTAAATTAGTTCGATTACAATATTTCATATCATTCTCTAAAACTTTATTTTTCAGTGTTTATTTTTCATTAATATTTTGCTTCTATTCAACTGTTCCATTAGTGCAGTAGAAACAGAACTGTGTTTCTTATTTGTAAACCTTTCAGTTTTAGCACCGACTACAGTTTGAGGTGACATATATTTATCTTTCTGTGCATTCGTCCAAGAAAAACAGTGGAAAGCCCAATATAAAATTCTGCACAATGAAACAGGTTTAGTAAGCAAGTGTATAGATCAGATATACCCAGGCCCGGGGGCTGGATGCAGCCCCTTTGGGCTCTTTTCTCAGGCCTTCCTCTCTCTCACAATCCTATCCTTCTTTGCTTCCTCTCTTTCCTTCCCTCCCTTCCCTCCCTYYTTCTCTCTCCCTCCCTCCTTTTCCTTCCCTTCCACCCTTTCATCCCTCCTTCCCTCTTTCCTTCCTCCTTCCCTCCCTCACCTCCCTCTTTCTCTCTCCCTCCCTCCTTCCTTCCCTTCCACCCTTTCATCCTTCCTTCCTTCCCTCTTTCCTTCCTCCTTCCCTCCCTTACCTCCCTCTTTCTCTCTCTTCTCTCTCCCTCCCTCCTTCTTTCCCTTCCACCCTTTCATCCTTCCTTCCCTCTTTCCTCTTCTTCCCCTCTCTAATTATCCTCACTCCCTCCCTCCCTCCCTCCCATCCATCCATCCAYCCTTTCGTCTTTCCTTCCTTCTCTCTTTCCTCCCTCCCTCCCTCCTTTCATTCCCTCCCTCAATTCCCTTCCACCCTTCCTTCCATTCTTCTCTTCCACCCTCYCTCTCTCCCTCYCTCCCTCYCTCCCTCTCTCCCTYCCTCCCTCCCTTCTCTTCCTTCTTTCTCTTTTTCCTTCCTTCTTTCCTCCTGAAGTATGCTTAGCTGGGAGAAGAGAAGGTAGAGAGGGAACATGAGAACCATGTTTCAAGATTTCAAAAAGTGTCCCATTGAGGTTGAGGAGGGGGGAAAACTGACTTTTTGCTGGTCTAGAGACCAGGGCACAAGGGAGCAATGGGATCAAATGGCAGGGAAAGAGATTTGACTGAAAAGATTGGGAAGAACTTCCTGTGAGCAAGAGCTGTTGGAGAGTGGCATTGGCTGCCTGGGAGTGTGGTGGGATCTCCTTGTCTGGAGGCTTTTCCACAGAGGCTTTCTATCAGGAGTGCTTTGATTGTGCCTCCTTGCATGGCAGGGGGTTGGACTGGATGGTCCTTGGGGGTCTCTTCCAGCGCTAGGATTCTAGATCAAGAGTAGGCAGTATGGGGTCTAATACATATATTTTTTCCTCTCCCATCCACCAACTCATCCTGACTCACCTTTTTCTGCCTCCAAAAGAGAAGAAGAAGGGGATGAAAGGGCAGGGAAGGGACTTGGAAAGAAACCCCTTCCTCCTGGTTCGACCCACCTTGCTCTGGCCTACCATGCGGCCCCCAAGTTAGAAAGTTTTTCCATGCCTGGTATAGATTTTTACAGCAATAGTGAGTGTCACCATCACTTCTCTAGTTATTCAAGTGATGAAAATGCTAAAAGACTTGACTTTTAGCTAAATCCTTAAGTAGGGATTTGAATATGAATCTTTCCAGAGCTGGACCTGTGTCAGTATATCTTCAAAATAAAGTGGAAAATGCTTCTTAGTTATATAAATTGTGACAGGGAGGGAAAGGTCTTAGAGGTTGCTTTTGGTACCAACACCACCATAAACATATTTACTTTTCTGGCACTAAGGGCTTTAGTATGATGCCATACATTATAGAAAGAAATTTAGACATGCTTCTTTAATGAACTGTTTTATTTACCATTAGCCATCCCCTGCCATGCATTGCTGTGGCCCAGTCTGTGTATATGTGTTGTGTGTGTATATATATATGTGTATATATATGTGATTTGCGCATGCATTGTAATGTTATATATATACCTTTTTAAGTCTCTTCCACTGTCTTTTTCAGTGTTTTATGAGTGATGGTCACTTGCTGGCCTGATAGGTGTATTGTGTCCAAATTTGGTGTCCATTGGTGCAGTGGTTTTTGAATTATGTTAATCCCACAAACTAACATTACATTTTAATATATATTAATTATTCTACCATGCTAAAACCCAAAAGAAAATTAGAACTTTCTTCCAAGTACTGTCTTCGCAATTGATTGAGCATCTGACACCATGAGAACCAGCATGCTGTAGCAGTTTGAACATTGGATTTATGATTCTAGAAACCAGGGTTCAAATCCCTGTTCAGCCATGTAAACTGCTGGGTGACCTTGAAAAAGTCACACTCTTTCAGCCTCAGAGAATGGAAAAGGCTAATCACATGATAAGAAAAACACTTATGGCCAGAGAGAAAGAAAGACAGGCAAACAGACATTGCAAAACTAACTGCAATACTCCTAGATATACCATTAAGAAATTACCATTTGCTGGTAGTACATATGGCCTACACATGGTACAGTCAAAACCATTGTCAGCTGTGCTTTCAACTTCCTCCTCTGTGTTTAAGTTTTGGCAGACTGTGTGCATCCATCTGGAAGTTAAATGGAAGAGGGAAGAAAGAGTTAGCTCGAAGACATACAATTTAATACCACAATAGCATTCAGACTCTGAGACTGCAAACAAACAGCTACACAGAATGGGTCTAGTGCCTTAAGAGCTGCTCTAAAGTGGCCATGGTACAATGCTCCAAAATTAGCTGATCGCTAATATTCTCTCCTCAGCAAGATACTTCAGCAAGTGGTTGCTATATTGCTCCAGGCACTCTTGAATGAGATGGAATTTCAAGATTCATTTCAGTTGAGTGTCATCGCTGATTTCTGTCACCAAGATTGCTTTGACTGTATTAACAGATAACAAGCGTCAATAGTGGAAATGCTAGATCGGTGATGGGTTGTGGGAACAGAAAGGACGACAGCCAGTAAACTGAAGTTCAGTTCCTATGAGATGGGATTGGATTAGGCTGATAATTCTTCTGTGTAGAGGAGCAACGTTCACTCCATGCTATAAAAAGCTATGCCACAGGTTTATAGCTTGAGGGTATTCCCAGGTCCATTATCACTATTCGAGTACGAAGTGTCTTTTTCCAGCCCAGACTAGTATGGTACCTGAAACACTACTTTAATAGAAAGTGCTGCCAATAATTACCATGACACAAAAAAATCTTGTAACACCTTTGAGACTCAGAGAAGGAAGTTGGTATCATAAGGTTTCATAAATTTAAGGCTACTTTATCAGATGCATGGAGTGCCTAGGAAATGCAAGACTTGTGGGTAGGGTGATGAGGTTCAGCACCATACAGCTACACAGTGGACATATAATCATCACTCTATCATAATCCCAACCCAAGTAGTATACCACCAAATCCTTGCTTCTTGGTAGCAAGGATTTGGTAGGGGGTTGGACTAGATGGCCCACAAGGTCTCTTCCAACTCTATTTTATGATTCTATAAATTCATAGGAAATGCAAGACTTGTGGGTAGGGTCGATGAGGTTCACCACCACACAGCTACACAGTGGACATGTAAACATCACTCTCAAGCTATGATTCTACAAATTCATAGGAAATGCAAGACTTGTGGGTACGGTGATAAGGTTTACTACCATACAGCTACACAGTGGACATGTAAACACCAAATCGATGAAGGGACATGTCTATTATGGCTATCATAATCCCACCCCGAGTAGTATACCACCAAATCGATGAAGGGACATGTCTATCATGGCTATCATGTCTCCTCTTCTGCAGGCTAAACATGCCCAGCTCTTTAAACCACTCCTCATAGGGCTTGTTCTCCATTTTAGTCGCCCTCCTCTGAACACATCCCAGCTTGTCAACATCTCCCTTAAATTGTGGTGCCCAGAATTGGACACAGTGTGATTCCAGGTGTGGTCCGAAGTAGTCTTTGTGGTCTGAAGTAGACATCTTTCTCTGTTAGTCTCTAAGGTTCTACATGATCCCTCTGTATACTGCTCCAATTAACATATTTTGATATAAAATTTTTGCTCTTCTACGAAAAATTATTTGCATCAAAGCCCTCTCAACCACACTATTTTATAAGAATGGGAAACCCCTGATCAGGAACAGGTAAAATTCATTTAGTTGTAGACTAGTAAACCAGCAGCAGTCCCACACTACAATATGAACACACAGCCGAGATATGGAAAAAAATCACAATGTAGCAGAACCAGACCTGTCACACTGTCTACACTGTATAATAAGGTCTTCTTCTCTATAGTTGCAACAGCAGATCGGGCAGGTAGATAAGCTTGCACAAGGAGCGCACTGTGTGTAATTATTTTGCCATTCACATCTCAGACCAGGAGAAGTAGCGCCACAGTGTCTGCACCAAACGCACCTACAAAATACAAAATGAGAGTGAGATTTTAGTCTTTATTTACTAACAGAACTTCTTTACTGCATGAAAAAAACAAAACCTCTTTAACAGTACAATTAAGAGTTATCACAAAAACAATAATTAAAATAATGTGAACTGATATTGAACTTACAGGAAAGGGCAACCATAACGGAAGGATTTGAAAAGAACTTCAAACTACAAACACAAAATGCTTGAAAACACAGGGGTGTTTATCTGCTGCCCAAAATATTGTAAAGTATTCCCTTGCTGTTTCACGGTTCGCTTTACGTGAACTCACTGTTTTGCAGGTTTTTAAAAAAATATGTCTGCCTACATCATGGTCCATGGTGCCCAGCTGGTCTCCAACGAACCAGCTGGTCTCCAAAGAGGTGAGTGTGCCAGAGGACAGAAGTCCAAAGACACTGGAGGTGGAGAGGACAGGGTTGGAAGGGTGAGGGCCCGCTCACCTCTTTGGGGACCAGATGGTTCTCCTCGCAGGGCACCATGGCCCCTGGCACAGGCAGGCCAGGAGGTTGAGGCGGAGGGAGGGAGAGCTCCTGGAGTTTTCATCAGCAGGAAGCTTTGGCCGGGCAGGCATGCTCTTTCTCTTCCTCCCTCCTGGCCTCGAAGCCCACCAAAGGCAATGGAGCTTAGGAAGGAGGAAGAGGAGGGGAAAGAGGAGAAGTGGAGGGGGAGCCAGGCATCCCTACATCATGGGGCTGTCCTTTCCTCAGTAGCCACACCTCGAAGCCCACCAAAGGCGATGGAGATTAGGAAGGAGGAAGAAGAAGGGGAGAGGAGGAGTGGAGGGGGAGCCAGGCATCCCTACATCACAGGCCTGGTCTTTCCTCAGCGGCCTCACCTTGAAGCCCACCAAAGGTGATGGAGATTTAGGAAGGAGGAAGCGGAACCGAAAGAGGAAGAGGAGTGTAGAGGGAGCCAGGCCTTTCTACATCGAGGATTTTCACTTATCGCGGGTGTTCCTGGAACGTAACACCCGCAATAAGTGAGGGAACACTGTAGTATACCAAGGAGCACCTCTGAAGAGGCCATTTCACGCAATGATGCCACAACTGCAAAATGTTCTCCTCCACACTGCTATCACCATGCTGCTAAATGCAGAAGTAAAAGATGCCCATGCCAGCCACAGTACAAATCCAGCCCGCCACATCATTTTATGCGACAAGCATGTTTCCAATGCCAGGGCCACATACCATGTTTCCCTGAAAATAAGACACTGTCTTATTTTTTTTCCAAGAAGACACACTATGGCTTATTTTCAGGGGATGGCTTACTTTTATTAAGTATGGTACAATAGTCTGCATTTATTTAAATATACTGCTGAGTAAAATGGCAGCCACAGTTTTACTTCTCCCCCCTGAGGACACACAACACCTAAAGCAGAGCGTCCTGCTCCTCACTTCACTGAGGAGACTTCCCAAGGGACGGACTGAAGGGAAGCAGCCTTGTTGGAGCCAGTGACTCACTCCATCTCTCGCTCACTCAAAGAGGAAGCCTTGCCTGGTCCGAAGGGAAGAAAGAACAAAAGGAGAAGGAGAAGGAGAAAAAGGAGGTGGAAATGGAGGAGGAGGATGAGAAGGAGGCAGGAAATGAGAGGAAGGGAGGGCTGGACTCACCTCTGCCACTGCTGTGGGAAGTTCTTGCTTTTCACTTTCTCTCCCTCTATGCCTCAGCTTGTATCACTATGTCTTATTTTCAGGGTATGGCTTATATTGTGCAAATGCTTAGAAATCCTGCTACGGCTTATTTTATGGGTATGTCTTATTTTTGGGGAAACACGGTAGTGACATTTATACAATTTTACAATTACAACCAGTCCTTTGAAAGCAACCATAGGTCTGGCATGGCCCTTGGTTTGACATCCAGGTCTTATCGTAGGTTTTTGGGACTGTATAGTGGATTGATTGGATTGTGACTGTATATCCATGTTCCAGAAGCATTCTCTCCTGACATTTCCCTGCAGTCAGGGAAGCTGATGAGGAAACGCAGACTATAAACTATTTACAGACCTACTAAGAAAATCCAACAAATGCTACATTCAGCAAAGGACAAGATGGATCCTCTCACCTCTGCAGGAGTCTACCATATACCATGTAGCTGTGGACAAGTCTACATAGGGACCACCAAATGCAGCATTGCCCAAACACAAATCAAGGAACATGAAAAGGCACTGCAGACGACTTCAACCAGAGAAGTCAGTCATAGCAGAGCACCTGATGAACCAACCTGGACACAGCATATTCTTTGAGAACACAGAAATGCTGGACCACTCTAACAACTACCATGTCAGACTACACAGACAAGCCATTGAAATCCCCAAGCATGTGGACAATTTCAATACAAATGAGGAAACCATGAAAATGAACAAAATCTCGCTACCAGTATTTTTTAAAAAACAACTCTAAAATTATAACAGTAAACAGAGAACAACACTCAAACACAGGGGAACTCCAGACAAGAAACAATCAAGGGCAGCTAATCACCTCTCAACAAAGGATTCCCTTAGGCAGTAACAAGTTACACCTAAAACTATCAGGCCATCCAATGCTAATGAAGGTAACCAATTGAAACATTCACATCTAGCTCCAACAGACAAGAGTTCTTTCTCCCACCCTGGACTTTCCAAAGATATATAAACCCCATTTCCCTAGTTTCCAACAAACCTCACAACCTCTGAGGATGTCTGCCATAGATGCAGGTGAAACGTCAGGAGAGAATACTTCTAGAACATGGCCATACAGCCCACAAAACCTACAACAACCCAGTGATTCCGGTAATGAAAACCTTCAACAATACATCTCTGGATTAGACCATACCAGGAGAACCTAAAAGGAACATCAAACTTTTCTGCTCTTTCTGTCACAAAAGGCAGAACCAATTAGCTGTGTCCATTCCCATTTTCCCAGCAGGGTTACATTAATTTGTGGATAAGTCAATCCAGGTTCTTTGGGTTGATTTCTTGCCAAAGGTTTCTGAAATATTATACACGAATATATACAGTACACACATAAATGTTTAAAACACTGACAGGCATAGAAATAACATTGAATATCACATAGATTAAGCTCAAACACACCATTTGCACTTCCAACCTCCCTTGGGAACTGTTTGCAGCGGTGGATCCAGGCAGTATGTGTGATAGCTGATATCACAGTCATCACAAAGGAGTAGCCTTCCTGGATCTGTAGCCTTCCCGCAGGCTTCGCACACAGTGCACTCCAGGCATCTCCAACCCTTGTGGAGCACCACTTTTGTAATCTGCATGGTGAAAGACAGCAGGAAAATATTCATAGAAACACTGGATAAATCCCTATTGTTTCATAGGCTTCTATTATTAATAAGATTTGCTTGTATCCTGGAGAAATACATTTCTTAAAAAAATTCTAGGAGATTTAGAATTACTATTTAAAGAGGCAAATGCTCTCGATTTGTGGAAAGCCAAAAAATATGCTTTTGCAGATGGATATTTAATATTAACAGAAACTTGCTGCCTAACAGTTGGAATCTGGAAGCTCCCCTCCTATGCAGCTCATCTGTCTTACTACCTGCAGAGGTCTGGACCTGGCAAGAAAGGAAGCCACTCCTGCCAAAGCTCAGTACAACAGGCGGGTACCAAGCTTCTCCAACCTTCCCCCTTGCAAGGAAAGGCGGTAGGAAATGATTCAGAATACTGAGCAAGCACAGCAGTGTTGGCTTCCATATGATCACTCATTAAGACTATAATGCATGAACCAGGTCTTGCACACATTTGAGCTTTCTGATAGCCAATCCAATAACAGGGAACAGATGCAAGGTAGATGGAAACAAATTGAAATTTGCTTGGAAATAATTCTCTAGCTCCCTTTCGTAATAAGGACACAAAATGCATTTAAAATGTTGGATTTTTTTCACACTTTCATAAGCACTGGATGCTACTCTAAGTTAATACAGACTTAATGCAACATTCAGTGCAAATGAAAATGGGAAAAACCCTTCCAACATTTGAAATCAGATCAGCACCCCTTCCAATCAAGTACAAACAATACTGACTGTCATTTACTTTCCAATGTTTCAGGCAAAATCCTTGGTTTTGTTTTTTGTTTTCTTTCTCAGAAGGTGATGCAGAATGAACAGGCAGGATTATTTATTTATTTATTTATTTATTTGCTGTATTTGTATACCGCCTTTCTCAGTCTATCGGCGACTCAAGGCGGTTTCCAACAAAACAGTATACATAGTATCATAATAAAATGTAAAACATTAAAATTACATAAATCACAACAACAATAAAAACAACATCATAGGCGTCTCCTTATTGTCAAGCATTGTCCAGTTCCATCATCAGTCATCAGTTCCTATATCAGTTATCTATATCCGTTACTCTTTGTTTGTGAATGCTTGCTCAAACAGCCATGTTTTGAGTTGCTTCCGAAATGTTAAGAGGGAGGGAACAGATCTAATCTCTCTGGGGAGGGCGTTCCATAGCCGGGGGGCCACCGCTGAGAAGGCCCTGTCTCTCGTCCCCGCCAAATGTACCTGGGACAAAGGCGGGGCCGAGAGCAGAGCCTCTCCGGACGATCTCACGGTCCTAGGTGGTTCATAAGGTGGAACTCTCTGCCCCGGAGTGTGGTGGAGGCTCCTTCTTTGGAAGCTTTTAAACAGAGACTGGATGGCCATCTGTCAGGGGTGATTTGGAATGACACAAAATTCTAAGCTTCTTGAGACCAGGGGGCCTTGCGAAACTAGACGATGTGCCCCATAGAGAGTCTCATCCAACTCACTTTACGATTTCTAAGATTCTATCGATATGTCGGGACATCGGTAAGTTGGCGCCAAGAAAAAAACCGTTCGAACGCGCTTAAAGGACTAAGAACCAGGCACTTTGAATAGACTGGCCGTGGGGACCCGCGAGCATGGTAGCAAACTGCCCGCAAGCTAGTGCGAAGCCTGGCGCCAGCAAGGCGACGGATTATCTTAGCTATGCCCTTCCTGGAGAGCAGGCCGTACCAATTAAGCAAATCGGATGATTCGGCCCCCGAAAACCGTGGTAATTCTTTCTTCAGCGGAAGGGAGCTCGATAATCCCAATCCAAACACAGAACGCTGTCCAAGCTATACGCAGTGTTCGCGCCCCTATATGACACTGCAACCAGTAAGGACCTCTGTCTATGTACTTAGAGGTCAATTTCAATATAATATTAAGCCCTCATCCAGTCACAACAGCCAAACACCGGTTCAGGACCTGAACAGCCTCCTTAGTAGCAGGTGGAAAGGAGTGACAGAGTTGGACGTCATCCGCGTACAGATGGCACCGCACCCTGAAACTCCAGATGATCTCCCCCAGCGGTTTCATGTATATATTAGATTACTTCTAATATATATGTGTTATGGCGACAATTTTTATGCTTATATTGTTTTGTTAATCTTATGGTTATGTTGTTTACTCTGTATGTATTGATGATGTTACTTGGAAACCGCTCTGAGTCCCCTCGGGGAGATAGAGCGGTATATAAATAAAATTTTACTTTTTAAGTTAGAACATTCTGCAAAGTCTTGCTTTTGCAACAAGCTCAGTTGGAGTAATAAACATAGAATTCTTTGAAAACAAAACAATATGGATTAAAATGCCCCTTTTTAACAAGAGGGTTTCAAGCACAGAAGGCATTTAATTTGCTAAAGTGGTAAAAACACTTGAGCCATTCTCCATAAACAAAAAACTGAAGTAGGCACTCAAGAACTACTCTGTGTGTCATCTGATCAAGTTCTAGTTTCAAAGATTAATGTTCTCAAGCAAACTCTCTTTTACTGCTATCCTTTGCGCAATACGATATCAATTATAATATTCTACAAGTGCAAGTTTTTGACGCTACAGAAGCGAAGACATGCATTTGACCCTATAAAGCAGCGTTTCTCAACCTGAGGGTCAGGACTCCTAGGGGGTCGCCAGGGGGGTTCAGAGGGGTCGCCAAAGACCATCAGAAAACATATATTTCTGATGGTGTTAGGAACCCCTTTGGCAGAGAAGGCTGAAAATCCCTTCACCTGTCCTTCTCTTCCTTTTTGGAAACAGGAAGCAAATCCTCCCACCAAAAGCCCCTCTCTGCTGTGATTGGCTGGCCTCTCAGCCAAGGGCAGGGCTGTTTCTGAGACTCCAAGTGGGGAGGGGAGAGCAGGCGTGCTCAGCGCATCGTAGCGTGGTGCGCATGTGTGGGCGAGGGAGAGCATGCAAGGCTGGAGGGAGGCTCATGCCAGTGAGTCCCTTCAAGCCATGGCTGTTCTGTGTGGGAAGTTTCACCCAATTATACCATTGGTGGGGTTCAGAATGCTCTTTGATTGCAGGTGAAATCACACAAACTACAACTACCAAATGTTAAATCTATTTTCCCCAAACTGCACCAGTGGTCACATCTGGGTATATTGAGTATTTGTGCCAAGTTTGGTCCAGATCCATCATTGTTTGAGTTTACAGTGCTCTCTGGATGTAGGTGAACAACAGCTCCAAAACTCAAGGTCAGTGAGGGTCTCTCCACCTGTCCTTCTTTTCCTTTTTGGAAACAGACAGCAAATTCTCCCACCAAAAGCCCTTCTCCGCTGTGATTGGCTGGCCTTTCAGCCAAGGGGAGGGCTGAGACTCCAAGCAGGGAGGGGAGAGCAGGTGTGCTTGGCACATGGCAGTGTGGTGCGCATGTACGGGTGAGAGAGAACATGAGAGACTGGAGAGAGGCTCGTACCAGTGAATCCCTTCAAGCCATGGGGGTTCTGTGGGGGAAGTTTGGCCCAATTCATTGGCGGGGTTCAGAATGCTCTTTGATTGTAGGTGAAATCACACCAACTACAACTACCAAATGTCAAGTCGATTTTCCCCCAAACTGCACCAGCAGTCACATTTGGGTATATTGAGTATTTGTGCCAAGTTTGGTCCAGATCCATCATTGTTTGAATCCACAGTGCTCTCTGGATGTAGGTGAACTACAACTCCAAAACTCAAGGTCAATGCCCACCAAACCCTTCCAGTATTTTCTGCTGGTTATGGGAGTTCTGTGTGCCAAGTTTGGTTCAATTCCATCATTGGTGGAATTCAGAATGCACTTTGATTGTAGATGAACTATAAATCCCAGCAACTACAATTCCCAAATGACAAAATCAACCTCCGCCCCAACTCCACCAGTATTCAAATTTGGACATATTCAGTATTTGTACCAAATTTGGTCCAGTGATTGAAAATACATCCTGCATATCAGGTATTTACATTACGATTCATAGCAGTAGTAAAATTACAGTTATGAAGTGGTAACAAAAATAATTTTATAGCTGGGGGGTCACCACAACATCCAGAACTGCATTAAGGGGTCGTGGAATTAGGAAGGTTGAGAAACACTGCTATAATGCCCGTAGAACTGCAGCTCCCAGCATACTTTACCACTGAATATACTATCAGGAGCTGCAGTCCAGTTTATAGAAGGATTCACAATTCCCACCCCGTTCTGAGACTATGTATCCCTTTCACAAATAATATGTAGGTCTTAAGTTAAACATTTTAGGCCTGGGCGGTTTCGATTCGTTAATTCGTAATTCGTTAATAATTCGTTAATTTTTCCAATTACAAAACGATAACGAACCATTCTGGAGCAATCATTAAAAAAAAACGAATTTTTAAACACGTTTTGTAAATGCTTCGTATTTCGTTATTGTATTCGTTTCGTTATTGTTCTGAGGTCGTTTTGTTATTATTTCCGCATGTCTGGGCCAGTTTTATGGTTTAATTAGTGAAAAAAAATTATAATATCACACCAACAGTCAAGAACAGAGGGAGAGGGAAGCTTCAGAAGGTTTTGGAGGTTTTTTAGCGTATTTCGCGGTCGCGTCCGCCATTAACGAATCGATTCGTTATTGTTTCGGAAATCGATTCGTTAATTTTTTACCATTTACGAAATTTCGTAAATATCGAACTTTTTAAAAGGAAAATTTTGTAATTATTTTAAATATCGAAACAAAAAAACCTCCCAAATACAAATCGATTTTAGAAACAAATTTTTGCGTTGTTACCCAGGCCTAAAACATTACTAAACCACATCATGGATAAACCATTTTTCATATAATCACACTTCTATGAAAATGACAGTTTATAGTTTATACATTGCCACAAATAGCTTCTTATCTCTGTATAAATCAACTCATAACTATCCAAATTTAATTTTCACACATTCTCCCCTGGCCTAATGAATGTAAAACATTAATTAACTACTCCTGTCCCTGTCAGTTCTGACAGTCAACTGACAAACCAAATTAACTGAACCTTATTGCCTTTGTAAATGAAGACAGAGTATCGTTTTTCCAAGAAAAGAAAAAACCCCTCTGCTATGTATCTTAACACTTGGCTCATCTCTAGCTTAATACAGATCTTATGATGTTTCAATACTTTTTCCAAGGTACTGTAGGATAATTGGTGCTATTTATAGCTGCAAAATTACAGAAAGGTTAACTTCTTTTGCATCTAGAAAATGTCATTTAATTAAAGTGTTTTGCCAGTGGTGTACAAAAAATAATCACATTTACAGAGGAAACTTTAACATGTTCGCAGCCTCTGCAGTAGTATCAGAAATGGAATGAATAATAATAATAATAATAATAATAATAGAGCCCCAAGTGGCGCAATGGGTTACACCCTTGTGTCGGCAGGACTGATGACCGACAGGTCGGAGGTTCGAATCGGGGAGAGCACGGATGAGCTCCCTCTGTCAGCTCCAGCTCCCCATGCGGAGACATGAGAAAAGCCTCCAAAAAGAATAGTAAAACATCAAACATCCGGGCGTCCCCTGGGCAACGTCCTTGCAGACGGCCAACTCTCTCACGCCAGAAGCGACTTGCAGTTTCTCAAGTCACTCCTGACATGAATAATAATAATAATAATAATTATTATTATTATTATTATTATTTATTTATTTATTTATATTCTGCTCTATCTCCCCATGGGAACTCAGGGCAGATTACAGAACACATAAGGCAAACATTCAACGCCGTTATACAATTAACAAGGACAGACACTAAATAACCAGAGGTAAAGGCTTTCCCATCTTTTTCCATTTCTGACATCTGGAGGCTGTGCTCAACACCTGCCACAGGGAGGTGCTGTTGCTCCATCTTCCATGGAGCTTTTTTATCTGTAGATACTCTCTCGATCGAGTCACCAGCATGTCCTTATGGGCGCCTTTTTTATTACCTCCCCGCTTAACGCAGTATCTATTTATCAACTCACATTGCTGTTTTTGATCTGCTAGGTGAGCAGAAGCTGGGCTGAGGGTGGGAGCTCACCCCGAACTGGGCTTGAACTGCCGTCCTTTTGATCGGCAAGATTTTATGCACCTAGCAGTTTGACCCACTGTGCTAAACCTGGCCTTGGTTGTAAGTTTTAAGTACAATATGGTTTTGGTTTTAAGTACAATATGTCTACTTATATATAATGCATATAATAATTTAAAAGAACTCACCTTAATACTGACACAGTAGGGATGGTAACACTGACCACACTGAGAACAAGAAAGCAATCGGCCTTCTGCGCCTTTACCAAAACTTCCGCAAACTACACACATATCCTAGAATAGCAAACAGTGTTTATTAAAAAAGTTAACTTAAAGTAATGAATGTGTAGGAAACAGTTGTAAGGTAAATAAAAACAGCATACAGATTTCTAAACACTTCTAATGGTTCTCCAGAAATATAGATGTGTATGGTTCAGTTATGAACATCCATTAAGAATAAGTCCGTCGTGTTTCCATTATCAGTATTGTCAATTTGTGAAGTTGATGCAATGGCTGTCCAGACTCCTTGGTACATATATGTACCCAGTTTATAGCAGACTTTTTGATGCAAGTTAGCCTAGATCCCTCCTTAGCTGAACTGGGGAATTCAGCTTGTCAACCTTGGATGAGTAATTGCCTCCCAACATGGAGCAACAAGATTTTTTAAAAGCGCACCCAAACTCACAAAAGTCTAAGTCTTTCAGAATTTTTCTCAATGCTTTTCAAATTCTTCCTAGTGTTCCACTTCCTATCTACTGCTGAGCTTTGGCTCTATGGCCCTTTAAGGAAACTAGAATTTGAACCAAGCCCAGATATTAGCAGCAAGTGTAATACCTGATCAAGAACTGGTCTTGCATGTACTTGGTGACTCAGTTTCAAAGGAGGAAACCAGCTACAAAATGCACTACAAGAAGCCTCTACTAGGATGGCGTCTATAAAGTGTATTGGAAGGTTTAATTTCTACGTTTACTAAAACGCTTACAGACGTCATTACTTTATTTATGAGTCCAAATTATCTAGACAAAGCAACTCACTTCCTACATTTGAATGTCACTAGATTACACAAAAATGCAGTCAACATTCCTGAATTTTTCATCTGATGGATAAACACTGGAAAATAGAAAATGATTTACACTAGAAACATATAAATATGAAATAAATTTGCAACCTGATGCAAAGTAAACTTGTCACTGCTGGAAAATAAGACCACGGTATTGTGCATCGAGTTTTCCTCCTCATCTTTGATATAAGAAATGTCCATATCCATGACCTGCAAGAACAAAATGAATGCATCACTTTTTGCATAGATTATCAACATTTAACTCTACCATCCACAGGTAAAGGTAAGGTAAAGGTTTTCCCCTGACATTAAGTCCAGTCGTGTCTGACTCTGGGGGTTGGTGCTCATTTCCATTTCTAAGCCGAAGAGCCGCCGTTGTCTGTAGACACCTCCAAGGTCATGTGGCCGGCATGACTGCATGGAGCTACCATCCCATCTATTCCAGAATTACTGATGATGATCTGTAGAGGTTGCTTACCTGTAACCATATTCCTTTGAGTGGTAGTCTGTGAAATTTGCACATGTGTTTTCACTGCGCATGTGCAGCTATTTGGAACATTCTAGAGCAGTGGTTCTCAACCTGGGGTCCCCAGATGTTTTGGCCTTCAACTCCCAGAAATCCTAACAGCTGGTAAACTGGCTGGGATTTCTGGGAGTTGTAGGCCAAAAACATCTGGGGACCCCAGACTGAGAACCAGTTTTAGAGCTTTAACATTGAAACATTTTGGCAAAGGCCCCGCCCACACTCCCTAGTACTATGTAGGTTTTTGGGTGGAACCAAGCCCCAGTTCCTTTTGCTGCCACAATCAGCAGCTGCTAGGAACTTCTTCTAGTAGCATTGTATCTCTCCCCAACAGATTTAATGGCTTCTGACCTGGACTCCATTGACTACCCAATAACTCTAATACCTATCAACCAGAATGACTCTTGACTACATAGCCCTCTCCACTCCTGATCAACCAAACTGGCTTGAACCACATGAACGTCCCTTTACCTGATCCACCAAACTGGCTCCAACAATGTGACTTTCCCCAGCACAAACTATGGACAATTTGACAATGCTATCAGGCCATCCCATGGCCTAGGTATGGCTACCATCCTGTCTCCGATGGGCACAATATATGCCTCCTCTGCTTGCAAAAGGTCCTGGGCGATGTTATTACATTTATAGCCTTTTAAATGGAGTAGGTTAATTTAAGGCATAGTGCTACCAAAATTATGTTCATTACTATTTATTTATTTATCTATTTACATCATTTTTATCCAATCCTTTTCAGCCCGAAGGCAACTCAGGGCGGCAACAATTAGATGCCACATATACACATATTTATATATAGAATCCATATATAAATCATGGAAGCTATACAAACTATTTAAAAATATATAGTAAACAATGTCTTCCAGTCCAATTCCTCATCCGTTTGCATAGGCTTAGCCATTCTGTGTTCATATTCCAATCTTGTGTTTACCTAAGTAGGGTCTTCCCAGTCTTTGTCCTACCCTCTAGCCACACTATGTCTTCAACGTAAAAGGAAAAAATATTCTAAGTTATATAAATTAAAACACGGAGGGAAAAATCTTAGAAGTTGCTCTTGGCCTGGGCTCAGAATTTTTACAGTCCTCTTACACTTTATGAATTTCCACACTAAACTGGACAGGTCTCACACCAAAAGAAAGATTTTTGAAGTATTCTCAGCCATAGCCACTAACATCTTTTCTTGGCCAAATGATAAGGAACAAATATGCCATAGATCCTTACCCCTGGAGGAAAGATAGATCCAATTCCACTCTTGAGTTTTGATCTCCCTCGTCCACCTCGACCTGAAAGACCTGCACCACGTGGTCTCCGCTTCCCAGGGAATCCTGATCCACGACCCTATTTACAGCAATTTCCAAAATTTGAAGAGAGTCAAAACATATTTAACAGTCCTCTTGATGGAAATTAATATTTCTTATGAAGCTGTTTCCAAAGAGTTAACTGTTAATTGGTTCTTCCCAAACCATCAAAGAGCCCAGGAAAACATGAAGATCAATACGTTTATTATAGAATTAGCTTTTTCTAGACTACAGCCCACTTTATCATATGCATGAAGAGTAACTCAGAATTCCAGTTATGAATAAAATAAGAGTGGGAATAGCATGGCATGTGGGCTGCATAATGGCCTTTGGCGTGAGTTTTGAGGCCTCCAAAATCTAGCCCAGACTCCTTTTTTTAAAATTTGTTGCCCAAAATAGCAGAACATGAAAAATAAAACCATTGAAGGCACCACAAAATATAGTGGATGAGTTCCTTTGACCTTCACTGTCCCCAAAACCTGCACTCAGAAACCTGTACCCCAAAACCCGGAAAATTCTGCAAATCTCTTGGGAAGACAGGTGGACAAATGACAGAGTACTGGAAGAAACAAAGACCACCAGCACTGAAGCGATTCTCCTATGCCATCAAATCCACTGGACTGGCCACATTGTCCGAATGCCCAATCATCCTCTCCCAAATCAGTTACTATACTCCCAACTCAAGAATGAAATGTTGGTGGATAGGAAAAGAGATTTCAAGATGGGCTTGAAGTTAACCTTAAAAACTGTGGCATGAACACTGAGAACTGGGAAGCCTTGAGCACTCTAACTGGAGGTCAGCTGTGACCAGCAGTGTTGAGGAATTTGAAGCGGCACGAATGGAGGGTGAAAAGGAGAAAGGTGCCAAGAGGAAGGTGCGTTAAGCCAACCCTGACCAGAACAGCCTTCTACCTGGAAAACGATCTCCTCACTATGGAAGAGCATGAGGGTCAAGAATAAGGCTCCACAGTCATTTGTGGACCCATCGCCAAAACATTGCACTTGGAGGACCATTATCCTCAGACTACAAGGGATTACCTAAGTAAGTAAATAAGTACTCCTGCTCCTGGAAACCATGGAAATCAGCCATACTTTATTTTGGCCAGCTCTCAAAATTGGAAGTGACACTGCACCTCTTTTGAACACATTGGGCACAGTTGTGTGGCCTACAGAATGGCTGGCCTCTGCCCTCCTTCAGGGATGACCACCCCTCATATTACATATTGATGGTGGAGATGGTATGGTAAAGAGTAGCACAGCAGAAAGGATTATGAGAATATAAACACAGATTAATTACCACTTTGATGCTCCATATGGCACTGCCAGGAAACGGTCTGGACTTAAAAAATTCCCGACCTTCTGAAATGTCTGGGGACCAGGAAGGTGGGCTCACTGTATTATGGCTACTCCAAGCCCCCTAGGATATGGCGGATGAGAAAATATATGGAGAAAACTCAGCCAAACAAAAATAAAGAATGCAAATTAAAAGTTCTGAAATAAAATCTCATGGAAGTGTAAACAAATATTCAAATATTCAACACACACATGGATTTACTGGTCTATATTTCAATCCAGGACCATATTCTTATGTTATGACATAAGATTTGATAAACATTTCATTACTCAATAATGAAAAAGGGTGCTTCAGGAAAACAAAAGATTGCTTGCCACAACCAGTACATGGAAGTATAGCTGTGATTTGGTTACAACTTTACTTTCAGTAGTACCAATCCAAGATGCACCAAGCAGGGGAATCATAGGCCCAGCTTGACAATAAGATCCTTTCTTCATTTCATATTCCATGTTGGGGAAAAAGTAACAGACTTGCATTATGTTTGTGACTTAAATTAAACCAACAAACTCAAAAGGCTAAGAAGCACAGCAGGCAAAACAAATACAATGCATAATGTGAAAATGAAATATAAATTAATAATTAAAATACTAATCATGAGCAGAAGCTATGACACACCAAAGAGCTATCCAACTCCTTCTCTGGCACTGATGCAGTGGCTTGCTCTGCTTCCCCAGCTCACAGGTTGCCAGTGATGCTGTAGCGTTGCCATTGCTGGCACTAGCAGGGCCATTTGGTAGTTGGAGATGAGTGAGCTGAAACCACCATCAGAGCTGGAGACGGAGCGGGATTCAGAGCAAGAGTGGGGACTGTTTGACAGGAAGTGGGGAAATGGCATTGATGGGGTGTCGTGAGTGAGAGAGTAGGATTGTCTTCACACCTTTGCTTGTTGCTGCTACTCTGCTCCCTTATGATTTATTGTGTGGCTCTGTTGCACACTGCACTTACTGTATGGAAAGGGAGACAGGCTGGCATAGAGTCACTCGCCAACCTGCAGTGCCGGGAGCTTCTTAGCTGACACTGCTAAGCTGTTTCCAGCAGGTAAGTTTGCCATTTTGCCTTTAAGTCTCTGTATTGTTTGCTTTTTCCACCTCTTCTGCCTCCCCCACAACAACTCTTCCATCTCCACTCTCCACTTCCCTGGGATTTACCACTCTCCACTTTTCATGGTTTGCACCATTTCACACAATGTCTAGGGAGGCAAGGCAGTCAGACAACTTCTCAACTTTGTATTTTTCGAAGCCATTGCCAGGAACTATTTGTTAACAGGTTATCATTGGTGTTGCACGTAAGACTGACCCAGAATCCTCTCTGAACCCTACCTGACTAGATCTTTCTCCCTCACACTTCTTGATTCAGCATGATTCAGCATGGAAGAAGTACAGTCTTCTATTTGAGAATGGAAGCTTATTCAACTCCCCCTGCCAGTAGTCCAGAGCTGAAATGCAACCTTCCCAAACTCTTAAGTGTAATCTATTTCGCATGCAAAAGAACAGATCGAACTGAAGCTAAGGTTAAATAAAGTCTGGGAAATAAGCATGCTGTCCTAAGTCTAGCAATGGGACAGTCATTCCCATAAAATAGCTGAGAGTCCAATTTTTCCCATGAGGATGGGGGAATGGGTTGTTGTAGGTTTTTTGGGCTGTATGGCCATGTTCTAGAAGCATTCTCACCTACATCAATGGCAGGCATCCTCAGAGGTTGTGAGGTCTGTTGGGAACTAGGAAATATGGGTTCATATATCCGTGAAAAGTCCAGGGTGGGAGAACGAACTTTTGTCTGTTGGAGCTAGGTGTGAATGTCTCAGTTGGCCACCTTGATTAGCATTTGTTGGTCTGATAGTTTTTACATGTGCCTTGTTCCTGCCTGAGGGAATTCTTTGTTGAAAGTTGATTAGCTGTTCCTGATTGTTTCTTGTCTGGAGTTTCCTCTGTTCTTTCTCCCACCCTGGATATTATTCCACAGATATATAAACCCAATTTTCCAAGTTTCCAACAGATCTCACAACCTCTGAGGATGCCTGCCATAAATGCAGGCGAAACGTCAGGAGAGAATGCTTCTAGAACATGGTCATACAGCCAGAAAAACCTACAACAACCAAGTGATTCTGGCCATGAAAGCCTTTGACAATACAGAGTGGAGGAATAATTGGACTCTCAGCTGTGTTTTCTACAACACACAAATACACATAAGGTAATCACAACTACAAAATATCAAGTAGAATAACTTCTCCATCCAAGCCTTCCAATTGAAATGGTTTAAGTAAAATATGCGTACCTGTCTTGACCTTGGTCTTCCAGGAGAAAACTTCCTTTTGGTGATAGCTGGTTTCCCCATCCCAATTTTTGGAGTGAGTGACACGTATGTGGTTGGAACCAAAGCAGATTCTAGTGATGATGTCTGACTACGGAGCATGTCATGTGATGAGCCTAACTCTAGCGAGGCTGCTGGTGAGGAAGAGACACTTGTCTTGCTTATTTCAACAGATGATGGGAATGAGGAAAATGTTTCGGTAGGTGACTTAATAGACTTGTCTCCCAAGGGTGAACTGTCAGTTGCACAGCTTTCACTTGCAGGAAGAGATGACGTCTCACAACTTTCAGGCGTATCCCCTCCATTGCCGCCTTCTGACACAACCCTTGCTTCCAACGGCTCTTCTTTCTGATAGGAGGCCCTCTCTTTACTGATCAGAATGAAAGCACCAGGCATCTTTGCTAAGTCCTCAGTTGTTACTAGAAGACACTGAGACTCTTCTTTGGGCATATTTAGTAATTCAGTACTTTCCTGTGCATGTTCTGTTTCTTCAGTTTGCTTTCCTGTTACTTGTGGCATTAGATCTGGAATATTTTCTATTGTTTCCATCTTTTTACCAATGTCAATACCATTTGGTGCATGGGTCTTTTTAGGAGATGTTTCCATTTCATCTGCACCACAATTATTAGAAATCTGTAGTTCCAGTTCACCACTGTTTTCATTTAACGAGAGGCCTGAAACAGAGAACATTTGGTGTTTCTTGTAACAGGATCATTGTGGAAGACATCAACATGTTAAACAATATGCAAATATTTCAGATACACCCCATGAAAATGTAAAAGCAGATATTGCTTGTATTCACTTTCTCAAGTCCTGAAATTCAAGAGATATTCTAACATGATCCTGCTTCATATTATTAACACTAGCTGTCCCCTGCCATGCGTTGCTGTGGCTCAGTCTGTGTATATGTGTTTTGTGTGTCTATATGTGGTTTTGTGCATGCGTTGTAATGTATTTTTTTATTTTTGACTTTTTCAGTCCCTTCTGCTGTGTTTTACAGTGTTTTTATGAGTGATGGTCACTCGTTGGCCTGATAGGTGTATTATGTCCAAATTTGGTGTCAATTAGTCCAGTATTTTTTGAGTTATGTTAATCCCACAAACAAACATAACATTTTTATTTATATAGATATGGCAATTCCAGTTAGCAGTCATGAGTAACATCTTCTGCTAAACCTTTCCTCTATGGAATTGTCTAAAAATGTCTTTAAAGCCATCAGAGATGACAACACCTGGTGGTTTTGAACTTCATTAAGTTAATGATAACACTGATTAACATATCTCATCCACATTTGTCCATAATCAACTTGCAAAGTCTGTAAGGTGATCCTGTTTTCAATCACTATGAGAGGTAGCAAGATTTTTCTTAGTTTTCCACTGCACAATGTACACTTTTATAAAGTTTTTTGCACATTACTAGCCTTGTGTTCATTTCCCAATTCTACAATAAATATCCTTTCTGAAATGGAGTGAATAAACTATTAATTTTCCAAATTGTTTGACAATAAGGTAAAAAGGTAAAGGTTTCCCCTTGACATTAAGTCTAGTCGTGTCCGACTTTGGAGATTGGTGCTCATCTCCATTTCTAAGCTGAAGAGCTGGTGTTGTCCATAGACGCCTCCAAGGTCATGTGGCCAGCATGACTGCATGGAGCACTGTTACCTTCCTGCAAAAGCAGTGCCTAATGATCTACTCACATTTTCATGTTTTCGAACTACTAGGTTGGCAGAAGCTGACCCTAACAACAGGAGCTCACACTGCTCCGCTGATTCGAACTGCCGACCTTTCGGTCAGCAAGTTCAGCAGCTCAGTGGTTTAACCTGCTGTCCCACCAAGGGCTCCAAATTGCACTGAAACATACATCAATTACAGTGCATCCTCACTGAATACAAAACAACACAGTTTTGGAGACATGTGGCTAAAAACCCTAAACTTCCCCTTTTCCCTTCAGCCAATGCTGGGGTTTGAGGTCAAGAAAATTTATATTCTTTCACATTACCAAGTCTTTCTGCATTAAGTTACCAAGAAAAAGAGCAGCAACTCATGCAGTCCAAGCTGTGAAATAATAGCAAAAGACATTGGGGCAACAGACTAACACAAGAAAAAATATACTAAATATACGGAAAAAAATATATCCAAGTTAACACACAGTGTGTGCTTTCATCCTTTGTTATTACTGGAAACCGCTGAAAGGTAACTATAATCACTAGGCTTTAATATCTATTTCCATAATGGGGTCAACTGAATTTTTAATAGATTTTCTGGCATTTAAGATCCAAGCATTTAAAAGGATCATCTGTGTCTCTCTAATGTCAGCACAGTCATGAAAAGCCCTCTAAGACATCAAGGTCATATGGCCAGCATGACTGCATGGAACACCGTTACCTTCCCACAGAAGTGGTACCTATCGATCTACTCACATGTTTTCGAACTGCTAGGTTGTCAGAAGCTGGGGCTAACAGAGGGAGCTCACCCCACTCCCCGGATTTGAACCTGCGACATTTCGGTCAGCAAGTTCAGCAGCTCAGTGGTTTAAACCGCTGTGCCATCGGGGGAGGGGAGGTTGTTTGACAACAGATTTATATAAATAGTATTGGATATTTATTTTCAGATCCATTTCTTAATAATTCATAGCAAATAATTTCCCATTTCTATTGCTGCTACAGATATGCTGTACTAGAGTTTTGTGAAACTTGAATTAGTTTGGCCTCTCACTAGGCCTGCACACCCCTTTCCTCTCCTTCAAAGTAAAAGGATTCTCTTACCATCTGCAGTGCATTTAACCAGGGATTCTTCTTCAACAAGACCACAATCCGTTACTACTTGATCTTCGTTTGTGACACCTTCAGCACTCTCCTCTATTTCCATTTCATCTGCACAACCTTGGGCAACAAACAACAAAGAATTTATCACTCTTAATGCAATGTTTATTTTCATTAGTATATCGACTGTGACTGTTTTTGGAACTTGGCATATTCTTTTCACCCAAAAGTATTTTGACACAGTAACCTGAGCACGTTGGATGTCTAGTGCGGTTTTGTTCAAATCTTAGGTAAAAGATACAACTTATTTTAAAGTAAGAGGATGTCTTTTGCAATTGACAGTGACACCACACACCTGAGGTGGGCAAAGTGTGGTCATTCAAATATTTCAGGGCTACAACTCTCATCAGCCTTAGCCAGTATAGCCAATGGGATGAAAACTGAGAGCTGCAGTCTACCATCTGGAGGGCCAGAATAATAGAATCATAGAATCAAAGAGTTGGAAGAGACCTCATGGGCCATCCAGTCCAACCCCCTGCCAAGAAGCAGGAATATTGCATTCAAATCACCCCTGACAGATGGCCATCCAGCCTCTGTTTAAAAGCTTCCAAAGAAGGAGCCGCCACCACACTCCGGGGCAGAGAGTTCCACTGCTGAACGGCTCTCACAGTCAGGAAGTTCTTCCTCATGTTCAGATGGAATCTCCTTTCTTGTAGTTTGAAGCCATTGTTCCATCGTCCTAGTCTCCAAGGAAGCAGAAAACAAGCTTGCTCCCTCATCCCTGTGACTTCCTCTCATTATTTATACATGGCTATCATATCTCCTCTCAGCCTTCTCTTCTTCAGGCTAAACATGCCCAGCTCCTTAAGCCGCTCCTCATAGGGCTTGTTCTCCAGACCCTTGATCATTTTAGTCGCCCTCTTCTGGACACACTTCATCCACCGTGTTACCCATATTTCTGTAAGGTAATATGTAATTTCCACCACATGCATTTTTATCGTGTCAGAAGCAACTTTAGAAGATACTGCAAGTCACTTCTGGTGTGAGAGAATTAGTTGTCTACAGAGATGTTACCCTGGGGAGGCCAAGATGTGTTACCATCCTGCTGGGAGGGTTCCCTTATGTCCCCACAAGCTAGAGATGACAGGTTGCCAGATTCAAACTGGCAACCTTAAGGTCAGCAACGTGACCTTCAGGTCAGCAGTCCAGCCAGCACAAGGGTTTAATCCATTGTACCACCGTGGCTCAACCGCTTGCTTTGAACTAAATGTTATTCTCCATTCAATAGCAAACCGTTGTGTCAAGTCTTCAACTACTCCACGTTCCATGCATCCCTCATTGAAGTGTAAATTGTCACATAATATTTGAGTTCCTCACTGTTGTGTAACAAAAAGTGACAATGTTTTGGTTCTTAAAGCTTTGTGGTCCAGTTTTGCCATGACTGTGACAATTATGAAAATTTGTAGATGAAGTGTTAGGGATCGTTTACAGAATGATCTGTAAAATGTGGCAATTTTTTTGGGCTGTGTTGTAATTTTGAAGTATCATATGTTTGTGATAGACAACTCTGTCTAATTTAGTTCTGTCTCACTGTAGGTTTTTTTGCAGTCACTATTTTGCTCCAGCCCACCTTCTCTTTGACAGATTTTAAAAATACAGATGAAGTCTTACATAAAACAGCCTTGCGTTGAAACTAAGGCCCTTTCCACACAGCTGAATAAAATCCTACATTTTCTGCCATATATCCCTGAACTGGAATATATGGCAGTGTGGACTCAGATAACCCAATTCAAAGCAGATATTGTGGGATTTTATGCCTTGATATTCTGGGTTATATGGCTGTGTGGAAGGGCCCTCATTGGATCCAACTGCACCCCTGTGCCAGCAGGACTGAAGACTGACAGGTCACAGGTTCAAATCCGGGGAGAGGCAGATGAGCTCCCTCTATCAGCTCCAGCTCCTCATGCGGGGACATGAGAGAAGCCTCCCACAAGGATGATAAAAACATCAAAATCATCCGGGCGTCCCCTGGGCAACATCCTTGCAGACGGCCAATTCTCTCACACCAGAAGCGACTTGCAGTTTCTCAAGTTGCTCCTGACACGACAAAAAAAAAAACTCAGTGTCATCACAGAGGGCAACAGTCCTTTTGGTATAGACAGACGGACAGATTTATTTATTTATTTATTTATTTATTTACAGTTTTATATTCCGCCCTTCTCACCCCGCAGGGGACTCAGGGCGGATTACAGTGTACACATATATGGCAAACATTCAATGCCAATTTTTGACATACAAACATATACAGACATACACAGAGGCTATTTAACTTTTTCTGGCCACCAGGGGAGCTGTCGCTTTCATCATCCATCTGCGACACTGATGAAGTACTTCCGCATTCCCCGCATGCTTTTGCTGGAGTGCATTGCTGGAGTCTTTTTATGGCCTCGTAAATTAGTTAAATTAGCCTCCCCACACATAGGTGGTACCTAAATTTCCTACTTGACAGATGCAACTGTCTTTCGGGTTGCAAAGGTCGACAACAAGCTGCACAATTGGTCGGAAGCTCACTCCAACCCGGGCTGGCTCGAACTCATGACCTTTTGGTCAGAAATGATCTTAATGCAGCTGGCACTCAGGCAGCTGCGCCACAGTCCCGTTTGTTGTTGTTTTTTTGTCGTGTCAGGAGCAAGTCGCTTCTGGTGTGAGAAAATTGGCCATCTGCAAGGACGTTGCCCAGGGGACGCCTGGATGATTTGATGTTTTTATCAGCCTTGTGGGAGGCTTCCCTCATGTCCCCGCATGAAGAGCTGGAGCTGATAGAGGGAGCTCATCCGCCTCTCCCCGGATTCGAACCTGCGACCTGTCGGTCTTCAGTCCTGCCGGCACAGGGGTTTAACCCACTGCACCACCGGGGGCACCTTAGTTGTGACTAACAAGTAGATTTAAGCCTTAGCATCTCTTTGAAATGCTCTGATGGGCTTGAAGAACTGGGATACCTCAGGGAATTATCTTATTCTATGCATATACAAGCAACTATTTTCCCCACAAATTCCCTGTTAGGAGGGCATATTATTATTGCAACTCTACCTGTAGATAATGTTAAGTTTTAACTGTCTGATTCAAAACCTGGTTAGCTGGAAAAAGGTTCCCTATTCCCTTATAGTACTGTAACTTTGAAGGTAAAAACATTCAGTCATGATATAAATGTTTACATATGTCCACACTCAACTATACGTTCCACTCTGAACATAGGTCCAGGGTTACAAACAAGTTAAATTTACTACGTTGCTGTGAGTTTTCTGGACTGTATAGCCATGTTCTAGATGCATTCTCTCCTGATGTTTCACCCACATCTATGGCAAGCATTCTCAGGGGTAGTGAGGTCTGTTGAAAACTTGACAAGTGAGGTTTACATATCTGTGGAATGTCCAGGGTGGGAGAAAAAACTCTTGCCTGCTTGAGGCAAGTGTGAATGCTTCAATTGGCCACCTTGATTAGTATTAAATGGCCTTACAGCTTCAAAGCCTTGCTGATTGCTGCCTGGTGGATCCTTTGTGACCACATTTCTGTGTACAAACCCACACAATCTCTTTGATCATCTGTAGAGGCCCTGCTAGCGCTCCCACCTCCTTCGCAGGCATGATTGGTGGGAACGAGGGAAAGGGCCTTCTCGGTGGTGGCCCCCCAACTCTGGAACTCTCTCCCCAAGGACATCAGACATGCCCCAACTCTGGCAGTCTTTAGGAGGAGCCTGAAAACATGGCTGTTCCAGTGTGCCTTCCCAGAATAAGGAAAATTCTCAGCAATATGCCCTCAAAATGCACTTTGCCACTTATTTAAGACTGACTGTGTCCCCTCATCTCTCTTGAAAACCCTGTTCATGCCCAGCATTATTTTTTAAATTTTAAACTATGGCATTTGGCCCAGCCAAATGTCATAGTGTGTAACTGTTTATGGTTTATTGTTATGTGATTTATATTAATTGTATTGTTTTGATTGTTTTGTTATTGTTTTTGTCTATTGATGTATTGTGGGCTTGGCCTCATGTAAGCTGCACTTGGGGAGATGGTGGCGGGGTATAAATAAATTATTATTATTATTATTATTATTATTATTATTATTATTATTATTTGTTGGGAGGTGTTAGGTGATTGTTCCTTGTCTGGAATTCCCCAGTTTTTTAAATGTTGCTCAATATTTGCCGTCTTGATTCTAGAGTTTTTAAATACTGGTAGCCAGATAGTTTTAATTTTCTTGGTTTCCTCCTTTCTGTTGAAGTTGTCTACATGCTTGTGGATTTCAATGGCTTCTCTGTGTAGTCTGAAATAGTGGTTGTTAGAGTGGTCGAGAACACAGAAATCCCCACCATCTGTTGGAAACTTGCCTAGTTTCCAACAGATCTCACAAGCTCCGAGGATGTCTGCCATAAATGTGGGTGAAATGTCAAGAGAGACTGTTGCTGGAACATGGCCAGACAGCCCGGAGAAACTCACAGCAGCCCAGTGATTCCAACCATGAAAGCCTTCGACAACACAAACTAAACTTACTCCAAAATGTAAAGCAGACATTATTATTAAGGAGAAATTTTAAATTCAATCTAAGAAAAAAGACCATTTATTCTGTACAAATATGGGATCGTTGTACAAAAATAATGTCTTGGATGTATGGTATGTCATTCCAATAATGGCTTTGTATTTTTCTTTGTAGTTTACATAACACTGATATGCTTGATACCATAACACTGATACTATGGCAAATTTTCTGTAACATAATATTGTTTTAATTATATTATATTATATTATATTATATTATATTATATTATATTACATTACATTACATTATAAGGTAAAGTAAAGGCTTCCCCTGATATTAAGTCTAGTTGTGTCTGACTCTGGGTGGGTGGTGCTCATCTCCATTTCTAAGCTGAAGAGCTGGTGTTGTCCGCAGACACCTCCAAGATCACGTGGCCAGCATGACTGCATGAAGTGCTGCTACCTTACTGTGGAAGCAATACCTATTGATCTACTCACATTTGCATGTTTTTGAATTGCTAGGTTGGCAGAAACTGGGGCTAACAGCGGGAGCTCACCCCACTCCCTGGATTTGAACCACCAATCTTTTGGTCAGCAAGTTCAGCAGCTCAGCCGTTTAACCCACTGTTCCACCAGTGGGCCCTATTATATTATGTTAATGTATATTATTTTTCTTATATTATATTTTATGTATTATAAAAGGTAAAGGTTGTCCCCTGACATTAAGTCCAGTCCTGTCTGACTCTGGGGTGTGGTGCTCATCTCCATTTCTAAGCCGAAGAGCCGGCGTAGTCTATAGACACCGCCAAGGTCATGTGGCCGGCATGACTGCATGGAGCGCCGTTACCTTCCCGCCGGAGCGGTACTACTTGATCTACTCACATTTGCATGTTTTCAAACTGCTAGGTTGGCAGAAACTAGGGCTAACAGGGGAAGCTCACACCGCTCCCCGCAACAGAACTTGCGACCTTTCGGTCAACAAGCTCAGCGCTTTAACCCACTGTGCCACCAGGGTATATATATATATAATATTATAATATATAATATATTATGTTATATATTATTATATATTATATTTTACTTATATTATATTATAAGTTCCTCGGTTAATTTAACTACTTTTTAAAAACACGAGAGTAGTTCCACAGACTAGTGTGAGCCAGAGACTTTGTGACTGTTTCCTGAAAGCCTTTAATGTGGAGTCCCAGTGATACAGTTTAAAGTCCTCTTTGTCCTTTTGGAGGTATGATGTACCCATGCCAGCAATAACCTTCATTAAATGTTCTCCCAAAACCCAAATAAATGACAAAAAGGAGACACAGAAAAGATTAAATATGAAAAAAAGTGAATTTTACCTGTGTCAGATTCAGGAAGAAGTTGGGCCGTCTCCATCGCATCACATGACAATGCACATTCCTCTTCAACTATTGAATGTTTGCAAAGACTGCAGATATACTCTTTCAGATGACTATCCAGTTCATTACTAGGAGATCTGTCACAGTCGATGTGAATCCACCTGAAGAGAACAGTAAGTTTTTTTTTTAAAAAAAACATTCACTTATTGAAAAACCCTGCTTTATTGGAAGATAGACAGACATAGAAAGACCATCAGAGAGATGCAAATTTTCTCAATATTTACAGATCACCTCAAATTAAAAGGAGTTCAGAAATGTATGATTCCACTTGACTTGCAGAAGTGATGTAGTGTTGGACTACAACTCTGGAGGCCTGGGCACCCATCTGTAATACCATATAATGCAGTTTGAAATTGCATTATATGGTCAGAGTAAACCTGACCATATAATGCAGTTTAACTGCACTAAACTGCATTATATGAGTCTACACAATCAAAACTCATTGGGTGATCTTGGACAAATCAAGCTCTTTAAACAGGAATGGGCAAACGCAGGCCCGGAGGCCAGATGCGGCCCCTTGGGCTCTTTTCTCCGGATCTCCTCTCTCACACCATCCTATCCTTCTTTCTTTCTCTTTCCTTCCTCTTTCACTTCCTCCCTTCCTTACCTCCCTCTTTCTCTCTCCCTCCCTCTCTTCCTTCTCTTCCAACCTTTTGTCCTTGCTTCCATTCCTCTCTCCCTCTTTCTTCTTCCTTCCTTCCTTCCCTCCCTCCTTCCTTCCCTTTTGTCTATCCCTCCTCCTTCGCTTCCATCCATCCTTCCCTTCCACCCTTTCGTCCTTCCCTCCCTTTTGTCTTTCCTTCCTCCTTACCCCTCCCTCTTTCTTCTTCCATCCTTCCCTTCCACTTTTTCATCCTTTCTTCCTTGCCTCTTTCCTCCCTCTCTCCCTCTTCTCCTTCCTTCCTTTCCTATTGTCTTTCCTTCCTTCTCTCTTTCCTTTATCCTTCCCTTCCTTTACCCCTTCCTTCCTTAATTTCTTCCTTCCATTCATCCATCCTTCCTCCCTTCCATCCATCCATCTGTTCCTTTCTTTCTTCCTTCTCTTTCTCCTTCCTTCCTTCCTTCCTTCCCTTTTGGCTTTCCTTTCTTCTCTCTTCTTCATCCTTCCTTCCATCTCCATCCTTCTTTCCTCCCTCCCTCCCTTTCTTCCTTCTCTTTTCCTTCCTTCTTCCTTGTTTTTCTCCTTCTCTTCCTTTCCTTCCCTTCTTCTCCTTCCTTCTTCCTCCACCCACCCATCCATCTTTTCCTCCCTTTCTTTCTTCCTTTCTCTTTCTCCTTCCTCCCCTTTGTCTTTCTTTCTTCTTTTCTTTTATCCTTCCCTTCCTTCATCCTCCCCTCCATCCTTCTCTTCTTCCCTTTCTTCCTTCTCTTTTTCTTTCCTCCTTCCCTTCCACCCTTCGATCCTTCTTTCCTTCCCTTTTGCCCGTCCTTCCCCTTCCTTCCTCCTTCCCTCCTCTCCCTCTTTTCCTTCCTTCTTCCCCTTCATCCTTCCTTCCCTTTTGCCTTCCCTCTTTCCTCCCTCCTTCTGTTCTCCCTCTTTCTCTTTTCTTCCTTCTCTCCTTCCTTCCTCCTTCCTATCCTTCCTTCCAACACTGGGTAGCCAATCCTCCTAGCAGGAAATGCGAGCATGTGGCCCCCAAGTTAGAAAGTTTGCTCACGCCTGCCTTAAAGCCTTAGAGAAATGGAATTGCAACCACCACCCAAACAAATCTTGCCTCCACAAAAAGCCCATAATAGGTTTGCTTTAGGGTTTCCATAGATCAGAAATAACCCCACAGCAGACAACAATACCATATTTTGAATCCACACAAATAATTCCTTAAAGTAAACTAATACAATTTTGATAGTGATTCCTATTTAAGGACCAAAGACGGAAAGAACCTAAGCAACAGTGAAACTCATTACTAATTAACAATTACGAGTGTGCACACTATACTGCAGTATATTAAAGGGGTTTAAAGTCAGTTTAATATGGATGCAACAAAAGAGTTAGCATAACAAACAAACAAAAAAGTAAAATAAACCAGCCCAGCAAACCAGCTTCACGACTAAAAAAACAAACAGAAGAGTGGGTTGTTGTAGGTTTTTTTGGGCTATATGGCCATGTTCTAGAGGCATTCTCTCCTGACATTTCGCCTGCATCTATGGCAAGCATCCTCAGAGATAGTGAGGTCTGTTGGAACTAGGAAAAAGGGTTTATATATCTGTTATAACATTTTTTCCTGTTAATCATACTACATGGAGTACAGTGCTTGTAAAGCATGTTCTTCACTGACTGAAAAGGGAATTTAACATTATGAAGAAGTTAAAAGAAGTCAAAATTACAGATATATAAAACCTTTTTCCTAGTTCCAACAGACCTCACTACCTCTGAGGATGCTTGCCATAGATGCAGGCGAAACGTCAGGAGAATGCCTCTAGAACATGGCCATATAGCCCCAAAAAACCTACAACAACCCAGTGATTCCAGCCATGAAAGCCTTCGAGAAAACAGAAGAGTGATTTAATGGTTTATTACGAAATTCTGGCGTTTTCCTTTTTACCTTTTGCACAAGTGACAAAGCAGCCTGTCTTTTTGTCCGTCCGGAGAGGAGGATTTTTCACAGAGAGGACAAGGTAGCTTTTCCTGCTGATTGTAGCAACTGTCACACATAAGACAGTTGTGATGCCACTGACTACTGGTCCGTGTGCCGCATTCTGCACATACCCTGCAATTCTGAAAGCCACAAAAGGGAACATTTTTTTCTTTTAACCATACTGCATGGAGTACAGTGATTGTAAAGCATGTTCTTCATTGACTGAAAAGGGAATTTAACATTATGAAGAAGTTAAAAGCCCTCAATCTAAATGAGGTTTCCTTACTCAGTGCCTCCATTCAACACAGATGTCTTTTGTTGGGTGTAGTTCTCTTTTTGCTGATAGAAACCACCAAAAGAACTATGCACTAACCACAGAGGAGCTCTTTCTTGACACCTCTCTGGAGGAAATGACACCAAATGGCCTTGGTAAGCCTGAACAAATGGTATGTTAACTTTTGATCATGTAAACGCAATTCAAATAATTGCTGGCTTTTCTGCACAGAAAACTCTTCATGATTACAAACTGGAATGGGTTCTTCAGTTTGAGTCCGATGGAATGGGCTGAGGAGCCCCTCCTTGTGCCTTCAAAAGCCTTAGTAGGTTTTACTACACAACATACACTGTAATTATTATCAATTATTAATTAATTATTATTATTATCAATAATTAATAATCAATAATTAACCTGGTGGCACAACGGGTTAAACCCTTGTGCTGGCAGGATTAAAGAGTGGCAGGTCATTGGGTCAAATCCAGGGAAAGTGTGGATGAGCTCCCTCTGTCAGCTCCAGCTCCCCATGTGGGGACATGAGAGAAACCTCCCACAAGGATGGTAAAACATCAAAAACATCCAGGCATCCCCTGTGCAACGCCCTTGCAGACTGTCAATTCTCTCACACCAGAAGCAACTATAATTATTGCATTTATATTCATTATTTCTAAAGAAATTGATTACTTGCATCTTGACAAGGTGAACATTTGTAAGTGGTCAGACTGACTTATGGGTTTCCCTCATGCTGATTCCTTTAATGCTATTTAAATACAATATTTTTGTAAAACTAAAATGAATGCAAAGAAAGCTGCAAAATGCTGATACTGACACTTAACAATGTATACAGTCACTTTCCACCAAGTTGTATACCCAATATTATTATGTTCAGAAATTCTAAGGAGTTAGATTCAGACTTCATTATTCTTAAGAGCAGACCTATAGAAATCAATTAAATGTTGATCATGACTCACAAGGTAAACAGAATTAAATGGGTCTTTAACAATCTGATCCATAGTTTCGAAATCGAAACTACCGTATATACTCAAGTACAAGCCGAACTGAATATAAGCCAAGTCACCGAATTTTACCACAAGAAACTGGGAGAATGTATTGACTCGAGTATAAGCCGAGGACGGGAAATGAAAATAGATACCAATAAAATGACATTAATTGAGGCAACCGTAGGTTAAATGTTTTTGAATATTTACATAAGATTGCCCAATTCTGATTGTAAATGTGCTTATGTATCCTTCCATTAATAATAGAGTAAAATAATAAATGCAATAATAATCATAATAGTAATAAAAGAGTAAAGTAATAAATGTAATAATAACATTAATAGATAAATGTAATAACAATAATAAGAGTAAAATAATAAATGTAATAATAAAAATAGAGAAAATAATAAATATAATAACTAGAAAATAATAAATGTAATAAAATAATAATAACAGTAAAATAATGCATATCTAATAATCACAGAGTAAAATAAGAAATGTAATAATAATAATAATAATAACAACAACAACAACAACAACAGAGTAAAATAATAAATAATCTTGACTTGAGTATAAGCTGAGAGGGGCTTTTCAGCCTTAAAAAGGGGCAGAAAAGCTCAGTTTAAACTTGAGTATATACGGTAGTCTAAGAAATTCACCATAATTCACAATAACGTGCAATTTATAGCTTATTCATGAGCAGAAATGAGTTTGATGTGTCTTCACAGAAGGAATATGAGAAAAACCAGATGTTTATACTACCAAGTTCCAGTTTTATATATACAGTACTCACTTTACATTTCCAGCCATTTGTTGGTACAGAGTCCATCACTGGTTGTAAACAGAACGTGTGGTATCCTTTGTCACATGTATCACACACTAGCATCTTGTTATCTTCTCCTGAATGCCTAAAAAACAGATTTGCAGATTATATCTTATGGGTAAGATGGAAAAAAACACTCAACAAATATTAGGAATCAAAAGTGACACATTTTTTGCTTTGATTTTGTTAAGAACTTTGAGTGTCCAATGATTTAAGGTAGGCAGGTAGGGTGGCCCTGGTTTGATACTAAGCCTGACCACCTTAAATGAAGAAAGTATAGTTATTGGTTCCATTATACATAATTTGATGCATAAATATCCAAAATTCATTGGAACCCTTCTGAACCAGTTGAATGTTTTCCCTACTCTTTCCCATTCAGAATCCATTTCTGAGGGCAAACAAGCCATGACGGGTGGGACACCACTAGGGACATGTGAACTTCAAAGAACCCCATGTACCATGGAAGACAATTGATTTTGGTTAGAGATAGCAGAAAGGAAGAAGTAGCCTCTCACCTGCCCAACAAAAAACATTCACAGCTCTTAATTATGCCTCATTCTTGCCCAGTAACCAGAGACAGTGAAGACATCTGCCCTTGTGCTTTCCTACTCTGCTTCTGAATATGCCTGCCCAATGTGGAATATTGTTGGAGCTCAGCCTGTGATTATGTTTCAGGATCAGGGTGCTTTGGATGTGGGGAGTGATGTCAATGAGTTTCAAGATGGCAATGGTTTGGTCATCGATGCAGAGAGTGACCAGGAGATTCCTGTTCGAAGTGGGGCCGACGGTGTGCTCCCTGAATTGTTACCAGAGAGTTCTCATGATTTGGGGTTTGAAAACAACTCGGCACCTGGCCCAGCTGCAGAAATTAATGAACAACTAGATAGACAGGAGGAGATTAATTGAAACAGAAATGCTGAACAATGGCTTTAGCGTTCTGCCAGGCTCAGACAGAAAAAGATAAGGGAATCTCAGCTAAAGCAAAACCAAATTCTGAGTGTTTGGGATAGCTTAACAAGGGTATAAAAGTTCCAAGTACAGGGAACGTAGTCAGATGAAGCATAATTTGGAATCAAATCAAGATCTCATCCTTGTTTCATGGAAGCCATTACTCTGACCCGGCCCAGTTTTATTGTGTCTTGGTGTATTGCTTATTGCTTGTTGTTTAATATTGCTTTAACTGTTTTAATTTTGCTTTAGGTTTTGTATTGTTATGTTGTGTTTTGAGGCCTTGGCTTTGTAAGCCGCATCGAGTCCTTCGGGAGATGTTAGCGAGGTACAAATAAAGATAATAATAATAATAATAATAATAATAATAATAATAATAAGCCTTGCTTGGAATAATAATAATAATAATAATAATAATAATAAGCCTTGCTTGGAAGATTTATGTTTAAGTGCCTTTTTTTCATGGTTTTGATTCTTGGATTCTATGATTTTATATTAATGCCTTGGGTTCATGTTTCCTAGTTTTCTGGATTTTATTAGAGAAGTTTTTCCTTTGTTTCATGGACTTTGCTGGACTATTACCCTGGACTACTTTGTTCCTGTTTATCTTCCTACCTAATTGGATTTACCTATTTCTTTAAAGTGCTTTTTATTTTACTGCTTTTTAATTATCTTCAATAAAACGATTGTTTTCCTATCTAACAGTGTGGTGTTTAAAGTCAGGGGACTTTTCCTGTCCTGGAGTGCAACAAATACATCTCACCACATTAAAACAGTGGATGTGGCTCTTAATGAGACATGCCACATTATCACAGGATGTCTACACCCTACACCACTGGAGAAATTATACTGTTTAGCTGGTATTGCACCACCTCACATCTGTTGGGAAGTAGCAGCCTGTAATGAAAGGACCAAAGCAGTGACATCTCTGATCAGGACCGTAGCCAGAAAAAAATGGGGAGGGGTGTGTGGGTTGAAACTTTTTTTAGCAAATCATGAAGAGTAGTTTGATAACACAACAACAACATTTTTAATACAGTCCAAAGACCCTAAAAGGTATAAGATACAAGGTATGCAAGGTTAGTAAGGCCAAAAATAGTCAAAGACATAGTTTTTTTAACCTGAAAAATTTCGGGGGGGGGGGGTAGTTGAACCCCCACCCCCCCCCCCCCACTACAGGCCTATCTCTGATCTACCCTTTGTTCAGAGATCGGCCAGCAAGCCAATGCCTTACATCAAGAAACAGCTTCCTAAGATCTACAGAGATACTCGCAGGAACACCTTAGCAAGCAAGAGTCCAAAAGTGGCAGGTTAAAACCCGGAACCTCAATCAGTGGCTGATACCAGATGAGAACTCCCCACTGGGCACACAGAAGACTGGGCGACTTGGAAGGCACTTAACAGACTGCGTTCTGGCATCATGAGGTGAATAGCCAATCTTCAGAAATGGGGCTACAAAGTGGAGTCCACAACATACGAATGCGGAGAAGAGCAAACCACAGGCAACTCACTACAATGCAGTCTGAGCCCTGCCACATGCACAATGGAGGACCTCCTTACAGCAACTCCAGAGGCACTCCAAGTGGACAGATTCTGGTCAGAGGAAATCTAGTATAATGCCAAGTTTTTTTTTACTTCATTTGTGGTTTTCCTATACATTATAACTGTATTCTCAATTCGCTTGTGACACGATAAATAAATAAATCCTTGCCCAATACCAATGGACTGCAGTTCTGCCCTTCCCATTTCTGTCTCTTTATCTCATCGCCACCATGGAGTGATTTTCATCTCTCAATCCGCAAACCTTCATCTTCATTTTTCAGTCTCTGTCATCTATTTGCAAGTTTTCCATAGTCTCTATTATTGAAAGTATCCTCCACTTTCTCATTAATTTATCTACATATTTCATGTTAGCACACAATAAACAATACTCCGGTTTTGCTTACTTGCAGTTCTGGCACACTTTGCAGTCAGGACACTGCCAACCTGCCCGTTTTAGAGCTGTCACTTGTATATCCAGACACATCCCGTGGTAATGCTGGCCACACGTAGTACAAAAAAGTTGATCTAAGAGGTCGCCAGGGCTATCGCAAACCGCACAGTTAGCTTCTTCCTTTGCTGTAAGGAAGAATAATAATATCATAACCATAAATTCTCCTTGTTATCCACCTCTTCTCACAATGGGATACAACATAGTTAAATATACAAAGAAGATGTATTGTCGAAGGCTTTCATGGCCGGAATCACTGGGTTGTTGTAGGTTTTTCCGGGTTATATGGCCATGTTCTAGAGGCATTTTCTCCTGACGTTTCGCCTGCATCTATGGCAAGCATCCTCAGAGGTAGTGAGGTCTGTAGGAAAATGGGTTTATATATTTGTGGAATGACCAGGGTGGGACAAAGGACTCTTGTCTGCTGGAGCTAGGTGTGAATGTTTCAACTGACCACCTTGATTAGCATTAGATGTGCCTGATTGTTTATTCTCTGTTGTTGTGCTGTTGTAATTTTAGAGTTTTTTAATACTGGTAGCCAGATTTTGTTCATTTTCATGGTTTCCTCCTTTCTGTTGAAATTGTCCACATGCTTGTGGATTTCAATGGCTTCTCTGTGTAGTCCGACATGATGGTTTTTAGAGTGGCCCAGCATTTCTGTGTTCTCAAATAATATTCTGTGTGGACAATTTCAACAGAAAGGAGGAAACCATTAAAATGAACAAAATCTGCCTCTCAACAAAAGATTCCCCCCAGGCACTGCCAAGCCATCAAATGCTAATCAAGGTGGTCAGTTGAAACATTCACACCTAGCTCCAGCAGACAAGAGTCCTTTGTCCCACCCTGGTCATTCCACAGATATATAAACCCATTTTCCTACTTCCAACAGACTTCACTACCTCTCAGGATGCTTGCCATAGATGCAGGTGAAACGTCAGGAGAAAATGCCTCTAGAACATGGCCATATAACCCAGAAAAACCTACAACAAACCATACAAAGAAGAATTAAAAACACAACCAAGATTACAATAATACAAATACAATGTACATTTTGTTACTGGTTAATTATTCTTAGTAGTACTGACAAGCTGGAGTGTGTCCAGAGGAGGGCGACTAAAATGATCAAGGGTCTGGAGAGCAAGCCCTATGAGGAACGGCTTAAAGAGCTGGACATGTTTAGCCTGAAGAAGAGAAGGCTGAGAGGAGATATGATAGCCATGTATAAATATGTGAGAGGAAGTCATAGGGAGGAGGGAGCAAGCTTGTTTTCTGCTTCCTTGGAGACTAGGACACGGAACAATGGCTTCAAACTACAAGAGAGGAGATTCCATCTGAACATTAGGCTATGAGAGCTGTTCAGCAGTGGAACTCTCTGCCCTGGAGTGTGATGGAGGCTCCTTCTTTGGAGGCTTTTAAATAGAGGCTGGATGGCCATCTGTTGGGGGTGCTTTGAACACAATTTTCCTGCTTCTTGGCAGAATGGGGTTGGACTGGATGGCCCACGAGGTCTCTTCCAACTCTATTATTCTAGTAAAGTACACGAATAGTTTCCACTAGCATCAGTAGATGGTAGTTTTGATTAGGAAAACTAGAATGAAAGTAAGATTTCAAATTCACCCCCAGTGATTATTTAACAAAATTTAAGAACTTTACCCTGTTGTGTCTATTTTAGCTTTCATGTGTATTTATTGTCTAGAGAACCGCTTGCTCTGTTTCATCAACACCCAAAGAATCAAGAATATATGCTTTTATTTAAAATGAAGTTCAAAATGCACAGAGCTATATTCCTTCTCCTTGATCTTATCCTTCTTTCCCCTTTTATCATTCACCCTAATTCACTTTTACTGCGAAGACTGAAACACTTTCTGTACACAATTAGCAGTTACTAGGAAACTGTCAACAGTCCACTTCTATATATGTTATATTTAGTAACTCTACATCTACATCTAACATCACTTTAATGAAATTCTTTATTGAAAGTGTTGCTATTCCTTACCTTCACATATACTGGCACATCACATCAATTCTCACCATTACAAACCGTGTCCTCCCATAAAAGTATCAACTCTAACGATAAACCGAACTACCTAATTGTTACAAGTGAGCAGGACAGTCAGTCGAGCTTGATTTGATCAGCTATCCTTTGCAGACACTCTAATAAGTCTGCTAGAAGGACCCACAAAGACAAATACAAGCTGAAGGACTATAAAGGTAAAGGTTTCCCTTTGACATTAAGTCTAGTTGTGTCCGACTCTGGAGGTTGGTGCTCATCTCCATTTAGAGGCTGAAGAGCTGGCGTTGTCCATAGATGCCTCCAAGGTCATGTGGTCAGCATGACTGCATGGAGTACCCTTAACTTCCTTCCGAAGCAGTACCGAAGCAGATACAAGACGAAGGACTATAAAGCTAAAGATCTTCCTTTGACATTAAGTCTAGTTGTGTCCGACTCTGGGGGTTGGTGCTCATCTCCATTTCGAAGCTGAAGAGCTGGCGTTGTCCATAGACGCCTCAAAGGTCATGTGGCCAGCATGACTGCATGGAGTACCCTTACCTTCCTGCCGAAGCAGTACCGAAGCAGATACAAGTCGAAGGACTATAAAGCTAAAGGTTTCCCTTTGACATTAGATCTAGATGTATCTGTCTCCAGGAGTTGGTGCTCATCTCAATTTGTAATTAGGCAGAAAAACGAAATGCAAAGATACAGAATGGGGGACAGTGCCTGGCTCGAGAGCAGTACGTGTGAAAAAGATCTTGGAGTCCTCGTGGACAACAAGTTAAACATGAGCCAACAATGTGATGTGGCGGCAAAAAAAGCCAATGGGATTTTGGCCTGCATCAATAGGAGCATAGTGTCTAGATCTAGGGAAGTAATGCTACCCCTTTATTCCGCTTTGGTTAGACCACACCTGGAATATTGTGTCCAATTCTGGGCACCACAATTCAAGAGAGATATTGACAAGCTGGAATGTGTCCAGAGGAGGGCGACTAAAATGATCAAGAGTCTGGAGAACAAGCCCTATGAGGAGCGGCTTAAGGAGCTGGGCATGTTTAGCCTGAAGAAGAGAAGGCTGAGAGGAGATATGATAGCCATGTATAAATATGTGAGAGGAAGCCACAGGGAGGAGGGAGCAAGCTTGTTTTCTGCTTCTGGAGACTAGGACACAGAACAATGGCTTCAAACTACAGAGAGGAGATTCCATCTGAACATTAGGAAGAACTTCCTGACTGTGAGAGCTTCAGCAGTGGAACTCTCTGCCCCGGAGTGTGGTGGAGGCTCCTTCTTTGGAAGCTTTTAAACAGAGGCTGGATGGCCATCTGTCAGGGGTGATTAGAATGCAATATTCCTGCTTCTTGGCAGGGGTTGGACTGGATGGCCCATGAGGTCTCTTCCAACTCTTTGATTCTATTATTCTATTATTGCTCCCCGGATTCAAATCACTGACCTTCCGATCAGCAAGTTCGGCAGCTTAGCGGTTTAACCTGCTGCACCACTGAAGGACTATAGTTTTGAAGGACTCTAGGAAAACAGAAACTACGAACCTCCAAATATTCCAAATGAAGTTGGAGGTATGTGCAAGTTGGGAGAGGACACGTTCAGATGAAGGAAAGACGGACAGAGTGAGAGAGATAAAAACAGCAGACAATGGAAATAGAAAGGTACAAAAGCTAGAAATTGCAATGTTTGGGAGGATGTCCAATTCATGAACTATGTTGATATAACAAACCTTTTTAATAAGTAGTATACGACTCAATGGTTAGGTGGGCTCAAAACATAGGCCAAGAGATAAAAATGGCTCAATTGGGAAAAATATGGAAAAGAATAATGAAATACATGATATGTCAGAACCTGATGGAAAATGTTTACAAAATACATCTATATTGGTATCTCCCTCTAGAGCAGTGGTTCTCAACCTTCCTAATGTCACGACCCCTTAATACACTTCCTCATGTTGTGGTGACCTCCAATCATAAATTATTTTTGTTGCTACTTCACAACTGTAATTTTGCTACTGAATAGTAATGTAAATATCTGAAATGCAGGATGTATTTTCATTCACTGGACCACATTTGGCACAAATACCCAATACGCCCAAATTTGAATACTGGTGGGAGAGGAATTATTTTATAATTTGGGAGTTGTATTGCTGGGATTTATAGTTAACCTACAATCAAAGAGCATTCTGAACTCCACCAACAATAGAATTGAACCAAACTTGGCACACAGAACTCCCATGACCAACAGAAAATACTGGAAGGGTTTGGTAGGCATTGACCTTGAGTTTTGGAGTTGTAGTTCACCTACATCCAGAGAGCACTGTGGACTCAAACAATGATGGATCTGGACCAAATTTGGCACAAATACTCAATATGCACAAATGTGAACACTGGTGGATTTTGGGGGAAATAGACCTTGACATTTGGGAGTTGTAATTTCAGGGATTTATAGTTCACCTATAATCAAAGAGCATTCTGAATCACACCAATGATAGAATTGGGCCAAATTTCCCACACAGAACCCCTATGACCAACAGAAAATACTGTGTTTTCTGATGGTCTTTGGCGACCCCTCTGACATCCCCCTCGCGACCCCTCCAGGTGTCCTGACCCCCAGGTTGAGAAACGCTGCTCTAGAGAGACTAGTAAAGATGTACAATTGCACCAACAAATGTTGGAAATGTGGGAAAGAAAAAGGCACATTTTACCACATGTGTTGGATGTGCAACAAAGTAAAAACATTACTGGAAATGGATTCATGTACAGTATATCTCAAAAAATGTTAAACACAAACTTCAAAATAACACCACAAATGTACCTTCAGATGAAAGGAAATTTGGAAAAAAAATGTTCTATATGACAGTGACAGCCTGAATAGTATATGCTAGAAATTGGAAAATCTCAGAGGTACCTCCTTTAGAAAAATGGGAAAAATACATTACAGATTTGCTAATAATGGACAAAAAAACTGTACTCTTGAGAGGAGAAGAGTTAGAGATGTTAATGAATGGCAACTAGTGATTCAGCTTCTCAATGTAAAATTAAACTAAAATGTACATAGGGGATCCTATAAGACTGTAAACAAAGAGGAAGCAGATACTAATTTAGAGCCTATGCCTTTATATGTACTATTCAAATAGAAGACTGTGACCCCTTTAAGAAAAGATATTATCTGAGACATTAATATGGAACACAAATAGCTGGAAAGGATTGCACTGAACGCAACAAACACTTGCAAATGTATGTGTATTTCAACAAATAAATAGGGGAATAAGCTCGCTCGGTTCATAGCTTCTACTTACATCTTAGTGGAGCCTGGTCAATGTGGTCTGGGCAAAGGAGGGACAAGCTATTAAAATCCTGAAAAGTGCCTGCTCCAGCAGCACATGGGTAATGGTACATCTGGGTGCATTTCTCTTCACAGCATTTGATAGTGGCTCCAAGGTGCTTGCAATATGCACATCGCTGAAACACAAAGCAGAAGACGATTTATTTCAGAGTAATATCACTAACAGAAGGTTTATAATAATCTACTTGATTTCTGTATATCACATATCTTCTCATTTTTCTGTACATTCATTCAACCTCACAATCTCCACGTGAGATAAATGTGGTTGAGAAATAGCAACTTAATCCAAGCCATACACTTTTTTCGTGTCAGGAGCGACTTGAGAAACTGCAAGTCACTTCTGGTGTGAGGGAATTGGCAGTCTGCAAGGACATTGCCCAGGGGATGCCCAGATGTTTTACCATCCTGTGGAAGGCATCGCTCATATCCCCGCATGAGAAGCTGGAAGTGACAGATGGGAGCTCACCCTGCTCCCCAGATTTGAACCACCAACCTTTCGTTCAGCAGTTCTGCCAGCACAAGGGTTTAACCCATTGTGCCATCAGTAGCTCCAAGACATACCCTGAAATTTAGAGTTGACTGAAACTTAAATTTCCACAACCCCAATACTTTAATCTAAATAAATAAAAATGTAATGTTCATTTGAGGGATTAACAGAACTAAAAAACCACTGGACGAATTGACACCAAATTTGGGCACAAGACACCTAACAACCCAATGTATGTCCTTCACTCAAAAAATTGATTTTGTCGTTTGTGAGTTATACTTGCTGGGAATTTATAGTTCACCTACAATCAAAGAGCATTCTCAACCTCACCAACGATGAAATTGAGCCAAACTTGGCACACAGTTCTCCCATAGCCAACAGAAAATACTGGAAGATTTTGGTGGGCAGTGTCCTTTGGTTTTGGAGTTGCACTTCACCTACATCCAGAGAGCACTGTGGACTCAAACAATGATGGATCTGGACCAAACTCTACATAAATACTCCATATACCCAAATGTGAACACTGGTGGAGTTTGGGGAAAATAGAATCTTGACATTTGGGAGTTGTAGTTGCTGGGATTTATACTTCACCTACAATCACAGAGCATTCTGAATCCCACCAACAATAGAACTGGGCCAAACCTCCCTCACAGAACCTCCATGTGGCCCACAGCAACGCGTGGCAGGGGACAGCTAGTTCAAATATAAATAATTTTCAACAAGACAGCATTTTAAAATGCTTATTTTAATTTTAATTTCCATTGTAAAGATTTTTAGACCACTTTTTTGAACATTCAGTCTACAATGCTAAATATGGACAGCATTTTGGCCACATTCAGATATAAATTCAGTGCTCATCCCTTCAATTTTGTATTGTTTCTTCTCCAGGTTATCAGCTAAGTGGTCTTGTCATCAGTTTTACACGAGGGGATTGCATAAGATAGGTTTTCAGAAATGAGAACGATCTGTAGAAACCCGAGAAAGAGTGAAAAACGATGTACTATAGGATATAGAGAAGCAGGGGCAGGATCAGGGTGGGGAGTGGGTGTCTCATTACATTTAATCGAACCCTTACAACGCATATGGAAAAACTACAACAGCAATTAAAACCATTTGGCAACTTAGCAAGAAAACTACTGTATAAACAATGTGGTATATATATAATCAGAACCAAATAATAAAAAACCCCTCAGGATATCAACATTTGTTGAATTCACGGAGGAAAGCGATAAAGCAGTCAAAAGTAATAAATCCCCACTGGAGATATATTTTTTGCAACAGCTGCTGACTAGAAGGGTTTTTCTTCCATTAGTAGACTAGAAGTTATGATTTAAGAAGCTCAAGCATGTTGTTATTGTAACTCTGTCTGACCTTTGACAAAGAAGAGTTCAAACAGCAAAAGAATAAAATGTTTTTAAAACTCTGTTACATAAAGAGCAATTGCTTTAGGGTTTTTTGGTTTTTTTAGAGACAGCAGAAATACTTCTCCGGGCACTTTTTAAAAAAATGTCAAAATAGTTTAAAGTTATATTTAGTATACTCTGTAAAGTAATGCTTTCAAAAAGTGATGATCCTGGGACTAGTGCAGGCACGGGCAAACTAAGATCCAGGGGCTAGATGTGGCCCCCTGGGCGCTTACCTCAGGCCCTCCTCATTTTCCGCATCCTCTCAGCATAAGGACATGATAGCCTGCTACATCCTTATGCAGAAATGACAGGGGAGGAAGGCACACAGCAGCTAAGAGCCCTCTGGAGAACTCTCAGCCACAGCATGGCTCGCCCTCCTCCTGACCATAAGGACAGTGTGAGCGGACCTGTCCTTATGCCAATTGGTGACTTAAGGCGGTTTCCAACAAATCCGTATATATAAAAACACAATACAAATTAAAACAATAAACAGTATAAAACATCACACCAGCAATAAAAACAACATCATTAGCGTCCCCTCATTATCAAGCATTGTCCTGTTCCATTTGTCAAGTCAATTTGATTTCCTATATTAGCTACTCTGCATTTGCAAACGCTTGCTCAAACAGCCATGTTTTAACTTGCCTCCAAAAAGTTAAGAGGGAGGAAGCAGATCTGATCTCCTTAGGCAGGGTGTTCCAAAGCCGAGGGGTCACCACTGAGAAGGCCCTGTCTCTCGTCCCCACCAAACGTACTTGTGATGAAGGCGGGACCGAGAGCAGGCCCTCCCCATGGCAAGTTTGGTCCAGATCCATCATTGTTTGAGACCATAGTGTCTTCTGGATGAAGGTGAACTACAACTCCAAAACTCAAGGTCAATGCCCACCGAACCCTTCCAGTATGTTCTGTTGGTCATGGGAGTTCTGTGTGCCAAGTTTGGTTCAATTCCATCATTGGTGGAGTTCAGAATGCTCTTTTATTGTAGGTGAACTATAAATCCCATCAACTACAACTCCCAGTGACAAGGTCTATTTCCCCCCAAACTCAACCAGTGTTCACACCTGGCCCAAGGAAGGCACGCAGAATGCTCTCAATTGTCTATTGCCTCACCCTCTTCTCAGCATAATGCCAAGAGGACAATCCAAAGATCAGAGAGGAGGATCAGGGAGGAGGATCAGGGCAGTTGCTGCATGTCATGTTTTCCTCCCGGGATAAGGATAAGGTAAGCTGCGCACCCCATCCTTATCCCAGGAGGACAACCTGAGGATGACCCAGGCCCTGCTCCAACACCTACTGGTCCCACCCTCTTACATGCCCTCTCTCTCCCAGCTCAACCGTTTCGGATGGACCCAAGGCAAAAACGTTTGCCCATGCTTGGACTACTGCCATGGCACAAGCCATTAGCTCAGGCATGGGCAAATCCAGACCTGTGGGCAATATGCAGCGCGTTGGGCTCTTTGCTTCAACCTCCATCTGCTTCCGCCTCCCTTTTAATATGTGGACCCAGTGGCCCTCTGCTTCCCCAGGCTAGTTTGATCTCAAATTTTAATATTTTGTCCCAAATATTTTGTCCCAACTTCTATCAGGAAGTTTTCTTTACTGCTTCCCCAGGCTGAGAGGAAGGCCGAGGAGACACACCACTGACAAGGGCTCTCCGGAGAGTGCTCAGCAGCGGCGTGTTTCTCTCCCTTCTCTGGGCCCACTGTCAAATGGCAGCAGCATGTTGGTCTCCCCGGAGACAGACCTGTCTCTTCCCTCTCCAGTCTCCAGTTCCTTCCAGCCCCAGCCCTGATCTACAACCCTTACACCCCAACCCCACCCCCACCCCTTCCAGTCATAGCTTTGGCTGTGATCCCAAGCCTTCCTTGCAACTGAGCTCACAAAGTGGCCGCAGGGCAAAATTTTTGCCCATACCTGCATTAACTGCTGGTTCACTGGGTTGCTGTGAGTTTTTTGGGCTGTATGGCCATGTTCCAGAAGCATTCTCTCCTGATGTTTCTCCCACATCTATGGCAGGCATCCTCAGAGGTTGTGGGGCCTGTTGGAAGCTAGGCAAGGGAGGTTTATATATCTGTGGAATGCCCAGGGTGGGAGAAAGAACTCTTGTCTGTTTGAGGCAAGTGTGAATGCTGCAATCTTCACTTCACTTCATTTCTTAATTAGTCGCTCTCCACCAAGGTTCTCCGAGCGACTTACAATTTAAAATAGCATTTACACAATATAAAAATAAAAATTGACCATCTTGATTAGCATTGAATAGCCTTTCAGCTTCAAGGTCTGGCTGTTTCCTGCCTGGGGGAATCCTTGGTTGGGAGGTGATTAGTTTCTTGTCTGGAATTCCCATTTTTGAGTGTTGTTCTTTATTTACTGTCCTGATATGGATGTTTGCCATAGATGTGGGTGAAACATCAGGAGAGAATGCTTCTGGAATATGGCCATACAGCCTGAAAAACTCACAGCAACCCAATGATTCTGGCCATGAAAGCCTTTGGCAACACATCAAACCACAGACACATCAAGAACCCTCAGTGAACGTAAGCAAAGTAAATAACAAAACGGGTAGGTATTATGAGAAGAATCGTGCCCAGAGAACACTCCTTACTCTCACCATATCCTCATTCTGATCAATTCTGGACATAGGAGCGTACAGCACAATCATTTGACAAAGCAAAGCTCACTCATTTGATGGTATTGAAGCCTATATTGAAAAGAACAGTGCTGAGTGATCCCAGAAGACAGCATGGTTAATTGGCTGGAGAGCTTCTGACTGATGGTTATTAGCTACCACGGAGCAGATGTCCTCTGTTGAAGGCACTGTTTGAATGCTGCTCCTATTTCCTTCCATTTAGCACTTCAGCACTACATTCCCTTTCTTTTGACTATTCTTAAATTGCTTTCTTCAAACACTGTTGCCATAAACCAACAGCTACATTGTTTATACTGAGCCCATGCAAAGCAATTAGACAGCAAATGTTAAAAACGATTAGCTTGAAACATTAATTTATAACTTTTTAAAAGCTATGTAAATTTCACCCATCTGCTGCTTCTGTTTATTTCTGAATTGGGCCACATACGTCAAACATCGTCTTTCCACAATCTTTTTTGTCTGCCTTTTCAAAAAAAAAAATCCTTTTGTATTTCCATTACAAATGGATAAAATACAGTGGAAAATACAATGATTGCTTCCCCACGCCTACTATCTCCTAGCTTTCAGTTGTATTAG